CCTGCCTAGTCCGGGAGAAAACAGCCAATATTTCCCAAGATGCTAATGGGGTACCCAATTCTCAGTTAACTACTAATTTTGGTTAGCTATTAACTTTCATGGTACCTATTAATAATAGAACTGATAACCTGATAATGGCATTTTGGAATTGGAATATAGGTGGTGCGAATAATGGAATAAAGAAAATTTTCGGCTACTAGAATATTGAACACCCCATTTTTATTTCTCTCTCCTTCCAATCCCCCACAATCCTCAACCCCCGCCTCGATTATATTTTTAAAAAAAATGTTTGGAATCATCTGGAGAGCTGTCAGTGCGAAAACGCTATAAATTTGCATGTTCAAGCCGCACCCGGAAACTGATGAAATCATCTGGAGAGCTGTCAGTGCGAAAACACTATAAATTTGCATATTGTACAGACATTCAAGCCGCACCCGAAAACTGATGAAAGAACCTGTTGCAATTCATCTGCGAGGAGATAAATACCAAAATAATATCTGTTCTTTAAAATACTAGTCGCGTTCAAGAAAACAGTTCAAATTCAAGTTAGTTTGCAGTTTATGTTGTTTGCCTTGAGTGCGTTGAGCCCATTGAGTAAGGAGACAACATGCAGACCATAACATTGAAGTGTTTCAATTCCCAGATCAAATCTAGTAGACTTATTTGTCTCCACTTGATAGTGTGAAGTAAAAATCCATCGATACCCAGACAGAGAGAGAGAGCGTTAAAGTAAGTCACGATATGCCAAGTTTGAAAGCGGTATGTCAAAAACGAGCGAAGTTATAAGCGCGCAAGGTCGAGAAATCTCAGGGGGCACCAACTTGCTTGTGTGCTGCAAATGCAGACTACAAGACTTGCAGAATGGCGAGTAAAGAAAAAACGAAACTCAGTGCGGTGAAATGCTCTCAAAAGTATTCCAAGATTTAAAGAAGAGTTGAAGTTTAGAGACAGGGACTGAACTGTCCACGTAAAAAGTTGAAAACCCGTGGAAGGTGTATCCATTAAAGGAGATATTGAAAATTATAAGAGATTAAGATTGGTTTAAAAATTGGTTAAATGCAATTAGTCTTTCGGAAAAAGTAAGGAATATCAGAGAATAGAAGACTCATTAAAACGAGTTTTGTGACATCATCAACGCTTTTGAAATAAAATTTTGAGACCACAGATGAAAACCCACGATTTAAGCCCGGAAAGTTTTTTCCGTCAAACTAAAACCTTACCTCGAAGTGGACGAAAAATCACGTTCAATACTTCCTGCACTACCCATAACTACAGCATTTGACGACAAACTTCTGAGACGAAGACTGTATGAATTAATACACGAAAAAGCGATTGCTGTCAACTCGCCACAGGGTCAGTAACATTGATTGGAATTACAAAAAAACTTAGTGATTAATGGTTGGAAACCAGACTTGATTAATAATCTGCGGTTTCAGTGAAACAATGTTAAATCTTATAAATATGTGGGAATGACACTGACCCCGTATGGCAATTTTAGTTTAGCTAGAGAAGAGTTAAAAAAAGTTGGGCTTAAGGCACTTTATAAACTAAGAAAAGAGATGGGTGACAACTTCCAATTTGGGGTGTTGACTGTAACAACCAAATAGAAAAGATCCCGCAGAACTAGTTCAAATTAAATTCTTGAAATGGTTGCTAGGTGTAAACAAATACTGCAGCAACAATGCATGTAGGGCTGAAACAGGAAAATTCCCAATAAAAACCGAAGCACAATATAGGAATTTTAAGTTTTGGCTGACTCTAACCAAACACCCAAAACACAAACTATCACAGGTGGTGTATAATGATATGAAGTCGAGGATGAATAAGGAATTATGGAGCCAAAAAATCAAACGCGTATTAGACCAAATAGGGCTTCCGCTCCGCAAACACTTGAGTTAAAACCTAATCTCGTTGCCAGGGCTTCTCGGTTGTCATACCTTTTCTGGCTCTAATTTCGTTTCGCTTCTTTTATGAAAGGCGAAACGACCGACCATTAGCGGCCACTAAGAAAGAGTGTATGGGAGCTGCTAAAATTGGGCCTGATCTCAGGTCAGCACTATATTGAAGTCATTTCATCGGATATCATGAGCGTTATCAAAATTTGGTTAAGGCTATTTGGTTATGAAAAATTACTTTTCATTCAAAATACATCGCCCTTTCTTATTGTCTCCATCAGAAAGATGTGAGCAATATACCATCGATCCGATGGTATTTTTGATTGGAAAAGAGGTTGATCGATCATCATGGTATATTTCATTGGAAACGAGGCTCTGGAGGTTGCTTGTTGGGCGATAGCGAACTAAACAAATGGCGTTTACAGCTATCCGAAAACGAAATATCGAGAAATAGCCGAATTTCTGATTAAGCCTGAATGCAAGAAAGAATACGCAAAATATATTGTTCAATGTATGATTTCTGCTTTTCGGGGAGTATCTGCAAGATAACACATCTGTTTTTATCCTGAAACCGTGCGAAGAAAGTGCGGCCAAAGTTTTGAAAATGTCTACAAGGAGGTAAGCATGTTTAACTTATTTTCAGAAGAAATAGTCAACCTCGTTTCCAGGTTCTCTGGGTAGGCAAGAACCCTGGCAAAGAGGTTGAGAAATTTATATTTTCATTATTCACATGATAAGACACTGTAAATTTGCATAACGACATAACTCAAACCCAAATCAAAAATCATTTTACATTGTAAAAGGACGAGAAAGAGCTTGAAATGGGAACAATATTGATTTGTTGAAAATGTGCTTCGAGGACTAAATATCGCAAATTTTGTCCTTCTTTATATATACCTGGTTTTTTGAAAACCGGGCTACTAAAAAATGTCAGTCTCTCGCCCTGATTGGTAATTTAATGGCCCTTGTTACCTGAAAAGTATAATCTCACCTCAAAAAGAAACTATTGAATACATGAGCTTCCATTTGATAGAATCGTCTGTCTTGAAGGTAACAAAAGGGAAGTTTTCCTCATTAATCTGGAAAATAAGGCATTTTAAGGGGCAATTTTTAGTGTCGGTGTCACCGATTGCAAAGCCATTTCCCCAGTCCACCTCATTTTTTATTGAAGCTGATCTCCCAAAAATAATCTAAGCCAACAATGCTCAACAAAACAAAGCCCTACAACCACCAGTTCAACTGCTTGCTGACTAGGAACATTATCAACAGAGTGGGTCATTGCTTGCATGCAGACAGCACAAAAAACTGCATAAGAGTGCAAAAACACATCAAACTTTACAACAACCCCACCCCCCTGGAATTTAACTAGGCTACCCCAAATGCAAACCAGATGATATAGCCCTGTGTCTGTGCAACAACATGAAACCCAGCCAGACACAACCCCCTCCTTAATTTGAGGGAGACATTGAGCTTTGAAAGACAGGGGTAGGCCCCGGTACAAAAACTCAGCAAATCTCACTCTAGCACAAAGCATAGTCTTTACAACAACCCCACCCCCCTGGAATTTAACCAGGCTAACCCCAATGCATACCAGATGATAGCCCTGTGTCTGTGCAACAACATGACACCCAGCCAGACACAACCCCCCCCCCCCTCCTTCTTAATTTGAGGGAGACATTGAGCTTTAAAAGACAAGGGTAAGCCCAGGTACAAAAACTCAGCAAATCTACACTCTATCAATCAATCAATCAACTTTATTTAAACACGGTAAATGGCTCAGCAAGATGGTTTTCAGACACGCCGTGTGATAATTACAATTTATAAAAATTAAGACTATAACAATAATTAGCACAAGAATTGACAATTTTGTCTGTTCCTATCGACTGTCATAAACGTAACTACCTAGTTTATATGGTAATCAAGACTAATAATAGTGGTAAAAAAAAATAGCAATAATTTGAAATACAATATAACAACAAGAAATGAGTATTAAGAAATAAGATAAAAACATAATAAAAAGCATAGTCTTTACAACAACCCCACCCCCCTGGAATTTAACCAGGCTACCCCAAATTCATACCAGATGATAGCCCTGTGTCTGTGCAACAACAGGACACTTACTTCGACGGAAGCCCCCCTCAAAAAATATTAGCTGGCCCAACGGGGGCAACAGCCCGGCCCTGGATTTTTGATAACCGGGTTAGCAAAAATATCAACTCATTCTACTACAAAAAAAAAAGCCTTTATGTGACGACGGGCAGTACGTTAATGGTCCCTAGAAGCATTTCTAACGAGTCCAAATTTAAAATGACGCAAATTTTAGAACATTTATTCAGTAAAAAGACTTCGCGAAGTTTCAAACCGGTGTCATTCCACTCTAGAAATTTTTAGGTTGAGTGAGCTGCAGCGAAAGAGTGCCTGGTTAAGGCTTACATAACAACTTAAATAGTTAGCAAAACACCACTTTTTGGGCGGTCCGATAAACAACAGGATTCCGCATGGAATAGACAACAAACTGAATGAAACATAGTGCACAAATTATCACCTTCTTATCTGCAAAAAACCGGCCTATGGTGCAATGCCATTAGAGCCCGCTGAAACGCGACCTAGATCCAATTTTCCTGAGTCGAGAGTTGCGTTTCCAAGGTACAATCAGCTAAGCTATTTGAATGAAATATGACATCATATGTAAATTTTTGTAAGAAATAGCATGTAAAAAGCGATGTAAAATAAAGGCGTTGCAGTTTTCATTTTGTGTCGAGTATGAGGTATCCAGACTGGTCATCTTTGAAGTCTAAATTTTGGATTGAATGATGTTTAGTGATTTTAATGAGCAATTTAGTAGCTTTTGGTCACTAAGAGGTGATTGATTGATTGATTGATTGATTGACTGATTGATTGATTGATTGATTGATTGACTGATTGATTGATTGATTGATTGATTGATTGATTGATTGATTGATTGATTGATTGATTGACTATGGATTGACTGACTGATTAATTAATTGGTTGACTCACTGGTTGATTCGCGTTGTAAATATTTTAAAAATGTATTTATAAGTATGCTACAGAAAGGAATTCTGATTCACTAAAATTAATGGGACGTTTCTCGGTTGGCTACTTAGTAGTTCATACTGAAAGGGATTTTATTATTGAACGATGTGTACTGTCAACTCCATGAAAACTAACAAACACACTATACCAAACTAGTCTGATGGACTTCCTTAATCATAATTCAAGATTGCTGTTAATAAACTATGACAAAACAGTGCGGAAAACGATTAGTGAGTAAATCGTTGGCTTTTGCAGTTGGAACTACGGCCAGCCTAGACTATATTTACCCGGCATTTGTTTTTACTTGGAGGAAAGGCTACACATTCGCTCTATTTTTTTAACTCTATCAAACATCACCTCTCCAATACCAAAACGGCCTCTAAATTGCGTCCCAACATAGGCTGCTTGGACTCTAAGGGGTTTGTGAGTTTTTGTGGCTTCAGCCAGAAGCGAACAGACGGTGCAAGACAGAGATACAACACAAACTCAAAGTAAGTTAATAGTATTTCGAATGTTTTCAAACGGCAGATTATTAGGTCGACATGTTTTGTTTATCCCAATACATTCTCTTATAAGATTCAAATTTCACGCAGACCCCGCCCCTCCTATAAAGAGGTGGTCATCTCCAGAAGTTCTCGCGTGGTTCTACTGTGTTAATGGCACAAAGGACGCCAACATCATGCCATAGTAACTAGGATGAAAGTTAGCATAAAGCCGAGAATGCCAGTGATTAGGACTCGCTTTCAACATCCCGTCCAGCATGGCCAGACCAGTAAATCCACAGGAAAGGGCCTTGTTCACATAGGAAGCGGCTTCAACTAACAGTTTGTCCGAATCCTGAGTGGTAACCCATGCCCCGCATGCTTTGTCAAACGGTTCTGCGGCCGTGGAGAATCCGTAAGGACCGGACTTTAAGTGAGTGTGCGCGAGGACAGCGCTTATAATCATTACGGCTCTGTCAGTTTGAAGATCTAGAATCTTAAACATATTCTTGCCCAGGAGGGTCAATTCCGGGATCATCTGCACGCTGTCCGTGTATCTGCGACTCGGCTGGGACAAAACGATCACTTTGCTGTAGCTTAAAGTCCCTTTTGTAAAGTACAGCGGGACTACCTCTCCCCAGCGAAGCGGGAAAGAAACATCCTCGCTTCCGGGTGGACCAAATGCGCTAAGGTAAGAAACACTTTCCTTTTCAAATTTAAGGGTGCTAACAAGACTCTTGGTGCCTTTTGTGTCCATGACGACGGACAGGTTGTAGCAGCAAGGTAGACATGCGCAGTTATCTGTGTCAGAGAATCCTGCCCCTTTTGGACTGAGATAAAAGACGAAATCTTCAGGAGAGGCTATTCCGTGCGGAGTACTCAGGACTATTATATCTGGCTTCAGATCCTGGATTTGTTTTCCCACTTGCACTGCTGCATCATGTACCATCCAAGCCTGAGCCTTGGCAGTGGCATTGGTCGTGTTGAAATACCGGGGATCCAAAGCAATTCCTCCTGACGGTACAAAGATCGCCAAACAACGTAAACATAAACACTGATAATGTGTTCAGTACCAAAATTATTTTTCGAAACCGGTCTTGAAAGCTGCGATGTTCTTGTTCATCAATGCAAGACTCCAACTACTTTATGCTGCATATTTATTTATCTTCGATTTTACGAGAAAAGTCCGTCAGATATCGAAACCATAACGCAATACATTAATGAAGGCCAGAAATCTTGCGTACGAAAATATACACATTTTAAATACTATTAATAAGACAAGATGGGTGAATCACACCAGTTTTCAGGGAATTTTGAAACAAGAATCCATACTCTTTCTTTTCTTGTAGCCTGTACAATATTCGTTTTCGAATGCTAATTTCATAATATGCTATTTTCAAGCTTACTCATCACTGTCACTTTGGTTTCTTCAAGCCTGAGGAGCTCTTCTGGAGCAGTGCCAACTCTCCCGGATTATCCGAGAGTCTCCCGGATACGGCACCTATCTCCCGCTCTCCCGCTCTCCCGTACGGGAGAGTGCTTTAGTTTGAGATGTCACGGGTAGCCCATAGTTTCCTCAAAACGTGAATTTTTCTTATTCGTAGTACGGTTTCTGGCGCATTTTTGCACGTATTTAGCCACTGACAAAGATTATTTCGGCATCAAAACGATGATCGTGAATTTTGATAGTATGCAGTTCATGTAAGACTTCATATAAAGTCCTGAGCCATTCCCATTGAGGGCTGGGTCAATTTGTTGCGGGGAGGGTCCGTCGAAATTTGGAGGGTGGGGGTAGTGAAAAAGAGTGAGTCTCCAGATTTTAGATCTCAAGAGGTTGGCATCTCTGCATTGGGGAAGGCAAGGATGGGTCAGAGAGATATTAAAAATAAGGGGAGAGTGAAGAACAACGTCATTTTCTTTCCCAATTCGTTACCTTTCAGAGAGCTTTTCACATCTTCGGTCACAACGTTCAACTACCCAATGGCATGACTCCTGACACTTTCTGGGATTAAATTTTAAACGCAATCACGAGATCGCGACTCCACCACAGTCGACGTGCCTGATCTTAGTTCAGTGTTACTGTCAATTCAAGGAAGGTTTTACAAACGATTTGTTTCCGACAATTAATCGGAAAATGGTGAAATGGAGAAAGATCGAAATTTATGGAATATGTCACCTACCGTGCGGCATGACAAAGGCTCCGACAAAGACACTCTCTGCTTGGGAAACCAAGAAATATCCAAACACAAATATCACTATGATACTGAACATGGCGTCGAAAGGCTGAAAATTTTAGAAAGCCTAGTGGTATCCCTTTTAAATTGTCCTTTCTTTTGTAGACTTTTCAGCCGTGGCCTCTTTGATCGCCTTGAAGTCACCCTTGATTATATTACAAGTCGGCCAAGTTCGACCTTCCGACCCTGACACTTGTGGGTATCCGTCACACCCGACACGTTCTACAGTAAGTTGCGTGACTGAGTTTTGTTATGCGTGACAACTACTATTCCAGACTTAACGGACTGCAAGTGAGCTCTCCATTTGCCAACCGATGACAGCTACTCACGCTGTTCAGTATTTCGATATTTATTTACCATTCCAGATTGCGAGTAAGTTTCCTCTTTGTGCAAGATTATAGCATGCCGGCATTAATTAATTTGGGTAGGAGATCTTCCGTATGATGATAAAATACGTACGACGCTTGCATGTAGCACGTCTACGGTGAAATGGGTCATTCCTTGCTCGTTGATTTACACAATGTATCCTAGAAGTACTTGTATCGCAGAAGCTCGCGGAACTCTAGGGAGGGAGGCCCGTAAAATGTCAGGAATTGGAGGGCTGGAGAGAAATAGAGCAAACCCACGTCTACCTGGGAGGACAGGTTTTAACACTGGCTCTAATATTGGAAGTTGGGATACATCCAAAAACTCCTTTTGGTTGGAGTAACTTTAAACCCGGTTCCCTGGCTTTAAAAAGGATCTGGGATCTAAATGGGGTCAATGTAAATTGTACTGAAAAAAATTGAAAGTCTCGAATGAGTTACAACTAGTAGCTTTTACTCAACAGAACTTTTAACTGAAATGTCAGAATAACAACAACAGTGACAACAACAACAAACATCAGTTGTTACTTTTTGTCAATCCGCAAACTACAGGAACTAGTGTAGGCATATCAAAAACAGATGTAGTGAGCGAAAGATAAGCATTTTCACAGTATCTTAATTTCAAAGTTAGTGTCTTGTCCTTGGCAACTGGAACATTGCGTGAAGACAGTTACTGAGCATGCGCAGACAGGCCACGGCGACGTATTTTTGGAATTTTACGGGCCTAACGTACATATAGCGTACACTGAGTTCGGCCAATCAGTTAACATTTAAGACAGTGCATTCTCCACGGACGCCGTTTAACTCATCAGAAACGAAGCTGACGGCGATTGTATGGTCCTTGCCTCGATTTGAAGTGAAGGTAGCTGAAATTCGTGCTTCCTCATTAACAGCTATAGGTCCCCTGTATCAAGAGAAGGGATTCCTTAAGTTAAAAAAGCTTATCAAAGTCGTTAACCTAATGAACCCTTAATACCGGCATGTGTTATAAAACCCAGACGATGGACTCCGGGATGATAGACAATGGACAATGGAGGATAGATGATGGGCGATACCATGAACGAATGAGGCTGACTAGGATATGAAGAATTATGCAGATCGAGGAGGGTGTTATAACACCCTCCGAGATTTGCATCATTCTTTATATCCTACGAAAGCCGAATTCATTACTTGCTTTATTATTCATTCAAAATAATTCCTCGCTTAAAAACAAGCTAAAACATGCTTACCTTCGTCGATGTTAAGTTCACCTCGATAGTGGATGTTGAGAAGATAAAGGGCTGTTCAGGTCTGCAAATATACTCCAAATACCAGATGTTGCCCGTCGAGTTGTCTTCTTGCTATGTATGTTTTTAGACAATAGTTCGTCTTGAAACGAATAAAATGTTCCGCAGACTGTTCCGCCATTTTTGTTTTCACAACCAAAACAACTCAACCTCGTCCCCAGATCTTCTCGGTTAACGGTGCATTAACCTGCATTGTGCTGCACTTTTGACGTCATCGGTTGATTAATTGCAAAGTTCTTCCAAATTTGGTCAGCAATAGCTGGTTATGGTGAATTATGCGTGTGCTATTAGCCAATCAGAAACGGAGAAATATTTTGAATGAATAATAAAGTCGCTTAAAGGATTACGATTAGGCTTTTGTACATTATGCTTTTGCTTCCCTACTAAAATGCTCCACCTTAATGCTCCATTTTTCCCACTAAAATGCTCGGTCTCCCCAAAAAAGTCACTAAAATGCTCGGATAATGCTCATTATACAAACGGGTTTTTTTAATTAATTTCAAAGTTTACACTTACAAAAACGTGCAAGTGTTGCAAGTAACAACGACAACGTGTACAAGTTCATAAATACATCCAAAAAAACCAGCTGCATTAGGTTTTTTGCGAATTTTGAATTTTAGTCTTCATTTTGTTTAAAAAAGCAGGAGCTCATGGGGCATGGGCTCCTGAAAAAAGTTAATTTCTATTTTATTTTCTCGGAAAAATTAATTTTCCGGGGAAAATGCTACTAAAATGCTCGAATAATGCTCAATGCTTTTGCCTCACTAAAATGCTCGAAAAAATGCTAGCATAATGTACAAAAGCCTAATTACGATCCTGTGGATACTTACGGGGTATAAAATGCCGCTGACTTGGGTAGCATTCCAACAGCCTCAAAGTGAAACTGCCCATTTGTTAGGCTCGCCAGCGTCTCATTCTTAAAGGAAGCTGTCACTGTCACCATTTCGCCCTTCCTCACCATTTCAGGAGATGCCTGAAGCAAAACGAAATATACAGTACAATAAACACCGGCGTATAGGAACATATTGGATTAAGGAACTCCCGCCAGAAATTCGTCTTTTTAATACCCAAAATTACAAGTTGTAGAACTGTTTAGCCAAGCAAGATAAAGAAGGCTATCTGCAGATTTCAAGTAAATCGTGATAAACATTCAGTAACGAACGAGTTTGACTTATTGGGCTCCTGCCAAGGATGAGCACTTGTTCTGCACCAGCCTGCGAAGCAAGCATTTCCAATAAAATTCCGAAAATAAGCCTCGGGGCTTATATTTTTCAAAAACCCTTTCTGAGGGGCTTATCTACGGAGGGACATTTGCGCTTCAAAATCGATTGGGCTAGCCCAAGAGAGGATAAAGGGGACAGAGAAGGCATCCCCCAACACACCCTATTCCATAGGTAATTCGTTTCTAGTTATTTTTAGAATCGGGATAAAGTTACCTCGCGCGCTGCGTGGATGTTTCGTGGAGGTTTCGCATGACTACATGCCATGCAAAACATGTCTGGCGAAAGGCAATGAAAGTGTAAAGAGATCGAGAACATTTCTGAATATTGAATCGAAATGAGTCGGCGCTCATCTAGAAAAAGGGAATCTCTTTGACAACCCGTGAAATCAGTTTAACTCGAAGTTATCGTAACCTCAGTGCTTTAATAAAATAAGAAATTTCGCCGGTCTATTGAAATCGGTTATTTGTACAATAAAGAAAGTAGCAAGTAATATTCATGTACATGTAAATAGTTTTACAAATTTGAATTATATTGTAGTTTTCTTAAGTTGTTAAGCGCTGTTGATCAGTGAATGTAAATAGCTCTCTAGAAGTTATTAAATTATTATTATCATTATGGGACGCCAAGTGTTATTTATGTTGAATAATAAAAGACTAATAAAAGAATAAATATCAAACCAGAAATTGCTCTCTTCAAACTGTAAATTATAAATGATCCTGAGAGAATATTCACTGTGTTAAGGATTTCCCTGCTGTACTGTTAGCTCTATACAAGAGAGGAAGGGCGATTCTTTTTTAATTTCCGTTTCGCTGACACAACTTTAGCAGAGATCTCTTTTTAGTCGTTTTCGTCGACAAAAGGAACAGCAACATTGCTCTCCGCGTCTTCCGCCATTTTTTTCTGCCTCAATTCGTGAAGGACGCGTGGCTCTGAGCGTGGGTCATCCACGCGGAACACATTCGCGCTATGTGATTAGCTGTTGTGTAATCCCCCTTGGGATCTGGGGTCTTAAAAATAACTCGGGACGAATTACCTATGGAATAGGGTGTGTATGGAGGATGCGTTCTCTGTCCCCTTTATCCTCTCTTGGCTAGCCTTATAGTTGGAAGGAAATTTACCGTTTTTGCTTTGTCAGTTACTTTGTATTTGTGGGCAAATTTCCAAGGGGGGGATTTAGGGGGGCTTATACATGGAGGTTTTTTTTTCCGGAATTTTACGGTAATGTGTTGCCTGATGTAAGGGAGAACGGATTCTGGGAAATTTTTGCTTTTGGAATACGGATTCCAATGATTTTTCAAATTTTTGCCTGTGGAATCCAGAATCCAGCACTTTGGAATCTGGAATCCCACTAATGATTGTAATCCGGAATCCAATTTCCACTGAATTGAATATGAGGAATCCACGTCGAGGAATCCAGAATACAAGACTGTCTTGGATTCCCTCGCAAGGGACGAAGTTTTGTACGAAAGTTGAAATTCCTCTTTTTTGCTCTCGTCCCAGCTTTATGAAGACCTCGCAAAGAATATTTCTGGACCCTTACCTCAACCTCAAGTGTCGGCCTCAATAATTCCACTACAGCGTCCGTGGCGTACTTTTGATGGGTCTCTTCAACTGTCCCCTTGACGTACAGCTTTAGTATATCTCCGTCTACCATTCTGCCAAAGCACTCTGAACCTTCAATTCGTAACATGGTGCTTTTCTCTAAGATAGTGTAAGAAATTAAAGTTAAAATAGGTGAATGGAACACGTAGACCTTCCAACTCTCATGGTTTGGCCATGAGACTCATGGTTTGGGTAGTCAACTCACGGTCCCACGATTTAGCCTACAGCTCTCATTGTGAATCAGAAATTTTTAAAAATCTTAAAATTGCCAGACAATTCCAGAAGGAATCGCGTAATTTGAAAAAAATCGTCTTCATGGACGAATTGTATCAATCTAGTTTTGAGGGTAAACGTGAGTCAAATAATCCCACCTCTGCTCATTCCCTTAAAACATAAGTTCGCCTAGGTCTGTGGGAAAGCCTTATCGGCATTCTCAGTAAAACAGAATCTTCTTTTCACTGCCAAGAGATAAACAAGACAATACAAAAGAGACCACCAATAGGATAAGGAATACCATGACAAAAGTAGTCCATCTGAGTAGTCTGCCTTATTAGTTTTATTTCGCGCATATTTTGGAAATCTACAGGTTTGAGGTCCCAGTCTACACCGGTTTTTGGGAGCTCTTTCTTTCTCAAACACTCCAGATTTGCACGTTTTAGGGGTTGGAAGGTCTGAAACACTCATATCCTTAACTATTCTCTGGGGGAGGGGGGTGGAGTGTTTTATGCACTAAGCTTGGATAGGAGTTGACCATGAATTTGATGAAGAATGGAAGTTTTTTATCGGGACTCAAAATTACAACAGTCACTTATTACGAACTGCATAAAGGTTGATCTTCTATTTAATTAATAGTACCTTCTTTTGCAGCCAGATGAAGGGTATCTTTCTTTGCTTTAAGTACTTTTCCTGCGATCCCTGTGTAGAAAGCCATGGTGGACGTGATTTTCAAGTTCAAAGTTCGCTTATAATTGGACGAGTTCGTCACCACGACTTTGACATCAAAGCTGTCTCCGAATTTAAGATCATTCGGCCAGTCCAAAGAAATCGCCACGTCCCCTTCCTCTACCTCGTAAATGTTGAAGGACGCCTTCCTGCTGCTAAAGTTGTAAGCCATCTCAACTGCTCTCCTTTCTTCTTCAGTGCCTATATTCAGTAAAATATACAACATCATGAGCAGAAGTGAGGCTTTGCTGGATGATCTTCGTTTCCTCCCGACAGCACAGTCATAATGATATATGAAATAAATCATATATGAACTGCGGAAATGAAATGAAAAAGAAGAAATGATGGACACAGTGAACGCAATTTATGCAATTGCGTAAAGAAGCCTGAAAAAAATTCAGGACTTCAAAGGGGTTTGAACCCGTGACCTCGCGATACCGGTGGAATGCTCAATCAACTGAGCTATGAAACCACCTGCTCCCAACGTCAGTGGCTTCATAGCTCAGTTGGTAGAGCATCGCACCGGTATCGCGAGGTCACGGGTTCAAACCCCGTTGAAGTCCTGAATTTTTTTCAGGCTTCTTTACGCAATTGCATAAATTGCGTTCACTGCGTCCATCATTTCTTCATTTTCATTACAGTCGTTAAAGTCCGTTTTTCTATGAGGTATTCTTCGAGAAAATTAAAGAAGTAATGAGAAGGCTATAACCACAGTTTGCAACTTGTCAAGACAAATTGCTTGTTCTTTCCAGGTTAAGAGTAGAAACGTTTTATTATTAGGCAAAAAAATATTTGAAATCCCTCCATTTTTTCATGCCTGGCCAGGGGATCGGGGCCAAAAAGTTCACGCATGTACTCATTACGTTTTTCCGCCCTAAACCCCTCGGCTACACTCGCTCGCCGATTTTTTTCCTCCTTTCTCCCCCAATGCAGAGGCTGGTCCCAGGCTGGTATTTCGGTGACGTATTCGAGGAGAACACTCGGACCACTGCTCACGACCCGAATAACATAAGGGAAAGCGAATAGGTACTAGGCTGAGGCATGCACAATTCATATAAAGTTACCTTCTGGGTATTTGTAATCGTTTGTGACGTCAAGCCTAGATCGAGCCGAGTTCTGGCTGGGTAATTTGGTGCTGATTTTTTTACCAACAGCACTCTTTTCCGTGACAAAGGCTTTTACGGAGTTGTCAGAAAAATCCACATCCCACCGCACCTTGTCACCATTCACTTCGGCAAATATGAAGCCAGTGTCATAAGGTAGATAGACTTCTGCATTCTTGATTGCCTTCAAGGAAGCCGGACCACAGCGATAAATACCTGAAAAATTATGTCCAAAAAAAAATGTTGACCATCAGGAAATGTTAATTTTTTAATTCTATTTTTTTAAGTTATATTTGAATACCGTATAAAATGATTTGCTAACCATAACTTAGCTAATAGAAACGTGAACCAAGTAGTTTTTGGTGTGGATGGCGTGACAAAATCAAAGAATAGAGCCTTCCAATGCCGGACACACCTGATGAAAACACAGTGTCATATCCTACATACCTTCACTGGTTTCTTGGGGCGTGGCATCATGCGCTTGCCATCCGTCATGCCCGGCTGGCAGATCAGGACGTTTGAACCATGACTCGTTCCACACGTGAAAGTTCCTGAAAATACACAAGATTGAACAAGATACAAGGTATTTAATTTGCGCCTGCTTCCAGGTGAACCAAAACAAGGCTTCGTTGGTAAACATTGTACTGCGCATACTGCTGCACAACGGCCATAGACTGACAGCTCACTTGTGCGAGTTAAGGGAAAATTGTGGGGAAAAGTCTTTCTTCTCGTGGGCTTTTGGCTCAGCCGCCAAAATTTTCCCTGAACTGCTACTTACTGGAATGCCAAGTTAGGAGAACATCTTTAATTTACTGTGTCATAAAAAAGAACCATATTTGCCTATATGAAGTGCGAGTAAAATGGTACATGTTATTGTTTTATAATGGATATGTCTACCGGCCCAGCTAATCTTGCTTGTTCCAAGCACCTCACTTAAATCATCACAAATCAAAGGCACTGAACATACCATAATCAATCCAACGCAAAATGCAAGAGGCAAACCACTTGGCTATGAACTGTGACCGAGGGTTTGAACTCGGGATTACTGAGACATTAATCGAATTGGTGGTCAGAGCGGGACTCAAACTCGGGGACAACGCGCCTACCAACGCGGTGACCACTCTTAGCCTATGCTTAAACTATACCGGATAGGGCTTCTGTTTAAACCTAGATACGGTGATTTCGGTGCGAATTTTTTAACGGGGCGAAGAAGGGCCGCGCCGATCTCCAAAATGGAGCGTGCCACACTCCGGTGCTGTGTGAACAGATATTCGGACTTGCTTAGCGGAAGTGAATAAGCAGGGCCGGGGAAGAGGCCTGGAATCCGTTGAGATCAAGAGAGGATAAAGGGGACAGAGAAGGCATCCCCCATACACACCCTATCCCATAGGTATTTCGTCTCGAGTTATTTTTAGAATCGGGATAAAGTTACCTCGCGCGTTGCGTAGATGTTTCGTGGAGGTTTGGCATGACTAAACGCCGTGCAAAACATGTCGGGCGAAAGGCAATGAAAGCGTAAAGAAATCGAGAGCATTTCTGAATATTGAAGCGAAATGAGTCGGCGCTCACCTGGGAAAAGGGAATCGCTGGATTCTTTGACAACCCGTGAAATTAGTTTAACTCGAAGTTGTCGTAACCTCAGTGCCTTAATAAAATGAGAAATTTCGCCGGTCTATTGAAACCGGTCGTTGGTACAATAAAGCAAGTATGACGCCAAGTGTTATTTTGTTGAATAATAAAAGACTAATAAAAGAATAAATATCAAACCAGAAATTGCTCTCTTCAAACTGTAAATTATAAATGACCCTGAGAGAATATTCAGTGTGTTAAGGATTTCCCTGCAGTACTGTTGCTCTATACAAGAGAGGAAGGGCGATTCTTTTTTTAATTTCCATTTCGCTGACACCGCTTTAGTAGAAATCTCTCTTCAGTCGTTTTCGTCGACAAAACGAATAGCAATATCGCTGTCCGCGTCGTCCGCCATTTTTTTCAGCGTCAGTTCGTGAAGGAAGCGTGGCTCTGAGCGTGGGTCATCCACACGGAACACATTCGCGCCATGTGATTGGCTGTTGTCTAATCACTAATCCCCCTTAGGATCTGTGGTCTTAAAAATAACTCGAGACGAATTACCTATGGAATAGGGTGTGTATGGGGGATGCCTTCTCTGTCCCCTTTATCCTCTCTTGGTTGAGATGGATGGAGGTAAATATTTTTGAAAGTGAGGACTGGGATCTTAGTTCACAAAGCCCTCCCGGCCAATGGCCGTTGCCGTTCATACAAAACCGGATAGTTTTTCGGTGTCGACACGGAAAACTATGGGATATGGTGTGTGCATAGCCTGAAATGATCGTCTCCCCGCATCATCGTTCCTCCCATTAGTCCTTCCGTCTACCTCCATCAATGCACAGGGTATTTTAAAGGGGTGGAGTGTACTCAGAAAGATTCAGTTATACTGACAACTTACACTCACCAGACGGAGTCATCCCATTCTTTAATTGGATCGCCATTTTTGTCAAAATGGGTATCGATGGTCAAGCTGCGGTCATGATCGTGGGCGGACTGGAAGTTCGTCACGCTACGGGTGGGTAGACCCAGTGCTCTCAACACTGTAACAGAGTATCCAGACGATGGAGTCATTTTAACAAGTCGTTGTGTCACGCTAATTGCTATCTTTCAAAAATCTAAGGCCTAAAAATCGTGTCATCAATTGAATTACAAAAATAATGGTCTCGTTTTGTTATTTAAGACTGTATTTAGCTATTAGCCGGGACATCAATAGCCTGAGAACATGCCCTACCTATATCTGATCACTGTTAAAGAAAAGTTGATTACATGTTAGGGAAAGAAAGATAGCGCGCGCGCAGGATTCCTCATTTCCTCTCTTGTCTGTTCACAACCGAACGGGACAGTATGCTAACCAAGCCGCACTCGGCGCTACACCGGTCACAAACCCTACGTAATGGAGTTTTCTGATGATTGTTAAATTGGCAACTCACATGTTGTGACCAGTCCTGAGAAGACCCAGCACTGTCCGTACTTCACGTGATTCTTGGTTTTCCAGAATTCTTCAAGTATGTTAACGCTTCCAGTCCAGCCAGTAGGTTTGGTGCCATCTGTGTAGGGCTCACTCCATCGACCCAACAGAAGGCCTCCATCTTCGTCGTCAAAATTGACCTTTAAGATAATCATTGTACTTGGTCTCAGTTTAAAGCCTGGGACCAGCTAAGTAAGCAAAAATCCGTCAACACGGCTAAATAAACGCCTTAAAAACTGAGTCGCCGAATTTTACAGACGTTTTGATGGTGAGCAAGTGGCGGGAGTTGTTTTTGGCAAATTCGTTCCTGCTTTTCTCCCCATCCCCGAGTGCGTACACTTACAAAATCTCACGCTACGCCCCTGTTTGGTAACACTGAAAGTGCCTCTTTCTAGTTCGCTTTCCTTACCGACGCATTGACAGAAAATTTTGGTCAGTCCAAAGACGGGAAATGGTGAAAATAGTAAAGTGAGCAACCTATAAGAGAATAAAAAATTAATAAAAAAAGTGTTTCTATTTTAGTTCTTTCTAACGCTATACGTTCACGAATTTTCTACTGGTTGAAAATTTGTTCGCTAGGAGTTCCATTTTCAAGAAACCACCTTAACAGCACGAAACTTTAGACGCCTAGTTCTGAAAGAGCGAAAATATGGAACCGGTCCCTGGTGAGCCAAGTGTCCAGTCAATCTTTTTTTTGGCCGGTCGAGATTTCGTCCGGTGTTGTATGGACGTAGGCTAAAGTAAATAAATAAATATCTACGTTACTTACCTGGGCTGAAAGAGTCCGCACTATAGGAATTGGACTGGACTTTGCCTCTGGATGCTCTGCTAAACCGGAGTTGTCGAGCAGCCATAGTGCACAGTTCAGAGAGACATCTTCAAACTGAGAGAAAGATAAAATTAAATATCATTATTAAAAATACTTCACCCTTTCTAAATAGCTTTAAACCCCAGTCTAATTCTCTATAATTAGGTAGCGATGGCCAATGTAAGATGCGGGCAATAGGCAATCGACACGATTGACCGTATATCCCCTCCTCGATCTGCAAAATCCTGGGGGCAGGGGGCGGGTAGAAGCGCGACCGCCTAACCAAGTTACCCGGGGCGAGTCAACTTTTCATAACGTAACGAACCGTTTACTTGAGAAATAAAACTTGGCTGTCGATTGGCTGGATAAGTAGGGTGACATGCCTAGGCGGGACACCCCTTTGTTATGGTGGGACTACCCTCCTAATCGAGACAACTTTTCTCCATATAAACACTTCGGCACGCCCAGCCGGGTCAACTCAGTCAAAGCGAGACAAATAGAGCATGTGTGAGCTCTGTTTTAGACAATTACAGCATGCGCCAGAGTGGTTTCTTTGCTTTTTGCAAGTACCTGTCCAAACACCCAAGGTATTCCCCAATTGCTCCATTCACTGCCCACCCAAATGCGACCATGGTCAGCTAACACGTACTCCAGACGTTCTTCTTCATTGTCCATGTACGCCACATCATCTAACATGCACATCATAAAACAAAAAGCACTTTTAAATCAGATTTTTAAACAGAAGCGCTATCAGTAGCGGTTTGCCAGTTTTACAGAAAGTGACAAAAACTGGTGGATTTTATAAATAGGGAAACCTATTTACCGGCTTGCCAGTCTTGTCTCTTTTAGTATATCTTCTAGAGCATTACTTATGAAGAGCGTAGACAAACGACGTCGAATTTCTCTCGCTCTTTTGTTAAGGAATTGAACTCTAGGAGAGTTCGGCCATCGTTTGACAGTATGAGGGAGTCGAGATAATCGCGCTGAATTTTCATAGACGTTTAACACGAAATAAATTTTCAAGTGACGTTTTTGTCGCCTTTGCAGTCTTGGTATCTTAAACTTTCTAATAGCCAATAAGTCACACAGAGCTTCTTTAATTTCGGGATTCCAGTCGAAACACATCTGAAATAATTTAGCGGCTCTCCTCGCTATACTAAAGCAGGATCGCAGTACCTTGGCACCAAGCGTTAAACAAAATGCACACAATTTCGTCCTCCTTGCGTCTAAACACTGAAAGCTTTCCGTCGGAGTCTCTTGTTTTGGTCTCCAAGAAGACTTCATACCGTCCAATGATAGCATTGGCTGAGGGAATAACTGTTAGGTGCATTTTTGTGCCGCTGACCTCCTTGATTTTCATTCCCCATTGCTTGGGTGTGAGGACATCACGAAGTGTGACTCGGACAAGGGAGCCTTTGCTCTCCTGAGGTTTTTTCCCTGCGGTTTAATTTTGAAACAGAGTGTTTTGTTGGTTGTTGTTCAGATGAAATAATGACAAATGCTGCCTGTATTATTGAGCTATTTCAGCCTAAGCTAGCAAAAAAGACAATCAGTAATGTATAAAGTCCCAGGCCATTGGACGTTCACTTCTCACTCCGCTTTCGTGGGTGCTCCCTCCGCCTTGACTTACTTAGGGTTGGAGATGGGGGGAAGCGCAGGCCGGCAAATTTATAGGATAGTTTAATTCATTTTCGCGAAGGTTCTCAAACCCTGAGACTGACCCTGACCAGTCGCGGATCCAGGGGAGGGGCCCAGGGTGTCCGTCCCCCCCGTATTTTCATACTAAACTGAGGCCCGAAGGTCCGAACAAATTGCTTTTTGAGACCCCCCCTATCTAAAGGTCTAGATCAGCCACTGCTGACTAGAAATACAATTGGAAATGGACACTCTTTTTAATGATAAAGAAATTAACTGCAAAAACCGTGGACGAAGATCCTGCTGGAGTTAACGTTGAACTTCTAGAAAAGAGGTCTAGTTAGCTAAAATTCAATCGCATTTGTAAACCTGAAGAAAGCTGGTATGACCAGCCCAAATATTGTTATGAAAAAGCAATACACGTTATTATGATCAGCCTTGCAGTAGTCTTTGGACTTACATCCTTTTTAGTTTTTTTCATCAAGTGGACCTTCATAAAGCACAGGACTGTAGAGTAAACGTTGATAAATCGTTTTGTTAGTAAGCTGACGAGGGTGTGAAAGTTAAGACCTAGGGCTCAGCACCACTACCTTAACACAACCGCGGCACATACCTATAATATGGGTTAAAGTGCGTGCTAGGACGATAATAAGCTACAAGGCAGTTAATAAATGAGCTAGCAAACCTGTAGCAAATTGCAGGATTATCTGGTCAGATTCCGGCCTGTACACTCGGTCAAACGTCACCGTGACTTGAAATTCCTGACCTCTCCTGATGATCAGCTCTTCAGATTCGTAATCGTCAGTTCTATGAGCCATTCGATTCTCATATTTTTGGAAATCCGCGTTTAGTGGCTTCAGTTGTGTCTCTTCTATAAAATAAAACCGTTTGCTAATGGGTTAGCAAATTTAATTATCACTCCTTTTATCACCTCACACAATCATGCTTTTTGGAGTACTTTTGTTTTCGTTCCTTTTTTCCCTGCACATTTGCAAGCGTGAAACCATCTGCCTTTAAACCAGGCAGATGGCTCAAGAATTGGCCACCTTTATTTTTCAGTTCAATTTTTGAAAAGTTTGACAAGCCTTATAGGTGCAAGTTCATTTTACAAAACTCAAATAGTACACATGATATATTACGTGAGACTAATATTCTTTATTTTAGTTTTCATAAATAATGTAAAAGTCTAGGCAAATTCAATTTTTTTTAGGGTTTCATTGGCGTGGTCGTCGTTATTGCGAACCGTGTCTGATGAATCGTCAGAGTAAGGTGTAGATCGTTAGCAATGCAAAAACAGCGAGAAACGAGAAACTGGTGAAGAGGCTTTACACTGACCCAGCCTCCATTTGTGATCATCTCCGTTTAGCCGGAACTTGTCTTCTAGCGTTGACTGCGATCAGCCTAGTCCCTAGGCGTTCTCTCTTGCCCCGTTGTCCGCGCGAAGTCTGGGAAAAGGCGGTCGAGTCTCTCCCGGTGATGTCACAGCTCACGGCAGAGTCTAGGATTGACCGAGCCGAGAACGTGTTGGGACAAGGCTGGACCGCGATGAGGAGAGTAGTGGTTGATTATAATATTGTTGTTGTTTTACCCTCCTGTTACCCCTACAGTTACCTTTAGGAGGCAAAAAGACCGCCAAAGCTCTGTTCAAAGATCTGAATCTTTCGTCAGAAGTAGCATTCCTCCTTCCGTCCAAACCCTCACCCAATCTAGATCTGTCACGGTTTCTTGCCGAATCATCACTAAGAAAAAAAGTTAAAGAATTTTAACGGTAAGTAACGCCTAGTATTTAGATGTCCTTTCTTTCTTCCCAGACAAATGAAAACAGCAACTGTCTAAATTTTTAAGACTGCACAATCCAATCTCATGAAAATTTCCAACTTCCAATCAACCTTTCTTGTTCCAATTGCTTGACTGGCTTAACTCCTCCCTATCCTTCATCTCCCAGGGGCGGATCCAGGATTTTTTTCAGGAGGGGTTGCACTCGTCTCTCGCTCTACTTCAACACCAATAAACCACATAGTTTTTTTTTTTTGCAGAATACCAGTTGTATTAGAAAACCGCAGGTCATCTCGGGGGGGGGGGGTGCGCACCCCCTGCACCCTCCCCCTAGATCCGCCCGTGTCTCCCCTCCACTCCCCACCACCACCACCACCACTTCTGTAAGCAGTTCTCACTATGGATGCATAGGATGACTCACCGCACAGAATTGTGTTGAAATTGAAAGCTAGGGATGCGTTTCTTTCTGAAAATAAGAAGCGCTTAAACAAGATCTTGGTAAGGACGCGCCATCAGTATGGAATTTCTGAGTTAGTTCCTCAGACGTTACTTCGCCGGAAAACCATGGCTAATGGTGGCGTTGCGAAATGTCGGCTGTTTTCTCAGGCTAGGCAGGTATGTCAGGTATTGGAGATAAAACTCCCGTGAACAATTTACAAATGAAGCTTTTAATGTCTATACGAGCGCAAGCCCAGCTGTGATGACCTTGTTTCGGCACCTTCGTTAATCCAAACGCAGTTAAGGCTGATCAAACTTGGGCCGGAGGTATTGTCTCTAAAATTAAGTCCAGCAGTAGGTCAGCCTTGAGTGCTAGGGTGCAGGAAAGGCAAGTTGATAAGTATGCGACTTTAGGTAATACGCCCGGCCGCTTTAACCTTCAGTCATTCGTGAGAAGCCGACAAGGAATAATGGAAAAACAATAACGTGATTTTTTTTATTCAGAATAATGGCATACGTAATGGCTCTTAATTTGGGGAGGTGGTATTAATAATAGTGTATGATAACCTGATAATGGCATTTTGGAATTGGAATATAGCTGGTGGAATAATGGAATAAAGAAAATTTTCGGGTACTAGAATATCAGGAACACTCCATTTTTATTTCTCTCTCCTTCTCCCGCAATATACCGCTACAGAGTAAGCAAACGATAAATACTGACAATACATTTACCATTAAATTGCATCGGTTACACAAACAGATTGTGTGCCATTGTGGAATTACATGCAAGGTTTATAATAGCCTGGGCCGCTTGTTCCGGCTCTCTTCGCTCTCCGATTTTTGCTTCTGTTTCATCGCCTTTTTTCCTTTCCCCCACACCGGAGCCTAGGCAGGCTAGGTTTTGAACCAGGGATAGTTTGGACCTTTCTTAACTTGATTTCGTTCACTCTTCCGAGGTTTAATTCGGTCAGAGACAGTACGTGTACAATCGAAACGAAATTTATTTCTGAAAGAAATAAATGGTTTTATGCTTAATGTGACTGATTAATGTGTCATTTCTCCAGTTACTGGGGAGGGGGCGTTCCTGCCATCCGGAACATTATATATTGTGTTTTTAAGACATGAAAGCTAGGCACAAGGCCTCTCTGCTTACTGCAACAAGAAAGTTGGAAAACATTTTTCCCTCCCTTCCCTCCCGTTTTACTCCACTTTCATCTCCCGGATGGCGGGTGTGCCCTCACCTTTGCTGGGAAAAATCTTCTTGTGTATCTGGACTTTCCTAGCTTGATATGCTTAAATGAAATAAACGGCCACTCTTGTGGCCAAATTTATCCCAGACTGGAATTGTCATTATTGGGTATCCCAGCAAACAGAGCTTACCCAAAGCAAGACTCCACCAACAGCAATAACTGACTCAATAATACTATCTAAAGGACCATGGAGCATAAAGCTTATTAAAAAGAACAACCTTCTGACTCCACAATACAGACACCTCTCTATTTCGGACATTGCCAAACTTCACATGACGTAATCCCTAGCTACCTCAGTCTACATTTAAGTACACCCCCGCATTGCTGAAAGTTGGAAGTGTTCCTTTAATTTCGAACGTAACTAAACTATGCTACTCCACGGAAAAAGTCTTAGGTCTCCTGGCACCCCGTTTTGAGACAGTAAAAACTGATAAGAGAGCCAAAAGGATAGTAAGGCTAGAAAAAATCATTCGGCTCGGCTGCTCTGGTAGTCTAGAATTTATATTTTCATCATTTACATGATAATAAGCCAGGTGAAGACACTGTAAATTTGCATAAAATACATAACTCAACCCCGAATCAAAAATCATTGTTACAGTGTAAAAGGTCGAGAAAGAGATTGAAATGGGAACAATATTCATTTGTTGAAAGTGTGCTTCGAGGATAATTGTCGGAAATTTTGTCCTGAGTTATATATAACGGATTTAATGGTCTTAAAACAATTAATGGCAAAAAGACCAAAACTAAACGCCGTTTCTTATGGGCGCCTTGTGACTCAACGGAGCGAAACACTTGTGAGTGCCAGAGGTTTTTTGTGCCTGGTTTCTGGGGCCTGTCAAGTCTGCTACGAGCAGTTTTATCGCTCGTAGCTTCGGCCCTGGCCCAAAATGTCTCGGCCTGCGGCCGACCCCAAAAAACTCCGTCGGAGGAGGGTAAACACGCTTCCTAGTGACCATTGAAGTGTTTCAACTCATAAATTAAATCTTAAAATACACTCAGTATCGACTTCAACTTGAAGCCTTTCTTCCGCGAGACTTTTTTTAACGGCATTGGCAGAAAACTGGGACTTTAGTTTATATTAAGTTCTAGAGTTTGCCAGAGTCTCAACAAGATATGTCGTTGAGCACAGATTACCTTGAGTCTAAAGTTTTCAGCTCACTCAGACTGATCCGAAGATTTGCAGGGAAATGCTTAAGTTCGAAATTCAACGATCAGGGAAGGGTCGAAAACACCGTGACAAATGAGTTTGATTTAAAGCGATCATCATCGCTTGCGGCCTGAAATTAATTTCGAGAGAAAAAATGAAAAGTTTCGATCTGAGATCCACGATTCACTCTAGTAATTAATCACCACCCTAACACTGTCTACCGTAATATCCGCAATAACTTACCTAAAATTTGTCCTAGGAGATATAGGCGAAGAATCACCTTCAGGCCTTCGCGAAACCATAACTACAGCAGCAGTTGACGGAAGACGACAGCAGTTCTATGTGTTAATATTTTTAGGGTTGTTTTGAATTTGCCAACCAACAAAAACGTATGTTATGTTTCTATCCATTAATTGTGTTCTCCTACTGCCGTAGTAACTGACAATAGACGAGAGAGCAATTGTTTTGTATTGCACCTGGTACTGCATCACGGGGACCATCCGCTCCTCGCTCCTCGCGGACGTTGCGAGGCAGAAACTTGGTCCCGAATCTCTCCGCGCCCTATTTATCTCTTTTGCTGCCGCTAGCGTTTCCCTTGAGCGCCTTATGATATACTGCGAACAAGCTCTCCAATTATGGCTCCTCGCACTCGCGTCTCTTTTAGCGTGAGGCTCTCGCGTGACTCGCGAGGCCCCTAAATGGGTTTTCTTGCAAACTGTGACACACCCATAGTACCCACGTGAGCGGCATTCGCGGTTTCCGGATGTCGATCAAGTCTGCCACTAACGGCTCCATTGCTCAGCCCAAAGATTGTCGTGGCCTGCAGTAGTCTGTTACACAGGCGTTTTTAGTGTCGTCACGCAGCGCTCTTCCAGGAGCGTTGCGTGACGACATTAAAAACGGATGGGAGCAGACTACAGGCCTGCAGCCGACCTCACAAGAGCCAGGGTAAACTCGCTTGCACGTAGAAAATACCCTACGCACGCGAGAAAAACCTCTGGTACCCAGGGTAGCTTCCAAGCGATCGTTGAAGTGTTTCAACTCGTAAATCAGACTAATCTGTCTAATACACTTATCCACTTCGACCTGAAGCCTTTTTTCAGTTCTTTTTTTCATGGGCATTGACCGCTACAATCTCGGATGGAGTTAGCTTCTATTTGCACAGATGTGTTAAACGTGCAAAAAGACACTGAAATGTGGCGTTTTGCATTTCTCTGAGTCACAAAGCAGAAGACATTTGGAGCCCACGAGAAAGTTATCACAATCACGAATTAGTTTCCTCTCTCTCAGCCAGAATCTTCTTATCGGACTCTCTTCTTTTACCTCTGCTCGGGCTTCACGCCTTCAAGACACTGTCAAGATATTATTACGAGAAGATTGTTCTAGATGATGTTGGTTGATACTATTCGGATGGAAATAAAATATGAATAGCTCAGAATTAATATCTCATTAGCATCTTATTATCTTGAAGTGTTAGTACTGGCCACCACACCCGTCCCACAATGTGACCTGCAGTTCTGTACAGTTCTGGATCGTTCTTAGAATCTTTACCCCTCGAGGGCACTTTTTATCTCTTTTAATGCTGTGAAGATACTGAGTTTTACGAGGATCAGTTACTCCGAGATGGTATTACATGTAGTAGCGTTGGTTTTCAGAGATGAAAAGTGACGCTTCAATAAAGAATAGCTCAGATTATTTACATCTTATTAGCATTCTCATTCTGTACCAGCTACGAATTATAAAACATCACACATAAGTTTTAAATGAGTAAGATCGAGGTAAGACGCAGAAAAGGTCTTAGTGATTATACAATTGCAGTAACAGGATTTTTGTCTGAGACATGCTGTACATGTAAATAGCATTTTCAAAGTATTCTTGAAACTTCTTGAAAAAACGATGCATATTCTTTATTATCAAAGTTCATTGGATTTCAATTCCATACTTGCACATTTATTGTCCACGTTTGAATCAGAGTGTCTGCCGCTTGGTCTGATCCGCACTTGTCCGCACTTCCATCAAACTGAGTAGGCTTAGCTTGTTAGCAGAGTGAAATAAACATTTTTCAGACTGTTATTATTATCATTTTTTATCTTGTCGGCTAGTCAGCTTTCCAGAGCATTCTATAATTGGACTCCATCACTTCAAATATTGATGCCGAAAAGAACGGCCATTGTATGATACTGGTTCAAATAAGCCTGTCGGTACGTAAAAGAAAGATCCCAAACCACCAATTGGCTCGGTGGTTTATATTCGCAAGAGAGACATGAAAACGTGATAGAGTACCACCGTCGGTAAATTCAATTGAACTTGCCTCGCAGCCACGCTTTATTCTTTTGTCACGTACGTGTGAGCCTCGTTGCGTGAAAAGCGTCGCTTCAGCTTTTAGAGAGTGTGCTCCTAGTCGCGAGCAAGTCTAAAGAGGTTTTTAAAAGACTAATAGAGAATGCCACGAAGAAGCACTCGTAGGTCAGGAGGTAGCTCAGGAAAAGCTCCAAAATCTCCTGCAAGCAGTCCAGAGTAAGTATTTAAGTATTTTATTATTAAATATCCGCGTGTTTAGTTGTTCAGCAATATTCATAGGCTTGCAATTTAGCATCATAAATGGTCCATTCTCGCTTCTCTCTTTATCGATTGCATTTAGATTGTAGGAACCTTTTCCCTCACTTATTTACCAAGCTCTCGATGTAAAAATCTAACGCTCGCGCTTCGCTCTCGTGTAAAAATTTGAGCTCGACTTGTAGGCAAGTCTAATTCATACTCTGCTTTCGGTTATATATGCAAATTGCCGCATGGTTAACGTCTGGCTACGGCGTTTCCCGGTTTTAAGCGCATCTTAAATGTACAGGAACCAGTTATGGCTCTGCAAAATGTTCTCTAACAGGCCTTTTTTTGTTTTCCGTCGCAAGCATCTAAATGTTTATTTGCAAAGTTATTTCCGCCCTTGTCACCTATGTTCACATTTGGTCCGTTAGAATGGTTCAGTGACTGGGTTTACAAAAGTGAAACTAAGTACATTATCCATGAAAAGTTGTATCAGTCATGACAGATTTAAAACTGAAGGGAGGATGTTATGTTTGCCCTCTGAATTTCTTTTATAATTGAACGATTTGGTCTCGTTTCTTGGCTTTTCAATTTTTGGCGACCAGTTTTTTAATTTTTCACTGAATATTACATACGGACCATTCAACCAAAATGAAATTTCTCCAAAACTCAGAAGGGCGCGGCTCATGTTTTTCCCGGTCTGACCGCAGGTTTGGACGCGTCACTGAATATTACATACGGTGTGTACTTAACCACTAAGACATCAGAGACTTACATTATGAAAGTTTACTCGCCACACACTCAAGCTAGAGAGACTTCCGCGTTCACAGTGAAAGTAAAGAAGCATCCCGCGCAGATTTGCGTGTAAGAACAACAATTGAGACTGGATTATAAATCCACTTATATCCAATCTTGACGACCCGATGCTGTTGATATTTACATAACACGCTACATCAGTCAATAAGCTTTATTGCCGGAGGCGAGGTAGGAACGTGTGACGAAGCCGAAAGGATGTCTCGATACTCTCCCGCTCGTGTCCTCGCGCGAACGAGGTTGAGAATGACTGCGCGGGAGGCATCCTCGGAGAAAGTGAATTTGAGTGTAAAGCCTAGTTTCCAAATGTAATAAATGTATATATATTCCCGTCTGTAAAATCAGCCCTGCTTCTTTTGTTTTACATTTTCACTTATTGCTGATTAGATCTTAATTTATCAGGATCCGGTCCTTGTTTTTTCTAAGCTGGTTCTTGCTTCAAAAATTGAACCTTATCGGAAGCTGTCTGCCTCAGATTTTTACATAGGGCGCGATCCATTCAACCAAAATTTCCGGAAATTTGGGTCTGAATTTTGGTTGAATGGATCGCGCCCATAATAACCCTCGGACATACGGACGAACGAGGGAGGTGGCAACCACACCCCCGCCCCCGCCCCCTCTGAGGTTTTTCTGAGTTTTTTTCAAGACGATAAAACATCAGTACCTGACGTTTTCACCGCTCTTTTGTTAACAGTGCTCATGAAAATATAGCGGTACCCTAAAATCTAGACAATATTTAGTTTGTCGTGTAAACGGACATTTCACGGACCTAACATTGAGGCACTGTTGTCCAGAGTGGTTCCCAAAACGTTCGTTGCGTAAACCGCGCTTGAGTAGAGACAGTCTTCTCACTTAATTCATACTCATCCCCAGAGCCCCCTGTTCATCATGGCCCGCGGGGGTTGCTCTCGGAAACGATAATATGCTTATAACATTCACTACAATAACATGGTCATCTTGAATTTTAGCCTGCGAGAAGCGAGTCTCAAGAGAACTCGCGCGAGAGCGGCGAAGCACTCGTGTCTCCTTTCGCGTGCAGGTCTCGCTTAATGTCTCGCGACTCCCCCAGATTGAGACCTTGCTTGCCGGCTACTTGGACTAGACTGTGATTCTCTTTCGTTAATTTTTTTAACAGGCCTAAACGACGAAGGACAGCTGCTGACTCTGGACAGGACGAATAGTAAGAGAATTTCAAAGTTCTAACTAATTTATGAATATTAAGTCTTTACTCACTTCTTGTCTCTATTCTGCAATCTAGTAAGCTTCTTAAGGTGACTCGACCCAGTTTTTTGGAAGGGTACCGTCCTACTTTGAAGCTCTCTGGTATCCCCACCTTTACTTTTATCGTGAGTCTAACACAAAGAATGGATAACATATAGGTCAATCTACAATATAACATAAAATTTTTGGCGATCGGAGTAAATGTCACGTGGTTACAATGCCACGCCCCTTTGAGGTCTGAGTCGAAAATCTGCTGTTGCCGGCATTTTTTCGTGAAAATCTCTCGGCTACACATAGTGCCCATTAGTGCCTTGCGCTGAACAGAGTTTCACCAAAATCGCAAAGACCCAATTCGAGAAATTTAGCGGTTTCCAAATTTAGGTCATAATTTATGCGAAAATGATAAGCAAACTTTACACGGATTATATCTAATAAACTATGAGATTCATCTCTTTATTTTGGGCATCGTTATAACAGATGGGTCCTTGCAAGTCAGCAAAACGCTTTAGGGCCTTGTAAATGCGCGCGATTTCGAGCAAAGCAAACATATAGAAATTACAGTTTTCGCTATTTGTTGACGTTTGTCAGCTTTTAAGAGTCCTTCTCACGAAAAAACCATTTTCTTAAAAATTCCTAGTTTTTTTTCCTTCAAATGTTTTCAGGGCCACAATTGATTAACTAACTACCCGGACTCTGAATTTCATGGTCATTGAAAAACTTTGACATTATCTTCTTTAAGCCCAAACTTGAGTAAACAGTAGACTGCAAAACAGTCGGTTTTTTTCTCAAAATCAGTAAAGAAATCGGTAAAGGGTGGCGTAAGAGTCTTACGCGCGGTCCGAAGGGCGTGAGAGGCGTATTTTTAGCGTCTCTCCCCAGTCTCGCTCCCTGTTTTCAGCCTCGTTCCAGACCTTTTGTTTGACTGCTCGCGCGTTCTTGAATACGCAAAAATTCGGACTGTTTTGCAGTCTAAGTAAACAGTGAAGATTTTTAGCGTTTTGGCTGAGTTTGTGCTTTGGGAGTTGTCTATTGTTTCTAGTCTGTCATTATGCAGCATTCTTGTTCAGCACGCGTGCAATGACCGCGCTTGGCTGACTTCGGAATGCTCACCGAGATATGATAATTTTGGTACAGTGAGACGGGCCATCGCGTGATACATAGAGGTTTAACTCACAATTTTTAATCAATTCTCGTGCTTCTTGTGCCTTTGCAAAAAAAATCAAGAAGTGCTACACACTAATAGCGAAAACTGTAATTTCTATATGTTTGCTTTGCTCGAAATCGCGCGCATTTACAAGGCCCTAAAGCGTTTGCTGACTTGCAAGGACCCATCTGTTATAACGATGCCCAAAATAAAGAGATGAATCTCATAGTTTATTAGATATAATCCGTGTAAAGTTTGCTTATCATTTTCGCATAAATTATGACCTAAATTTGGAAACCGCTAAATTTCTCGAATTGGGTCTTTGCGATTTTGGTGAAACTCTGTTCAGCGCAAGGCACTAATGGGCACTATGTGTAGCCGAGAGATTTTCACGAAAAAATGCCGGCAACAGCAGATTTTCGACTCAGACCTCAAAGGGGCGTGGCATTATAACCACGTGACATTTACTCCGATCGCCAAAAATTTTATGTTATATTGTAGATTGATCTATATGTTATCCATTCTATGTGTTAGACTTACGATAAAAGTAAAGGTGGGGATACCAGAGAGCTTCAAAGTAGGATGGTACAACCACAAAAAAACTGGGTCGAGTCACCTAAGTTTATTATTGTCCGTATTTATTAGTTTTTGTAAGGGACCTGATGCAATCAATGATGTTCCACGAATTTACGGGGCGGTGGCAGTTTTGGTGGGGAGATGGTGTCTATTTCTTAATTTCCTGGAACGCTCCTTATTAAACGGAAATCACGCCCTTAAAAACTCAGACCTAAAAATTTTCTCATCGCGTGATCAAAGCCGTTATGTAGCGTAAGCTTTAAGTACAGTGGAATGGTCAATAAAAACGTGCAACTCAGTTGCTTTGAAACATTGCTCAGTGCAAAAACAAGCTAAAAAGCGATATTGCGAGTTTATAACCACCCACGAATGAAATCAGTCATGCGGCAATTTAGGTTGTTGTACGTTGCGAAAAGTTAATGTGTTGCTGAAAGTTGAGAGTAGTTCTATTTTTTGCAATAAAATCTGCACATGTTGTGCATTTGAAGTACCGCGGCCCAAGGCATATTAACTTCTTATGCAGCAAATGACCTGACTCCGCATGTTTATGGCGTGACTCCTGGGTAATTTTATCCTATCGGAACACACGACTCGTTTTGCAGCAATGTCTCAATTACTTACAAAACAAGTTGCATTTTTTTGTTGGCTGTTTTACTTGTAGCCTTACAAACGATCCCGAAATTCGCAAATGTCCTTTTAGTTTCAATTGACTTTCATGTGAGGTTCGATGATTTTTTTTATGTTTGTTTGGTTTCATTTCTTTTTCGCTGATTTGTTTCTGCACGTGGTAAACTAAGGCAAAGAACCACCAAAAACCTTATGTTACAAATTTCTAAGGGAACTCTTTTTTGTCAGTGTTGACTCGAGAAGCCATGTGATATTCAAAATGGGTGCCAGTGAAGGTTTGGAAGGGAGGACAAAGGTGTTATCTGACGACAAGTTTAGAGCTTTGAACAAGGCTCTAAAGATCGACAAGAAGAAACCCCAAGGTAAGACGATAAATATTCCGATGAAGAACATAGTGTCAGTATTACAGCGATGTTTTTATTACAGAGGTACAGATAGTGTGATTATATCATTAGGCACCAAGAGAGTTGTCCGTCAGTAATAATAATATTATACAGCAATGGTCTCACATGGCAGTATTTAAACAATTATTCCTCGAGCCCGAATGGGCTCTGAGTCAATAGCGGCCTCATAGGCTTTTTACTCAGAGGCCATGAGGGCGAGGGAAATAATTGTTTTAGTAAAATCCAACTAGTTGGTCAAAGATATCTGGAAAAAACAACTTTAGCTAGTTAACGCTAGTCTTCAATCCTTTTTTGCCGCCAAAAAGCCGGCGCTTTTCGCTACTAGTGGGCTATAACATATAGTAGTAGCTCAACCAATCAGAGCGCAGCATTGATAATAGACCACTAGTTGGATTTTACTAAAAGACCATAGACTCGGCTAGAGTATAGAATGAAAGCGCAGGGAGGAATGAAACGCTCTGGATACAATTCAGTTCTAGTATGACACCACCCCAAAAGCCACCTGACGGTAATGGTGTTAATCATGTTGATCTACTAGGATTTTATCCGTTTTTTCGCCCTTTCTATGAAACATAGGGCGTTAGGCTAATCATACACTGTACTTTAAGCAACATATGGCCAGCACAAAGCAATGTTAAAACCACGTGACTGTGATGCATTAGGTCTTGATTCGATAATCAATATACAGTCATGTAGTAATGTTTTTACTATATTTACAGCATCTCAGCTGAAACCAGAGGAAATTGATTTCCACGTAGAACAAAACCGCAAGGCTCATAGGACTGAGGACTACGAACATGAACAGCTAATCATCAGGAGAGGTCAGGAATTTGAAGTCACTGTGAAGTTTAACAGAGAGTACAAGCCGGATTCTGACGTCGTTGTTCTACAGTTTGTAACAGGTTTGTTTCATAAGCCTGCGTTTCAATTTTTTATTTATGTAACTATTAAAACCATTATCTCATATGGGCTCCTGCCCATATAAGAAACACGATTCTCAACCTAAGAAAAGGTTACGAACGCGCAAAATTGAACGAAAAGCATGGGTACTGGGTGCATAATCAACTACCCAAGTTTAAAGTTTGCTCAGGTCAGTAAACAGACGTTCCGAGGCCAGTAGGTCACACAAACATCCACCGTGCTGGTAGCTATATCAAACTAAAGAACAGTTTTTTTGGGCTCTTTCCTGATCTCTTGCAAAGAGATCAACGGCATCTGATTTTCTCCTCGATGTCGTAGTTTTCACTTCTGTTGAGAAAAGATGACCCCAAGCTTGTTCCAGGCGTTCAGGAGAGTGGCGCAAAATGGAGAGTGGAGGGGGCGGGGGTGTGGAAAGCAGAAGAAAGGAGAAGGGAGAGAGGATGAAGGTTACTTCACCCTCTCTCCCTACCCCCACCACCTCGCTGTTGTTTCCTGTGCTCATTTTACTTGGCCCGTAGGCTCTCGGTCAGTGCACACGAGCAGAAAAGGCGGGCGTGCAAAGAAAAAGCGAGCGAGCGAAAAAGGGCGGGAAGAAGGTGGTTTTGGCCCAACTTTTCTCCTTACGTTCTCCCTACTATCTTACAGCCTAGAACAGGGTAATTTATTTTACACCTATGTGTAAGGAAAGAGTAGCAGGTTATAGTTAGCACTTAATCCAACACTATTTAACCTCACTTCGGTAAATAACTCAGTTGTTGGACAATTCCACCATTCCGAAGATGCAAAAGAATGTTTTTTGTGACCCTCTAACGAGCCTGTAGACACGTGCAGTTTATCTAGTCCTCTCTTTCCTACACTGCTGTGGGCCAACCAGATATTCTAGAAGACCCAAACGCTCAAATTCAAATATAATTTCCAATTCTTTACAATCTCTTTTATTCCAAATTGGTCTTATAGGGAGACGCCCGCAGGAAAGCAAGGGTTCTGTTATCCGCGCCTTGCTACGCCAAACCCTTTCTACCACCCAGTGGGGAATAAAAGTCAAGCAGGTCAGCGGTAAAACCGTGCGTTTCACGGTCATGCCTTCAGCGAAAGCTATGATTGGTCAATACGAGGTGTTCGTGGAGACCATAATGAAGGACGCTGACGGAAGTAAATTGGTGTTTAGATACAAGGATGACGATAAAGTGTGCGTCCTGTTTAATGCTTGGTGCAAAGGTTAGTGACACCCATACTGTCTTATAACTTCAGCCAGTGAAACTTCAGTGGGACTAACCACTTTGTAACGAACACCTTTTAGCATAAGAAGTTCATTCTCTTAAAGATGTATGCGTACAGCTGCACTGTGATAAAATGAGATCGTCGGTGTCAGGTTATTTAAACTTATCACCAGTTCTCTTTACAATACTCACCGTTTGATCCTTTTCCGTTGCTTTTGTATCTTCAGATGATGTGGCATACATGGAAAACGATGTGGAGCGGAATGAATACGTCTTAGCTGATACTGGTAACATCTGGGTGGGGAGTTCCAGGCATAATACGGGAATACCTTGGACTTTTGGCCAGGTATTAAACGATTACAGTCAACTCTTTCTCAATCCTTTAAGCCCCAACATCCACTTAAAATTCTTCAGATTGATCTCCACACGCTTCCTTAAAGAATTAGATGATCGTGATTGATCTCTTTTTGATGCATTGAAGTTGTTGGAAGAAATTATATTACCGTAAATCCTCCATAAACCCTTGTCCCTTGTGAATAACCCCGAGGGGCTTAAAAGAGGATTTACGGGTGATGTTGGTCACTCTTGGGACCGTTGTTAAGCAGGCAACCCTATAAGATGCATGAACCCCCTCTTTAAAAACCGACATCAGCTGTTCGTCAGCCATTTACAGTGTCGTATGACTGTTTTTTTTTTTTTTAATGGGCATGCACCTCCCTAAAACGGAGACCGTAACGACACCTTGCCTTACTCTTTGCAAGACAGACACCTGTAAGACCGTACGGTCTCTTAGTGAAAGCCCTAACGGTTTCCGTCTTACAGAGTTAACTGTATAGCTTTCTTCTTCATCATTTTTCGTCGATGTGTTATTCAATTGAAACAAAAATATGCGTAGAATTGTTGTAATTAGTTAAAAGACAGCCTCCCTTTCTCTCTTCTCCGACACTTTAAAATGTTTGTATCCTTTTTTTTCTCTTTTATACGGACGCTTGTATAACTCTAATATGATTTGTAAATATAAAAAGTTTGTTCTCATTTCATTATTAAACCTAATACACCTGGAGTACAGTCAAGTATTCTTTGTTTCTGTGAGATGTTTCCTACGTCGACGTTTGTTAATTTTTTTTTTCTCCTTGCTAGTTTGAAGATGTCTCTCTAGATTGTGCCCTCTGGCTTCTCAATAAAGCACATCTATCTCCATTTGGAAGGTCTAGTCCAGTCTCTGTGGTGCGAGTTATCTCAGCCATGGTAAGTAGTAGAATCTCACTTGACCTCTCCTTAGGAAGGCACCCGATCAATGAGGAATTGTTGTTTTTTGTTGTTTTGTGTCTACAACATCGCTGGTTGTGTTTGTAAAGGACTGGTATCCAGGTTATACTGACCGATTGGCGCTGATGGGCTTTACAAGTGTGGCTGATTATCCTTGCCGTTAAGGAGTGTTGATGCGGGGACCACGTCTCATATCCGTCAAGCTGAGTTAGAGTGGATGGTAAAAAAATTGCCCCGCAATAGAAGGTGCCTCACAGAGACGCAAGCATAAAACACAGCACCGCAAAATAGAGCGATTTCCAAGTACTTAGGCTTGTGTGCACGCTAGCGAAATAGGAGACAAAAGCTAAGGCACAAGTACAGGAAACTAAGACATGGTACGGTTGCAGTTCAACCCTTCTTCACCCTGCTGTGTGGGATTTTATATATCTAATTTGTTTTGGTTATTTCTAGCGCCAATCGTTTATTCGCAACCCAGAATCGAACCCAGGCCTTCCGTATGCTAACCTCTCTAACGTACCACTACGCTACGAAGCGGACCCGCCAAATTTCCGAAGAAATTTAAGCACCCATCTAATATACTATCTTTCATTAACTGATGCATCTGTAACAGGTGATCGTAACCCTTACCATAACTTTTAACGATAACTCAACTTGGTCTTATACGGTAAGCCTTTTTGTGAATTCTTCATGTAGGCTAATTACAATGACAGCGATGGGGGCATCCTGTTTGGTCGTTGGACGGAGACATACCCCAAAAACACTACCAAGCCAACCGCTTGGACCGGAAGTGTGGAAATATTAGAAAAGTTTTGGAAGAAAAAGTTCAATGTGAAGTACGGACAATGCTGGGTCTTCTCTGGATTGGTCACAACACGTGAGTATTTAAAAGAATGATTGTCCACATGTTGTGCGGACAATCGGACGAAAAGAGCGAACCTGGTGTTTAACTTACAAAAGCTTAGGATACATCAGTACCTGAAACGTGAGTTAAAAAGAACGTGGAGACCGTCTTCAGCATAAAACGGTTAACATGGCTGAAGCCACACCGGCAGTTCGCAATTAGAAGGTAACTAGGTTTACCGATTCAAAGTATCGGTGATGATGCAGGTGATGATGATGATGATGATAACAGATTCCAATGTTAAACGAGCCGCGGACTCCTTCAAACTAGAACGGAGGCGGCCTTTTGTCTTAAGACTTGTAGTCTTTTCGATGGAAACTTTACAAGAACAATCTTCTCATGTCTTTTCTTAACTAGATGAACTTATTTATTTATTTATCTATTTTAATTTGTATTCCGTACATAAACATATTCTTTCTCTTCTATCAGTGTTGCGAGCACTGGGTCTACCCACCCGTAGCGTGACAAACTTTGAGTCAGCCCACGACACGGACGGCAGCATGACTATCGACTTCCATTTTGACGAGGAAGGGAATCCTTTGAACGATCTCAATGACTCCATCTGGTGAGATCCCAATTAGCAGAGTTATCGTTTCCTTTTTCTGCCTCTCCCTCCTTTTTTCAATCTCGTTTAATGACTCTTTGATTGGTCTATTTGGGGGTCTAGATTAGGCTCAGCTCAAAAGATGAGAATTATTAAAAACGTTTACCGTCACTGCTGGGAAATGACGTTTTGTTCAACCAAAGAGATCGAAGATCTATAGAATTTCCTAACAGCTGCAAAATGGGCTAAAATTTTAGATGATAGTTAAGAAATCGCCACAACTTAACTTATTGTTGAGAAATATTTCAGCACTCTCATCTAGATGCTTGTCACTCCCGATTATCTAAACTTGCCGACACAGCAAAAGACAAAAACACTAGTTGTTGAGGCTTAAGGTTTTCCTCTTAATGGAAAGGAAGTCAGAAATAATTTACCTCTCACCGGGTCATTCTCAGGAACTTTCACGTCTGGAACGAGTCATGGTTCAAGCGCACTGATTTACCAGACGGACATGATGGATGGCAAGCGCACGATGCCACTCCCCAAGAGACAAGTGAAGGTATGCATTTTCATCCTGTTTCTTAAAGGAAACCTCCACTGTCATAAGAAATTGACCCTTCTGAGAACTCGTTTCGTCACGTTGCCGTAGTAGCAAAATTTTCTGGATCTAACCTTGGTCCTGCAAATAATGCGGGGGAAAAAAAAACGAAAAAAGTGACATGAATGACTTTACTGTGCCTGATTGCACTCAGGAACAAAACGGTAGTCCATACTAATTTTCTTCTATCGTTCTACAATGCAAATGGTCGTCTCTGTGAAGAAGGAATGTTAAGATCCAGCAATCTTGCTACCATGGTAACGTGACGTCAAACGTCTCCTCTCTATTGTGGCTGATGTTCAGTACTTTCGTTTTATTTCTCTCAGGTGTGTTCCGCTGTGGCCCGGCTTCCGTGAACGCAATTAAGAATGGAGAGGTGTATCTACCTTATGACACTGGCTTCATATTTGCTGAAGTGAACGGTGATCGCGTGTATTGGGACGTGGATGATGATGATGGGTCAATGAAGGCGCATTACATCGACAAATATAGCATTGGCAAGTATATCAGTACCAAAATGCCGGGTTCAACCGCGAGGCTTGATGTGACCAGAGGTTACAAACATCCAGAAGGTACATTCAGTAATTTTTTTTTATCTCGGTTTAGCATTTAAACTGTGAAGGATTTTGGTGGTGGTGTTGATGATGATGATGGTGATGATTGTAGTGATGTTTATGATGATGATGATGATGATGATCGTGGTGATGGTGATGATACGCTGAGTGATGATCGATGCTGATGATGCTAATGATGATAATGATGGTGATGATCGTGGTGATGGTGATGATACCCTGAGTGATGATCGATGCTGATGATGCTAATGATGATGATTATGGTGGTGGTGGTGAAAATGATGACCGTTTTTAGCATAGTTCTTTAGAGTGAAGCGCAGCCTGTTGCTAATTCTCCGTGAATTTACAAGGCCTGGTCATCTTTTGATAAGTAACTGCGGTCAGTTTAAGAATCAGGCAAAGAAATATGGACGCCGATTAACTTCATCGCTCATATTCATTTTCGGTTAATTTGCCAAATGTTGGTTAAATGTTTTCGAGTTGAATCCGCAAGGACCGTATCTAGGTTTAGAAGAAAATAAAGGAAATTTTTGTGTTGTGTTCTCTTACTTCATAAAGCGGGGGTGTGAAATTAGGAATTTTCATGTCGCCGTCGTGCAACGACGGCTAAGAAATGTACAAAAAACCGTGATGCACTTGCAAAGTTGTTGTTTTGCTTTATTAAACTATTGCTTTTTACCCGTTTTCGTTGCCGTCGCCGTCGTCGTTGCTTAAGCTCCCTATTGTTGTAATCCATGGTTACGTGACGTCACACCTCTCTCTATTACCTGAGGGAAGAACGCGAAGCGTTGAAAAAAGGGCCCATTCCCATACGATACGACATTTGGTTAAATTACTAATATTGTACCCGACCTTCTCAATTTACACGCGCGCTTGTGTCTTGTTAACAGGCTCCCAAAAGGAAAGGGATGCTGTTGAATTCGCTAACAAGTTTAGCACCCGAAGAGAGTTCGACATTTACAAGGCAGACAAAGAGGACGTTCAGTTTTCTTTGCAAGTTGCTGATGATATCGATATCGGAGACAGCTTTGATGTCAAAGTCGTTGTGCAGAACAAGTCCAACGAAAAGAGAACTGTGAAGTTGAACATCACTTCGGTTTTAGCTTTCTACACAGGAATGCCAGCCAGAGACCTTAAGCAGAAAAGAGAAACTTTGCATCTTGCTGGGAAAGAAGGTACAGTCACACCCTGTTAACACGGATACTGGGAGGGGGGGGAGGGGGAGGGGGGGCGATAGAAAGTGTACGTCTTAATGGGCGATCCGTATTAGGGGGTTCCCGAATTAGAGAAAATGTAAGAGCTTTCTTTCCCCCAGGCAAAAACCAAACTGTCCCTAATAATGAAGTGTCCGTTGTAAGTAGGTGGTCGTAAAACGGAGTTTGTATTTATGATTACTGCAAATGTTGATCACTCACTTAGATTTACTTTCATAAAATTGTTCACGTAAAAGTTTGTCTTTGTGGGATATATAACAAATCACTTCATGTTTGGTCCCTGGAGAAACTGGTTAATTTTGTTTCCCAAGAATCACAATTTTTTTCTTTGCCCCGCCTCGGAAAGTACTGTAAATCCTTTTTTGCCACCAAAAAGCCAGCGCTTTTCGCTACTAGTGGGCTATAACATATAGCCTAGTGGTAGCTCAACCAATCAGAACGCAGCATTTATTGTAGACCACTCGCTGGTTTTCACTAATTAGCCGTTTTGGTCTGAAATAGGGTATGGTTTGTGAACTCTAGTCCTTAGGTAGGCACGTATTCTGTATTTATGAAGGCCCATTATGCAACCTGCTTCATAGTGTGGAATTTTAAGCTCGAAACTTTGTACAGTTGTATCCTACTTAATAAAAGGGTATAAACGTTGCCTTTAATATTGGTCTGACCTAGGGAACTGATGATAAGGCAGGTCCGAAATAGGGTATTGATTTAAGGGTCAGGTCTCAAATAAGGTATTAAATTTTTGATCAAGTCTGAAATAGGGTAGGGAAAATCACAGATTTTTGTCTGAAATAGGGGAAGGGTTTCAAGGGTTTCAAGAAGCGTGCCGAACACCCCCACCCAATTTTTCTGGAAGTATCTCCCCCCGGTTGTGTACATATAGCCTAATAGAGCGCGCTGTTGAGAAAACAATTTCTAGCCATGAAAGGTTTGAACCCAGGAGTCATTTCAAAAGTAGGTTGAGTTTGATCGTCCGGGTGAACGTAGTCCTGAGTAGGACTGTTGTTGTTGACAGTGACCGACGTTTCTACAACCTGTACTTTAGTCATCTTCAGAGTAAAAGTGAGTTGTATCACATCAGTTGATGGTATTATACTCTGGCAAAACAGCCTGTATCATGTAACAGAATTTGATTATCAATATCTCTGAAAATACGTACATCGAAAGCGCTTACTTACTAATTTCTCCTCAGAATTGAGGTGTTCGAAAAACGGAAAATCCTTATTAATAATCTTATGTATATGAAGCTGTATGGAAGGTTGGTAATTACGTTTAATATTTATGTTTATTCCCTAGAAAAAAGCGTGATTTTAAAGATCGCAGCCGCAGACTACATTGGAAAGTTGGCGGCAGACGGAAACATTAAGCTGTTTATCAAAGGAACGGTCGCGGAGACGGAACAGAGGTTCGCTACCCAAGATGTGGTGGAAATGAGAAAACCATCAATGACCGTCACGGTAAGAGCCCCCTCCCCCTATAGGAATGACGGTGTTACTGGTCTTAACCCTTTAAGATTTTCTAAGGAGAGGTGCTACTACGGTGACATGACCTCAAAATCACCTCCAGTGACGTCACCACCGGAGTTGTAGTAGGGCTTTCCCGCCGGCTGAGCGTTGTTTTCTGGTACGAAGAAATGCCTTGATTACCGTACTCCTAAATATGTCATTATTAACCGGCATATGCTGTACCAGAAAACAAGGCTACAGTTGGCGGCAAAGCAGCACTACAACTTGGATCCTGACGTCACCGGAAGTGATTTTGACGTTACGTCGCCGTAGTAGCATCTCTCCGTAGCGAATCTTAAAGTCCCTAATATTCGTGGATTAATACGGCTTGGAGTACTTAAATTTCAAATGACTATATAGAATTATTTATCGTTGTATCGTTTAAGTTGGCTTCCATCTGACATTTAAGAGGCCCTGCGCCTAAGAAACGACCGATGATTTCCGGCTAAAAAATAAAATCGGCCGATTTTTATCTCACAAGTAGAGGTTACCGAATACTATTCAAAAATGAATTTCTTTTGTTTCAGTTTCGCTTTAAACGAGAAATATCGAGCCGCAAACTTTTTCCGTCTGATAGCAGCCAAATCAGGCCTAAAATAAGCCCTCGCAAAAAACGGTTCAGAAATCACTATCGCAACGCAAAATAATGAGAAAACTACACAGTGATGAAGAAAAAGGCCTTTTAATGCAATATCATTCGATGAACATCGAAAAGCGGCCGAAGTGAATAAAAAATGAATTTTCAAATATTGCATACTAAATTAGATAGAGCGCTGGAGCTGATTTTAAAATAATTATTTATCAAAAGTCCAACGCTGTTGAAAGCAATCACAGTGATGAATCAGACATTGGAGGAATATACATTACGATTCTGGAAAAACATTTTTCGGCCAAAGTATATTGACGTTGTACAAAACGTTCAAAGTTACCGTGTTTACTGTTATCTTGCTACTTCGGCGAAACACTTCTCTGTTGCCAATACGGCCGTGGATAGCGTGGTAAACACCACTTTAATCCTTGCTAGGCGCTCAGAGACCATCCTAAGTAGAAGAACGTAGAATTGAAAGAGAAAGGAAGATGAAAAATAGGCAGAAAAAGAAAATAACTGAAAATTACCATCTGCTGACGAAACTTGAATCTGGAAAATGTCGTCGCGTGACGGCGGCCATTGACGTCATTTGTCTAAACGGCGGCGGAATCTAACGAATGCACAAATAGGAAAACAACTTCTTCGCGGCCAGAAAGCATTAAGTGAAACAATGTAATGTTATTTTTTCTCAAGCGATGGTGACTTAAAAAGAAAAAGTTCCCGAACCGCCGCACCGTTTTGGCCTCAGCGTGATCTGAGCGTTGTGGGGTCACGAGTCGACGCTTCTGGCCAGCGGTCTATTGAAAGATATCTGACCCGATGTTTTTTTTTACTCGGGCGAGAATCATTCATGTCGATGTCCAATGTCTGCCTTCAAGGGAAAAAAGAGAGATGTTAGAGTACTGTCGCTCCCAGGAACGAGGAACATCTTGGTCGCGAAAACTGAGTTTTTTTTCCTCAAAGGACTAGTATCTGGCGCTATAAAATGTAGCCAACAGATTCAATTCTTAACACACTGATTAGCCCCGCGTTTAGTATTTTCTTGGACATCAAAACTTCGGGAGTGACGCTATTCAGTGGAATGGCGGACTGACGGAATGATGGAACGGAATGGCGGAATACACGGAATATTCTAAAATATGGAATCATGGAATACTCTAAAACGCAGGATAAGAGACAAATCGTTTAAAAAGCAGTCGACTCCAACAACCCGAACCCTCGCTACCGACTCGAACCTCGTGCTAACTCGAAGTAATACTAATTTTTGTTTCCCTTCAGATCATTTCTATATAATTTTACCCTCAATAACTCGAACCATGTTTTAAGCGCGTGACAAGTAAAAAAATTGAAGCTAATTGACTTACCGTAATGACTCGATTTAGCGCCGAGGCAGCTTATTTACTTTTGGTGCCTTAACATGCTCAAGGGAGGACGCTTATTCGGGACAGGGCGCTTATTTCTTTGTAGAGAAACAACCAAATGTTAAAAAAAAAAAGCTTTATTATTTATTTAAAAACGAACAATCTTTGAAACTGAAACAGTAACAAATACTGCCGGCGGTGAATGCTCAGTTAACGTGAGGGACTTACCTTGAAACTCATGTTGGGCATTTGCCGATGGAACTTTCCTTCCTTATATGTCACTTTTCTTAAAAAGAACTCGCAGTAAGAACAAAGTGCAAGTCAATTAAGGTAATGGATCAAGGAGACTGGAAAACGGACTTGTTGTCCCTGGATTCTTCCTCGCCAGAACGACCAGCCGAGCAATCGCCACAAAATTTGAAACAGAGATCATTCCTTTGAAGACTTTATGCACTCACATGGACATAAAACCACTGTTTTTGTAATGTGGAAATACCACGTTCATTTGTGAGCTATTAAATGAAGATGAACCTCGGTTGATACGTACCCGAACTCTTATATAATATTAGAATGGGAGCGCTTATTAAAAAAACACATTTGAAGGGGGCGCTTATTCGAAAGGGGGAACGCTTATTGGAAGGAGGGCGCTAAATCAAATAACTGTTTTGGAGGCCATCTTGACGGTTAAACAACCGCGTGAAAATATACAGTGTTGTGTGTAATTTTTTCTCGTTCTTGCCGACTAAAATTTCCCAGGAAAATTGCGGACAAATGTCTGGAAAATCTAAAGAAAGCGACCGGACAAATTTAGGCGCAGGTGCGGCCACCATTAATTGTTAGTATAATCCCGTCAAGCTTAAGTTGACAATTCTTTTTTTTAGAACAGCCGTTTTATGAAAATTATCGGACATTAGATTCCCGTGATACAAGCTAAGACCCTTCACCCGTCAAGATGGCTTTCAAAACCGTCATAAGGTCTATAGTGTGGCTTACGGCAGTACAAAAATTTCTTTCTTTTATATTTCAAAACAACCGAGTATTCTTTGCCTCTGCCTTTTTGTCAGTCCAGTTCAAATCAAATACAGAATATTCTGTATATTCCATGTTTTAGAGTATTCCGTATATTCCGTATTTAACAATATTACATGTATTCCGCCATTCTGCTGAATAGGGTCACCCAAATATCGGGGAGGACATCATAAAAAAGGATAGGAGACCGGTAGGATTTTTAAATCGATGAAAGTGCCTCACTCATTTTGCAACTTCATTTTATAAAATGCTTCAGAATTTGTTCCCACAATAATATTTACGATATTTAGATAATAATAACCAATGCACTACGCACAACTTGTCATATAAAATTGGACAGCATACCATGCACTCAAACTCTTGCGCAGGAAAGTTGCAGAATGAAATTATTTTTGCTGCACTCAGTCACATTCCTTTACAAGTTCTGAAACCTTGGCTAAAAGGTCTCTTTTTAGATCTCTAGATTTGTAAGGTATTTCGAAATACCCGCAAATGTCTTTGAGATAAACAAACACGCGAGATGGATACAACTTTAAGTAAGCGTGACCGAAAATAAATGCGGTATCAGTATTTCGTCGATTTTTGACACGGTATTTCGGTATTTCCCAATTTTTCTTAAGGTATTGCGGTATTGGGTACCCCCAATGCCCCCCCCCTAGCATGGCGTTGCTCTCCAATTTAGGTCCGCTGACCTCTACACGCGCTGACCCGTAACGTCCGTTGGAATGTATGTAACGAAATACATGCAGCCCACATTCAAAGCACTTGGAGTGATGCTGAATTCATCATCATTAATAGGAACAACATAAAGCTGTTTCACTTCACGATTTCTGGTGATAGAAAGATTGTTTTTTTTTTAACTTATATTTCACGCATTTGTTTGGATTCCGCTCCAGTTTGGGCAAATGAACGCTGTCACGCGACAACATTTCCAAGATTCAACTCTCCTTAGAAGATGGTAATTTCGAGTTATTTTCTTTTTCTGCGTATCTTTAATTTTCCTTTCCTTTTTAATTCTATATACTTCTACTTAGGATGGTCTCTGAGCGCCTAGCAAGGATTAAAGTGGTGTTTACCACGCTATCCACGGCCGTATTGGCAACAGAGAAGTGTTTCGCCGAAGTAGCAAGATAACGGTAAACACGGTAACTTTGAACGTTTTGTACAACGTCAATATACTTTGGCCGAAAAATGTTTTTCCAGAATCGTAATGTATATTCCTCCAATGTCTGATTCATCACTGTGATTGCTTTCAACAGCGTTGGACTTTTGATAAATAATTATTTTAAAATCAGCTCCAGCGCTCTATCTAATTTAGTATGCAATATTTGAAAATATATTTTTTATTCACTTCGGCCGTTTTTCGATGTTCATCGAATGATATTGCATTAAAAGGCCTTTTTCTTCATCACTGTGTAGTTTTCTCATTATTTTGCGTTGCGATAGTGATTTCTGAACCGTTTTTTGCGGGGGCTTATTTTAGGCCTGATTTGGCTGCTATCAGACGGAAAAAGTTTGCGGCTCGATATTTCTCGTTTAAAGCGAAACTGAAACAAAAGAAATTCATTTTTGAATAGTATTCGGTAACCTCTACTTGGGAGATAAAAATCGGCCGATTTTATTTTTTAGCCGAAAATCATCGGTCGTTTCTTAGGCGCAGGGCCTCTTAAGAGTCTGCGACGGTCTTTCGACCTCTGTGTCTGCGGAGGCGGATAAAATAATAGACGGCGGTGACTATTTGCCTCAGTAAAGTTTTGTTATACGCTGGTTCCGATCCAGATGGGTTTTTTTTATTAGAGTGCCTCAAGCCACTTTTTGAATTACATACCGTACCTCTAGAACGAGGGTAGAATTGATATCTCTTTTGGGTGAAAAAGTGAATTCAACCCATTTCTCCAAGGCGATCTTCTGATACCTTTTATGAGGCAGTGCACTGAACCACTCCTCCCAGAACGCAAACGGTGTTGCATTCATGTCAAACTGACTGAAGACAAACGAGGTCTTAGGGAACTATAGATCAATACTTATAGATGTTAAAGTATAAAGTATTTCTTAAGCACTCAGTTTCATTATTAGCCCTTGGTTCTTGTAATTGGGCGACCATTTTCTTCTTCTGGCATTATCTAAATTCTCTTTTTTTTAATCTTCTTAGGTGTCCCCGAAATCAGCAAAGAGAGGTGATTCGGTGCATGTTAAAGCGTTCTTCAATAATTCGTTGCCAGTGCCCCTGAAAAATGGAAAGTTCCACTTTTCGGTCAGCGGGATGTATCCTAAGTCAATGGAAGTTGATTGCCCGTGAGTATTCAGAGCGTTTTAGTGTTGTTTACACTGAAATTATGAATATATGAAAATCATATATGTGATCATGAACTGGGGAGCGAAGAATTACTTGAAGGAAGATCATCGCAGTTGTATACACAACTTATGCAGTTGCGAAAAGAAATCCTGAAAGAAAAATTCAGGCTTGTATGGGATTCGAACCCTTGACCTCTGCGATACCAGTGTAGCGCTCTACCAATTAAGCTAACAAGCCAACTGGGAGCAGCTCGTTGAATTGGTTCGCGATAAACCCGTTAAAGGAAGATGATGAAATTATGAATATATGAAAATCATATATGTGAATTGCGGAGCGTTATTGGTGTCCGGAGAAAGATGTAATGGCAATTAATTTCAGCCAGATTCTTTGCTCAGTCACCCTGGGTACAGATAATTAAATTAAAGGTTTGAGATTGCAATGAGTACCTAGCAGCAAATTAATCACACTTTACACTTTAGCAGTCTTTAGTAGTTGTACGTACATGTGGAATGAACGGGAAATGAAACTGACTTGCTGAACGAAAAATCTTGAGTTTGCTCTTAAGCCAGTGGGTGCCTTTATATTCTATTAACCGGAAAATTTCTTTGGTCGCGGTTTTTTACTAAAACGTCAGTTGGTCAAGGCAAAATTTGTTTGTTTGTTTTTTTAATTGAGGAAAGCGATTTTTAGTTTTTAGTTTTGCAAGATAATAGGGAACTCGCTTGCGAACTCAGTGTCGAAGTGCGTTCAGGTGAATTCGGATTGGCTTAGAGTTGTTTCGATGCTCGCAACGCACGTGCCACTTTAAACCTTTTAGGTATTACTTCTATCTCTTTTGTATTTACATTTTCGATTTATTACCCCCGCAGGTATTTCGCCTAGAGGGCGAAATCCCAAGGAGGCATCCTAGTAGCTCTCGCGTATATAGGAAAGTACTTTCTGTTGAAATATGCAGTCTGAGAGTGCTTTAATCAAAGCTGCTTAAGTCGACGAGAATCAGTGCATGAAATCTTGCGATTTCTGCTAAATTTTATCCCACCTATTATAAGGAATAGGTTTATTTCATAGAGCCACACAAAGACCAAGTATGCATGCGCAATTTACCCCTGTGACAACGTAACATACAGAGCGGGGACAGCTGTAGTGTCAACCACTTTACTAGTTATAGATTTAGCAGACAACGCAACGGCAGTTACGATGGCGCGCACAATTATTTAAACCGACTTGGCAATTGGTTGATCAACCTCATTTCCTGAGGCTGCGATCCTTTTGGTCAGCCCCAAGGACCCCGAAAGCTCTGGGGACGAGATTGTTTGTAGAACGGCAAGTTGAGCACCAGATCACTCCTTTCCGCACGCCTTCGCGTCCTCATTTAACTGGCTGCGTTGTCTTCAGTTTGCAGTAATTCTACATGAACTCATTTCCTATGTAAGCATAAAACTAGGGTATCTTTAAATACTTACTTGCCGTGTCAATTTTTCTTTTTTTTTTTTCTTTTTTTTTTTCAGAGGACCTGTGGCTTCTAAGAAGGAAGCAAAGGCAGAGGTTTCCTTCACAGTGACACGAGGATGGAGGACTTCAGTTGTGGTCAGCTTTACGTCAGATCAGCTATCTGGCGTCCGTGGAAATTCTGCTGTCAATGCTGTCAATGCCCAACGCCAGGAGTTTAAAGCGTTCCCAGCCTAAATTTGGCCCAAATCCCGGCCAGGAATTTTTGCCAAAATCCCAGTTTTAGAGTTTTCGGTGTAAAAACGGCGTTATTTGCATTGACTTACTTGATTTCTAGTACCATTTTGCGAGAAACCTTTTCCGATTCTTGAAAAATTCATAGGGCTCTTTGCTTTTTAATTGTTCATCCCATTCCCAGTGTAAATCCCAGTCCCAGTTTTCCCAAAAATAAGGCTTATCATTTTTTTACTTGCGTTTTACAGATATTTTCATAGGGCTTTCCTTTTTTTTTTTTTCTCTTTTTTTTTGCTTGGAGAATTTTGCTTACGGTGGTGTTGTTGGGAAGTGACAGGCGATTTTTTTTTTTATGAATCAAACGTGGTAACATTGAAGACTTTGCAAGATTCTTAATACATTCATGATATCTGTACAATCATTTTTATCTTATAAGTATTTTAATGCTTACATTCTTGCTTATTTTTTTTTTTGTTTTTTGGCTTGAATTTTTAGCCATTTGTTTAATCGGTCTTTAGGGAACGTGTTCTTTTTTTACGTCTACCGTGTCGTTTCAGGTTCCATCCTTTATCCGAATTTTGATTTCATTCACTTTATAAACCATTTAGTTTACTTAGTTTCAATGTTCTTTTTTTTTTCGCATAAAACCCCTTCTGAATTGAGATTGCATACTCGAATAAATAAAGTGATATTCTTTCACGAATATCTTTATAATGGTTTCTTGTGTTTGAGTCGATTGTTCCGTTATCTTTTAACATTTCTAAGCACTGAATGTAGTATGCGAAATACCCTCATGAAGGAAGACAAAATGCAAAGTGCATGAAAGAGGCCTAGCCTGTACGACGAGAGAATTAAAATTGCTACAGCATTTTGCATAAATTCAAGCTCCGAAGTGCGTCTAGCCTGCGTAGCAAGCGTTTCTGTTTGGTTTCGGAGCAAAGAAAGACCGAGGAACGGGATTCTCGGTTTCGGCCGCGCGAGAAATGAAACAAGAGCCAAAAGAGCCATTTTTCTCGCGGTGTTTGACTCTCGTTCCTCGTTCTCTGCTCCTAGACCGCACGGAAACGCTTGCTACGCAGGCTAAAGCGCGTCCAGAGAAAAAATGAGAATTTAAATTTGATATTGATTCCTTTCAGAAGATTTGCTAGAATAAGCTAGGACCTTTCTCCTGCCTGTGAGTTTATGTTGCTACGCAGGCGCTCAAGTGCATCAAATGAGTTTAAGAGAACATATTAAATACAATCAACAAAAGTGTTTTCTTCCCGTTGAATTACCTGATATGGCTGAGAAGGCTCAAAACAGGTCTATGGCCTTACTTCAGAACACGAGAGCACCAGATTTGCTTTGCGTCGAAAGAGCAATTTAGGGTTAACTTCTGTCTTTGGTGCACTTCCCTTAAAACTTGGTGCACTAAATTTCAGTCTCCTCTCCTGAATTTTCTCTTGAATAACCTTGAACAAGAGCCATAATAGGCCTATTATGGCTCTTGCCCTGAATTACTTCCATCTCAGTGGGTTCCAGTCCTCGCTCCTAATTATTTTCTTCCGCGACGCGCAAGCCGGCAAGCCGGTCGAAAGCAGAAGGGCATCGAGCCGGCGCCAGACCCACCTTTCTCCTTCCTATTTTTTAAGCTTCGACCACACAGGCTAGCTGAAGATAAGTCCGACAGTTAACATTTCAGAAACAAAATATACTATTATGGGAGATAAAAACCGGGACAAAGGGCGCTTTCCATTCAACCCAAAATTCCGGTAATTTCGGTTGGTACATCAAATGGGACCGGAATATACGGGACCAGCTTTGAGGGTGGTCCACTGTGACAGGTCTGGTCATTTCGGTCGGTCGGACCGAAATGTCCCTTTCCATTTGCCAAAACTGTTGTCCCCAGTACCGCTCTTTTCTATCCTGCTTACAAGACCAAGTAGTTTCCAACGGGGAGTGAAGTGCTGTGAGTAAAGCATGACATGTCAAATAGTTTGAATCAGTTACAATTTTTTTCGATTTTTGATATTTGCCATTAACAGTGTCAAATAACTGACGCAACACGACACGTAGGTGAAAAAAGTGTGTGAAATCAAGCTACAGTTGTATAAAAGTCCGTGAGAATCAGCGTTGTCTGAAACCTGTCGACGATATTGAACTAAAGCAATTTATCAATTAAGCTGAAATGAATACAACAAAGCCTGGCTGAATACAAATTGGCTAAAACACCGAATTTATTTACCGTACAGTTCCAGGAATTGCTTCGAATCGTTCGAATATTCTAACTAACGTATCGCTTCAATTCACAATAATTTTTTACCTTCACTTGCTTTCATAGGCTTTCTACACGAAATAGGATTCCTCCGCCTTTAGTTTTCCACCGCCCCTTTTCGACAGTCGAGTGTTCCTTAGGATATAAACAGTATTTACTTTTCTCTTTTAGAGCGTAATTATGAGTGTATACCTGCCAACTTTTTCTGAGATATAAGCGTGAGATTTTTATCCTGGGAGTGCTGGGATTTTTGAAGACAACACGATCATTTCCGAAGATTCCCGAAGAAGTCCGAAGTCTCCCGAAGACGTCCGAAGTCTGACGAAGGCGAAGTTATCGAGAAAACGCTTATCCACAAAATCAGAGATCGCGAGGAAGGTATTGTCATTTATTCATTTTACACATGGTTTTCGTTCCTTAGATGGCTGAGCTAACATATTTTTGGAAATTGTGTCAAGCAAGACGGCAACAACTCACATTTTTCAATCAGGCGAGAGAAATTGGCCCGCAAGCGTGAGCCGGCGTGAGATCGAGTGAGCTGAGAAGCCACAATAACAAAACGCGCGGTGGCTTGGGTCGGGTCTGTGCAACCGGAATGTACCGTTCCATTGAGCATGTGAAGTTTCCGAAATTTCAAACCGAAATTTTCATGGAATTTTTGTTGAATGGAAAGCGTCCATGAAAACCTGATAGAGTACCACCGTCGGTAAATTCAAGTGAACTTTCCTCGCAGCCACGCTTTATTCTTTTGTCACGTACGTGTGAGCCTCGTTGCGTGAAAAGCGTCGCTTCAGCTTTTAGAGAGTGTGCTCCAAGTCGCGAGCAAGTCTAAAGAGGTTTTAAAAGACTAATAGAGAATGCCACGAAGAAGCACTCGTAGGTCAGGAGGTAGCTCAGGAAAACCTCCAAAATCTCCTGCAAGCAGTCCAGAGTAAGTATTTAAGTATTTTATTATTAAACTTCCGCGTGTTTAGTTGTTCAGCAATATTCATAGGCTTGCAATTTAGCATCATAAACGGTCCATTCTCGCTTCTCTCTTTATCGATTGCATTTAGATTTTAGGAACCTTTTCCCTCACTTATTTACCAAGCTCTCGATGTAAAAAATCTAATACTCACACTTCGCTCTCGTGAAAAAAACTGAGCTCGACTTGTAGGCAAGTCTGATTCATACTCTGCTTTCAGTTATATATGCAAATTGCCGCATGGTTAACGTCTGGCTGGGGGGTTTCCCGGTTTTAAGCGCATCTTAAATGTACAGGAACCAGTTATTGCTCTGCAAAATGTTCTCTAACAGGCCTTTTTTTGTTTTCTGTCTCAAGCATCTAAATGTTTATTTGCAAAGTTATTTCCGCCCTTGTCACCTATGTTCACATTTGGTCCATTTGAATGGTTCAGTGACTGGGTTTACAAAAGTGAAACTAGCCTGTGTACAGCCGCTCCGGCTGTACACAGGCTGAAGTGAAACTAAGTACATTATTCATGAAAAGTTGTATCAGTCATGACAGATTTAAGAGTGTAGGGAGGATGTTACGTTTGCCTTCTGAATTTCTTTATAATTGAACGATTTGGTCTCGTTTCTTGGCTCCAGGCGACCAGTTTTCCATTTTTGGCGACCGTGACAATAGCTAGAAGGGCGCGGCTCAAGTCTAGGCACAGGTGGCCCAAACTCACGTTGCGAGGGAAGGTTGTAATGTAATTTACATAACATTACATTACATAACTTTGTATGAGAAATATATTACTGAGATCTGCGCACGCTAAATAACGGAAAACCTTACTTTCTCTTAAATGAATTAAATAAAAAAGACTTACCTGCAATGCATTCCACTACGTTTTGGTGTCTGTTTGTCGTTTTACTGTTTTTTTGGCTTTATTGCGTAACCACTGTTACTCCTTTCATAGAACGAAGTAAGGTTTTGCGTTATTTAGCGTGCGCAGATCTCAGTAATATATTTCCAGTGTATTCCTCATACAAAGTGTCTTATATTTTCAACAGTCGCCTGCAACGCGACACCGGCGCGTCACCTATGTTATGTAATTTAAATTACAACCTTCCCTCGCAACGTGAGTTTGGGCCGCCTGTGGTCTAGGCAGGTTTTACGCGTCACTGAATACGGTGTATTATTTGTACTTGACATCAAAGACTTACATAAGGTTATGAAAGTTTACTCGCCACACACTAAAGCTAGAGAGACTTTCGCGATAACCGTAAAAGTGAAGAAGCCTCCCGCGCAGATTTGCGTGTAAGAACAACAATGAGACTGGATGATAAATCCACTTATATCCCATCTTGACGACCCGATGCTGTTGATATTTACATAACACGCTATATCAGTCAATAAGCTTTATGGCCGGGGGCGAGATAGGAACGTGTGACGAAGCCGAAAGGATGTCTCGACACTCTCCCGCTCGTGCCCTTTCGCGAACGAGGTTGAGAATGTCTGCGTGGGAGGCATCCCCGGAGAAAGTGAATTTGAGTGTAAAGCCTAGTTTCCAAATGTAATAAATATACATATATATATTCCCGACTGTAAAATCAGCCTTGCTTCTTTTGTTTTATATTTACACTTATTGGTGATTAGATCTTTTATTAGGATCCGGTCCTTCTCAGTTTTTGTAAGCTGGTTCTTGCTTCAAAAATTGAACCTGATCGAAAGCTGTCTGCCTCAGATTTTTACATATTAACCCTCGGACGTACGGACGTACGAGGGGGTGGCAACCACACCCTCACCCCCGCCCCCCTCTAAGGTTTTTCTTAGTTTTTTCTACGACGAGAAGACATACCTGACATTTTCAGTACCTTTTCGTTTACGACGTAAAGACTTCACCGCTCTATTGTTAACAGTGCTCATGAAAATATAGCGGTACCCTAAAATCGAGACAATATTCAATTTGCCGTGTAAACGGACATTTCACGGACCCAACATTGAGGCACTGTTGTCCAGAGTGGTTCCCAAAACGTTCGTTGTGTAAACCGCGCTTGAGTAGAGACAGTCTTCTCGCTTAATTCATACTCATCCCCAGAGCCCCCTGTTCATCATGACCCGCGGTGGTTGCTCTCGGAAACGTTAATATACTTATAACATTCACTACAATAACATGGTCATCTTGAATTTTAGCCTGCGAGAAGCGAGTCTCGAAAGAACTCGCCCGAGGGCGGCGAAGCACTCGTGTCTCCTTTCGCGTGCAGTTCTCGCTTGATGTCTCGCGACTCCCCCAAATTGAGACCTTGCTAACTAGACTGTGATTCCCTTTTGTTCATTTTTTAACAGGCCTAAACGACGAAGGACAGCTGCTGACTCTGGACAGAACGAATAGTAAGAGAATTTCAAAGTTCTAACTAATCTATGAAAATTAAGTCTTTATTCACTCCTTTTCTCTATTCTATTTGTTTTTGTAAGGGACCTGATGCAATCAATGACTTTCCACGAATTTACGGGGCGGTGGCGGTTTTGGTGGGGAGATGGTGTCTATTTCTTAGTTTCCTGGAACGCTCCTTATTAAACGGAAATCACGCCCTTAAAAAATAAGACCGAAAAATTTTCTCATCGTGTGATCAAAGTCGTTATGTAGCGTAAGCTTTAAGTACAGTGGAATGGTCAATAAAAACGTGCAACTCAGTTGCTTTGAAAGATTGCTCAGTGCAAAACAAGCTGAAAAGCAATGTTGCGATTTTAACCACCTGATCAAAGCCGTTATGTAGTGTAAGCTTTAAGTACAGTAGAATGGTCAATAAAAACGTGCAACTCAGTTGCTTTAATTTGAAACATTGCCTAGTGCAAAACAAGCTGAAAAGCGATGTTGCGATTTTAACCACCCACGAATGAAATCAGTCATGCGGCAATTCAGGTTGTTACACGTTGCGAAAAGTTAATGTGTTGCAGAAAGTTAAGAGTAGTTCTATTTTTTTTTTTTGCAATAAAATCTGCACATGTTGTGCATTTGAAGTACCGCGGCCCAAGGCATATTAACTTGTTATGCAGCAAATGACCTGACTCCGCATGTCTATGGCGTGACTCCTGAGTAATTTTATCCAATCGGAACACACGACTCGTTTTGCAGCAATGTCACAATTACAGTACTTACAAAACAAGTTGCATTTTTTTGATGTCTGTTTTACTGTAGCCTTACAATCGATCCCGACATTCGCAAATGCCATTTTAGTTTCACTTGACTTTCATGCGAAGTTCGATGATTTTGTCTTATGTTTGTTTGGTTTCATTTCTTTTTCGCTGATTTGTTTCTGCACGTGGTAGGCTAAGGCAAAGAAACACCAAAACCGTATGTTGCAAATTTCTAAGGGAACTCTTTTTTGTCAGTGTTGACTCGAGAAGCCATGTGATGTCCAAAATGGGTGCCAGTGGAGGTTTGAAAGGGAGGACAAAGGTGTTATCTGACGACAAGTTTAGAGCTTTGAACAAGGCTCTAAAGATTGACAAGAAGAAACCCCAAGGTATGACGATAAATATGCCGATGAAGAACATAGTGTCTGTATTACAGCGATGTTTTATATTGCAGAGGTACGGACAGTACGATTATATCATTAGGCACCAAAAGTCCGTCAGTACTGTAATAATATTATACAGCAATGGTCTCACATGGCAGTATTTAACAATTATTCCTCGAGCCAGAATGGGCTCTGAGTCAATAGCCCATGAGGCCGAAGGCCGAATGGGCTATTGGCTCAGAGGCCATGAGGGCGAGGGGAATAATAATTTTTTAGTAAAATCCAACTAGTTGGTCAAAGATATCAGGAAAAAACAACTTTAGCTAATTAAAGCTAAACTTTAATCCTTTTTTGCCGTGAAAAAGCCGGCGCTTTTCGCTACTAGTGGGCTATAACATAAGTAGTAGCTCAACCAATCAGAGTGCAGTATTGATAATACACCACTAGATGGATTTTACTAAAAGACCATAGACTCGGCTAGAGTATAGAATGAAAGCGCTGAAGGGAATGAAACGCTCTGAATGCAATTCAGCTCTAGTATGACTCCACCCCAAAAGCCACCTGACGGTAATGGTGTTAATTATGTTGTTCCTGACTAGGATTCTATCCGTTTCGCCCTTTCTATGAAACATAAGGCGTTAGGCCAATCATACACTGTACTTTAAGCAACATATGGCCAGCACAAAGCAATGTTAAAACCGTGACTGTGATGAATTAGGTCTTGATTCGATAATCAATATACAGTCATATAGTAATGTTTTTACTATATTTACAGCATCTCAGCTGAAACCGGAGGAAATTGATTTCCACGTAGAACAAAACCGTAAGGCTCATAGGACTGAGGACTACGAACATGTACAGCTGATCATCAGGAGAGGTCAGGAATTTGAAGTCACTGTGAAGTTTAACAGAGAGTACAAGCCGGATTCTGACGTCGTTGTTCTACAGTTTGTAACAGGTTTGTTTCATAAGCCTGCCTTTCAATCTTTTATTTATGTAACTATTAAAACCATTATCTCATATGGGCTCCTGCTCATGTATAAAACACGATTCTCAACCTACGAAAAGGTTACGAACGCGCAAAATTGAACGAAAAGAATGGGTACTGGGTGCATAATCAACTAACCAAGTTTAAAGTTTGCTCAGGTCAGTAAACAGACGGTCCGCGGCCAGAAGGTCAAGCAAATATCCACCGTACTGGTAGCTATATCAAACCAAAGAACAGTTTTTTCAGGCTCTTTCTTGATCTCTTGCAAATAGATCAACAGCATTTGATTTTCTCCTCGATGTCGTAGTTTTCACTTCTGTTGAGAAAAGATGACCACAAGCTTGTTCCAGGCGTTCAGGAGAGTGGCGCAAAATGAAGAGTAAAGGGTGCTGGGGTGTGGAAAGCAGAAGAAAGGAGAAGGGAGAGAGGATGAAGGTTCCTTCACCCTCTCTCCCTACCCCTACCACCTCGCTGTTGTTTCCTGCTCATTTTACTTGGCCCGTCCCCACAAACTGAACACTTTAAGCGTTGCCAGGCTCTCGGTCAGAGCACACGAGCAAACAAGGCGGGCGTGCAAAGAAAAACCGAGCGAGCGAAAAAGGGCGGGAAGAAGGTGGTTTTGGCCCAACTTTTCTCCTTACGTTCTCCCTACTATCTTACAGCCTAGAACAGGCTAATTTATTTTACACCTATGTGTAAGAAAAGAGCAGCAAGTTATAGTTAGCTAAACAATTCAGTTGTTAGACAATCCCACTTTTCCGGCGTTGAATTCAAAAGAATATTTTTTTGTGACGCTCTTTCACGAAACTATAACGACGCTGTACACACGTACAGTTTATCTTGTCCTCTCTTTCCAACACTGCTGTGGGCCAACCAGATTTTCCAGAAGACCCAAACGCTCAAATTCAAATATAATTTCCAATTCTTTACCATCTCTTTTATTCCAAATTGGTCTTATAGGGAGACGCCCACAGGAAAGCAAGGGTTCTGTTATCCGCGCCTTTCTCCGCCAAACCCTTTCTACCACCCAGTGGGGAATAAAAGTCAAGCACGTCAGCGGTAAAACCGTGCGTTTCACGGTCATGCCTTCAGCGAAAGCTATGATTGGTCAATACGAGGTGTTCGTGGAGACCATCACGAAGGACGCTGACGGAAGTAAATTGGTGTTTAGATACAAGGATGACGATAAAGTGTGCGTCCTGTTTAATGCTTGGTGCAAAGGTTAGTGACAACCATACAGTATGTTGCCCAGTATCCGGGCGGTACCAGTATCCGGACGGTACCAGTATCCGGACACTTGAAACAAAAACTCAATTTTTGAGGCGCCCTTTTCAGTTCTCGGTAAACGAAGTATTTCGAATGAAAGCTGAACATTTCAGCTTTAAGATGAAAGTTTTGGCGATTTGACAACTTGCGAAACGGTCGAGGAAGACGCCGTTCTGTTCAGGTGAGTAAACTTTTCATGGCTAATACAGCTAATAATTATTTGCGCTGTTTACTGCGCAGTAAAATTAGTGCTGCTCAGAAAAAAGAGGGTAATGTGTGATATTTTCAAAGAAACTGTTTTATTTTTAAAGTGAAGATACTTAAGGAAGTCAGGTTTTCAGAAAGGTTATTAATTCTTCTTGAAATTCGATTTGTTTGGAATAAAGGAGGCCAGAAACATTCACTAAGTTTTGATGTCATGTGCCCAGTATCCGGACAGATTTTTCTTTACTGTACAGAATCGATGAATTAGCTGTGTACATTATCCGGATAAGATTTATTTCATATCAGTAACTATAATTAAGGCTTAGGACATCTCATAAAGTCGTAAAATGTAATTCTACTCAACTCTGTATGGAAATTTTCTTCACTCATTCAGAGGCGACTTGATTTCGTGTGCACGGCTTGTTTCGCGTGACTGCATTTTCTATATATACATGTAACTGAAAGCGTCTGAGTTGAACCTGGAATTCTCACACTTTTCCCAGTTGTGACTGCTAGAATGGGGTTGCAACGGTCTGAAAAATGTCATAAAGGGATTAAGAGATATGAAAGAAGGAGGAATTAGAGCTAGAAAAGCAGGCTTATTGTGGGGACTGAGCATGAAGAAATCAACACTGCAGGTCAGACTAAATAGGAGAGTGACCTTTGACCGGCGGGTTGAGGTCCCTTCCCCAAGCTTTTTTTAAAATAAAAAAATGAAGAAAAAAACTCGTTTGCAGATTGGCTAATTGAGCTTGCAAACTGCTGCTTCGGCATGTCCACGGATGCCTTCCTTAAATCAGTGAAAAAGTTCCTGGACAAGGACGTAAGAATTATACCATTTTTAAAACAGCCGCTCGCGTTCCCCACCATACCCCAGTCATTTGTTATGTTTTATTTCACGATGCTAGGTTATATTTTTGGAATCGATTGCCAAACTACTTTGCAAGTGCAAGAGAAGCTTATAAGTCGCTTGCCTGTCCAAATTTATGTACAGTTAAGTTGTTCTTGTTGTGTCCGGCGGGCCAGCTGTCAGGATACTGGGCAACATAGGAGCTCTGCCAAAAATATTAATTTCGAGATGAAAACAAAGGCAAAAAAGTTAAACTGTCTTTCGTCATATTAAGGACTAGATAGATTTTCTCTGGGCCAATCTTAAACTGACGTGTCCGGATACTGGGCAACATACTGTACTGTCTTATAACTTCAGCCAGTGAAACTTCAGTGCGACTAACCACTTTGTAACGAACACGTTTTAGCATAAAAAGTTCATTCTCTTAAAGATGTATGCGTACAGCTGTACTGTGCTTAAATGAGATCGTCGGTGTCAGATTATTTGAACTTATCACCAGTTCTCTTTACAATACTCTCCGTTTATTGTTCCTTTTCCCTTGCTTTTGTATCTTCAGATGACGTAGTGTACATGGAAAATGACTTGGAGCGGAATGAGTACGTCTTAGCTGATAATGGTAACATCTGGGAGGGGAGTGCCACGCATAATACGGGAATGCCTTGGAACTTTGGTCAGGTAAATACAATACAATATACAATATTTACAGAGCGCTAATTCCCAATGGATCAACTTCAGAGATGACACCGATCTCTTTTGGAATTCCTCAAGGGTCTGTCTTGGGGCCGACACTTTTCACTCTCTTTGCGAACGATCTTCCGTCCTGAGTGTCTTCCGGATCCGTCTATATGTTTGCCGACGACACAACGGTTTACTGCATAAGTGACACGGCAGAAAAAAGTATTGCCAAGTTAAATACTGCACTTCGTGAATTAAACGAGTGGTGCCTCATTAACACCCCACCCAAGTAAAAGTGAGGCCATGCTAATCTCTAGAAGAAATCCCCCGGTTAATATTCCCCCGATCTTTATCGGAAACTCTACAATTGAATGGGTATCGAAATCACGATTACTGGGTAAGACCGTCGATGAGAAACTGACCTGGACTCAGCACATGCTGGAACTCAAAAAATCATTTGCTAAAAAACTAGGATTACTTAAGAAGTCGAGATTTCGCCCTAGAAACGTTCGTCAGGATCTCTATTTTAAGGTCATTTTGCCTTCAGTGACCTATGGTCTTATACTATGGGGATCTTGCTGCAATTCCGACTTATTTCAGTCCATGGAAAGACTTCACTGCAGGGCTGCGCGACTAATCTTTAATTTGCCGAAAGACATGGCATCTGCTGATGTCCTACAACGGGCCCAATGGCCGACTCTGTCTATTTATTATAAATCAGCCATTTTTATCTGTCTTCATAAAGCTTTCCACGATAGGTTACCTGTCACATTAATCGACCTGATTTCTAAGAAACGGGCCACAAATTATTCAACCCGGACTTGCGCTTCTTTAATTGTTCCACGCTTCAACACGCGTTACATGAAAGACTCTGTCGCGTTTAGAGGCTCAGTCCTGTGGAATGCAGTGACCAACAATAGTAGTGCCCTGACAAAAAACATTCCATATTGTGATCTCAGGCTAAAGCTTAAATCTCAAGTTAATTTTAATGAATTCAGCTTCAAGGTAACGTCTGCATCCACTGGTAATTTTAGAAAAGATGACTTTGTATATACTTAAATTTATGTTCACAATTTCATATTTGTAAGCACCGCTGATTTAAGTTCAAACGTTTTTTCTGTATATACCCCTAGTTTTTAGTTTTTTAGTTCACTTAGTGATTAGTTAATTGCAAACTACCCCACAAGCTCATGTAGCTTTAATACTCATCGTTTTAAAATAAAGGCTATCTATCTATCTATCTATCTATCTATCTATCTATCTATCTATCTATCTATCTATCTATCTATCTATGGTCCAAAAGGCTACAGTCAACTCTTTCTCAATCCTTCAAGCCCCAATCGCAACGTAAAATTCTCCAGACTGATCTCCATACATTCATGATTGTCAGAACCCTTTTCTCTTTTTGATGCATTGAAGTTGTTAGAAGAAAATTACCGTAAATCCTCTATAAGGCCTCCCCCCTCTCAAATAAGCCCCCTCCCGCAAATAAGCACCCCCCCTTTTCAGGGAAAGAAAGTTACTAAGTCCCCCCGCCCCCTCCCCTCCCTTAATTATTCTTCTGAATCACTAATAAATGATAGACTGTATTAATCAATCAAGACAGTAAAACTTCATGTGGACTGATCCGGGAGGAAATTCGGATTTGTTTCTGATCCTGGGCTGCATGACCTCCAATTTAAATTCCACTTTGTAGTCTAATTCTTTATATATGGAGAACTGATAACATCGTCTCTTCTAAATTTAATAAGCCCCCCTCTCAAATAAGCCCCCCGTCTCTATTAAGCCACCCCCTCAAATGGACTTGAAACAAATAAGCTTAAAAGAAAATTTGCGGTAATGTTGGTCACTTTTGGGACGGTTGTTAACCAGACAACCCTATAAGACGCATGGACACCTCCATAAAAAAACCGACAGTCACGGTACTCGGCTGTTCCTCAGCCATTTACTTTGACTGTTTTTTTTTTCAGATGGGCATGCCTCTCCCTAAATTTCATTATTAAACCTAATATACCTGGAATACAGTCAAGTATTCTTTGTTTCTGTGACATGTTTCTTACGTCGACGTTTGTTAATATTTTTTCTCCTTGATAGTTTGAAGATGTCGCTCTAGATTGTGCCCTCTGGCTTCTAAATAAAGCACATCTATCTCCATTTGGAAGGGCTAGTCCAGTCTCTGTGGTGCGAGTTATCTCAGCCATGGTAAGTATTAGAATCTCAGTTGACCTTTCCTTAGAAAGGCACCCGATCAATGAGGAATTGTTGTTTTGTGTCTACAACATCGCTGGTTGTGTTTGTAAAGGACTGGTATCCAGGTTATACTGACCGATTGGCGCTGATAGGCTTTACAAGTCTGGCTCAGTATGCTTGCCGTTAAGGAGAGTCAATGCGAGGACCACGTCTCATATGCGTCAAGCTGAGTTAGAGTGGATGAAAAAAAAAATTGTGCTAAAATAGCAGCTGCCTCACAGAGACGCAGGCATAAAACACCGCACCGAAAAATGGAGCGATTTGCACGTACACAGGCTTGTGTGCATGGTTGCAAAACAGGAGACAAAAGCTAAAGCACGTTCAAGTTCTAACTTACTACTACGCTACCACGTGGACCCGCCAAATTTCCGAAGAAATTTAAGCACACATCTAATATGCTATCTTTCATTAACTGATACATCTGTAACAGGTAATCGTACAATACCCTTACCATAACTTTTAACGATACTTCAACTTGGTCTTATACTGTAAACCTTTTTGTGAATTCTTCATGTAGGCTAATTACGATGACAGCGATGGGGGCATCCTATGTGGTCGTTGGACGGAGACATACCCCAAAAACTCTACCGAGCCAACCGCTTGGACGGGAAGTGTGGAAATATTAGAAAAGTTTATGAAGAGAAAGTCCAATGTGAAGTACGGACAATGCTGGGTCTTCTCTGGATTGGTCACAACACGTGAGTATTTAAAAGAATGGTTGTCCACATGTGCGGACAATCGGACGAAAAGAGCGAACTGGTGTTTAACTTAGAAAAGCCTAGGATACATCAGTACCTGAAACGTGCGTTAAGAAGAACGTGGAGACCGTCTTGAGCATGAAACGGTTAACATGGCTGAAGCCACACATTTCGCAGTTTACCGATTCAAAGTATCGGTGATGATGCAGGTGATGATGATCATGGTGATACCAGATTTCAATGTTAAACGAGCGGCGAACTCCTTCAAACTAGAACATGGGCGGCCTTTTGTCTTAAGAGTTGTAGTATTTTCGATGGAAACTTTACAAGAACTAAGAACAATCTTCACATGTCTTTTCTTAACTAGATGAACTTATTTATTTATTTATTTATTTATTTATCTATTTTAACTTGTATTCCGTACATAAATATATTCTTTCTCTTCTATCAGTGTTGCGAGCACTGGGTCTACCCACCCGTAGCGTGACAAACTTCGAGTCAGCCCACGACAGGGACGGCAGCATGACTATCGACTTTCATTCTGACGAAGAAGGGAATCCTTTGAACGATCTCAATGACTCCATCTGGTGAGATCCCAATTAGCAGAGTTATCGTTTCCTTTTTCTGCCTCTCCCTCCTTTTTTCAATCTCGTTTAATGACTCTTTGATTGGTCAATTTGGGGGCCTAGATTAGGCTCAACTTAAAAAAGCTGAGAATTATTAAAAACGTTTACCGTCAGTTTTGTTCAACCAAAGAGATCGAAGATCTATAGAATTTCCTAACAGCTGCAAATTGGGCTAAAATTTTAGATGATAGTTAAGAAATCTCCACAGCTTAACTTCAGCACTCTCATCTAGATGCTTGTCACCCCCGATTATCTATACTTGCCGACACAGCAAATGCGATTAAAAAAATCTGCACTGGTAAAAACTGATAAGACAAGAACACTAGTTGTTGAGGCTTAAGGTTTTCCTCTTAATGAAAAGGAAGTCCGAAATAATTTACCTCTTACGGGGTCATTCTTAGGAACTTTCACGTCTGGAACGAGTCATGGTTCAAGCGCACTGATTTACCAGACGGACATGATGGATGGCAAGCGCACGATGCCACTCCCCAAGAGACTAGTGAGGGTATGTATTTTCATCCTGTTTCTTAAAAGAAACCTCCACTGTCATACGAAATTGACCCTTCTGAGAACTCGTTTCGTCACGTTGCCATGGTAGCAAAATTTTCTGGATCTAACCTTGGTCCTGCAAATAATGCGAAAAAAGTGACATGTATGACTTTACTGTGCCTGATTGCACTCAGGAACAAAATGGTAGTCCATACTAATTTTCTTCCATCGTTCTACAATGCAAATGGTCGTCTCTGTGAAGAAGGAATGTTAAGATCCAGCAATCTTGCTACCATGGTAACGTGACGTCAAACGTCTCCTCTCTATTGTGGCTGATGTTCAGTACTTTCGTTTTATTTCTCTCAGGTGTGTTCCGCTGTGGCCCGGCTTCCGTGAACGCAATTAAGAATGGAGAGGTGTATCTACCTTATGATACTGGCTTCATATTTGCTGAAGTGAACGGTGATTGCGTCTATTGGGACGTGGATGATGATGATGGGTCCATGAAGGCGCGTTCCATCGAAATGGATAGCATTGGCAAGTGTATCATTACCAAAATGCCGGGTTCTAGCGCGAGGCTTGATGTGACCAGAGATTACAAACATACAGAAGGTAAATTATCTCGGTTTAGCATTTAAACTGTGAAGGATTTTGGTGGTGGTGTTGATGATGATGATGATGATGATAATGATGATGATGATGATTGTAATGATGTTTATGATGATGATGATGGTGATGATAATGATGATGATGATTATGATGGTGGTGGTGGTGGTGGTGGTGGTGGTGGTGAAAATAATGATCGTTTTTAGCATAGTTCTTTAGAGTGAAGCGCAGCCTGTTGCTAATTCTCTGTGAATTTACAAGGCCTGGTCATCTTTTGATAAGTAACTGCGGTCAGTTTAAGAATATGGCAAAGAAATGGGTAATGGGTTCATGATAACCTTCACGAATATAGAGACATTAAGTGACCACTAAGCCCACTATGAGTATGTTGATGTAATTGCTGTAGTTACTCTAGTTGGTGAAGTTAGTGTAGTTGCTGTAGTAGCTGCAGTGGGTGTAGTTAGTGTTGTTGGTGTAGTAGCTGTAGTTGGTGTAGTTGGTGTAGTTGGTGTAGTTAATGTAGTTGCTGTAGTTGCTGTAGTTGATGCAGTTACTGTAGTTGCTGTAGTTGGTGTAGTAGCCGTAGGTGGTGTAGTAGCTGTAGTTGGTGTAGTAGCCGTAGTTGGTGTAGTAGCTGTAGTTGGTGTAGTTGGTGTAGTAGCTGTAGTTGATGTAGTTACTGTAGTTGCTGTAGTTGGTGTAGTAGCTGTAGTTGGTGTAGTTAGTGTAGATGGTGTAGTAGCTGTAGTTGGTGTAGTTAGTGTAGTTCGTGTAGTTTGTGTAGTAGCTGTACTTAGTGTAGCTGCTGTAGTTGGTGTAGTAGCTGTAGTTAGTGTAGTTGCTGTAGTTGGCGTAGTTAGTGTAGTTGGTGTAGTTACTGTAGTTGCTGTAGCTGGCATAGTAGCTGTAGTTGGTGTAGTAGCTGTAGTTAGTGTAGTTGGTGTAGTTACTGTAGTTCGTGTAGTTACTGTACTTGGTGTAGTAAATATAGTTAGGGTAGTTGCTGTAGTTGCTGTAGTGCATGGTGTAGTTATAAGTGTAGTTGCTGTAGTTGGTGTAGTAGCTGTAGTTGGTGTAGTTAGTGTAGTTGCTGTAGTAGCTGTAGTTGGTGTAGTTAGTGTAGTTGCTGTAGTTGGTATAGTACACTAACTACACCAACTACACTAACTACACCAACTACAGTAACTACAGCAACTACACCAACTGCAGCAACTACACCAACTACAGCTACTACACCAACTACAGCAACTACACTAACTGCACCAACTACAGCAACTACACTAACTACATTAACTACAGCAACTACACTAACTACACCAACTACAGTAACTACAGCAACTACATCAACTGCAGTAACTACACCAACTACAGCTACTACACCAACTACAGCAACTACACTAACTGCACCAACTACAGCAACTACACTAAGTACATTAACTACAGCAACTACACTAACTACACCAACTACAGCTACTACACCAACTACAGCAACTACAGCTACTACACCAACTACAGCTACTACACTAACTACAGCTACTACACTAACTACACCACTACACTTCTACACCAACTACACTAACTACAGCAACTACACCAACTACACCAACTACACCAACTACAGCTACTACACCAACTACACCAACTACACTAACTGCACCAACTACAGCAACTACACTAACTACATTAACTACAGCAACTACACTAACTACACCAACTACAGCTACTATACCAGCTACAGCAACTACAGCTACTACACCAACTACAGCTACTACAGCTACTACACTAACTACACCAACTACACTTCTACACCAACTACATAAACTACAGCAACTACACCAACTACAGCAACTACACCGACTACAGCTACTACACCAACTACAGCAACTACACTAACTGCACCAACTACAGCAACTACACTAACTACACCAACTACAGCCACTACACCAACTACAGCAACTACAGTAACTACAGCAACTACAGTAACTACACCAACTACAGCTACTACACCAACACACTAACTACACCAACTACATTAAGTACACCAACTACAGCTACTACACCAACTACACCTACTACAGCTACTACACCTACTACACCAACTACACTAACTACACCTACTAGAGCCACTACACCAACTACAGCTACTACACCAGCTACAGCAACTACAGGAACTTCAGCTACTACACCAACTACACTAACTACACCAACTACAGCTACTACACCAACTACAGCTACTACACCAGCTACAGCAACTACACCAACTACAGTAAGTACACCAACTACAGTAACTACACCAACTACACTAACTACATCAACTACACCAACTACAGTTACTACACCAGCTACAGCAACTGCGGCAACTACAGTAACTACACCAACTACACTAACTACATCAACTACACCAACTACAGCAACTACACCAACTACAGCTACTACACTAACTACAGCTACTACACTAACTACACCAACTACACTAACTACAGCAACTACACCAACTACAGCTACTACACTAACTACACCAACTACACTAACTACACCAACTATACTAACTACAGCAACTAAACAAACTACAGCTACTACACCAACTACACCTACTACAGCTACTACACCAACTACACCAACTACAGCAACTACACTACGTACACCTACTACAGCTACTACACCAACTACAGCTACTACACCAGCTACAGCAACTACAGGATGTACAGCTACTACACCAACTACACTAACTACACCAACTACAGCTACTACACCAACTACAGCAACTACAGCTACTACACCAACTACACTAACTACACCAACTACAGGTACTACACCAACTATAGCTACTTCACCAACTACAGCAACTACAGCTACTACACCAAGTACACTAACTACACCAACTACAGCTACTACACCAACTACTGCTACTACACCAACTACAGCTACTACACCAACTAGAGTAACTACAGCAATTACATCAACATTCTCGTAGTGGGCTTAGTGGTCGCTTAATGTCTCTATATTCGTGACGGTTATCATGAACCCATTACCGAGAAATGTGGACTCCGATTAACGTCATCGCTCATATTCATTTTCATTTAATTTGCCAAGTGTTGCTGAAATATTCTGGAGTGGAATCCGAAAGGACCGCATCTAGGTTTCGAAGAAAAAAAAGGAAAATTTGTGCCGTGTTCTCTTACTTCATAAAGCGGGCGTGTGAAATTAGGAAAGAAATGTACAAAAAACCGCGATGCACTTGCAAAGTTGTTGTTTTGCTTTATTGAACTATTGCTTTTTACCCGTTTTCGTTGCCGTCGCCGTCGTCGTTGCTTAAGCTCCCTATTGTTGTAATCCATGGTTACGTGACGTCACACTTCTCTCTATTACCTGATACGACATTTGTTTAAACCGCTAATATTGTACTCTACCTTCTCAATTTACACGCGCGCTTGTGTCCTGTTAACAGTCTCCCCAAAGGAGAGAGATGCTGTTGAATTCGCTAACAAGTTTAGCACCCGAAGAGAGTTCGACATTTACGAGGCAGAAAAAGAGGACGTGCAGTTTTCTTTGCAAGTTGCTGATGATATCGATATCGGAGACAGCTTTGATGTCAAAGTCGTTGTGCAGAACAAGTCCAACGAAAAGAGAACTGTGAAGTTGAACATCACTTCGTGTTTAGCTTTCTACACAGGAATGCCAGCCAGAGAACTTAAGAAGAAAAAAGAAACTTTGCATCTTGCTGGGAAAAAAGGTACAGTCACACCCTGTTAATACGGACACTGGGGGGAGGGGGAGGGGGGCGATAGAAAGTGTACGTATTAACGGGGTATCCGTATTAGGGGGTCCCCGAATTAGAGAAAATGTAAGAGCTTTCTTTCCCCCAGGGAAAAAGCAAACTGTCCCTAATAATGAAGTGTCCGTTGTAAGTAGGTGGTCGTAAAGCGGAGTTTGTATTTATGATTTCTGCAAATGTTGATCACTCGCTTAGATTTACTTTCATAAGATTGTTCATGTAAACGTTTGTCTTTGTGGGATATATAACAAATCACTTCATGTTTGGTCCCTGGAGAAACTGGTTAATTTTGTTTCCCAGGAATCACAATTTTGTTTCTTTGCCCCGCCTCGGAAAGTACTGTAAATCCTTTTTTGCCACCAAAAAGCCAGCGCTTTTCGCTACTAGTGGGCTATAACATATAGCCTAGTGGTAGCTCAACCAATCAGAACGCAGCATTTATTGTAGACCACTCGTTGGTTTTCACTAATTAGCCGTTTTGGTCTGAAATAGGGTATGGTTTGTGAACTCTAGTCCTTAGGTAGGCACGTATTCTGTATTTATGAAGGCCCATTATGCAACCTGCTTCATAGTGTGGAATTTTAAGCTCGAAACTTTGTACAGTTTTGTATCCTACTTAACGTTGCCTTTAACATTGGTCTGACCTAGGGAACTGATGATAAGGCAGGTCCGAAATAGGGTATTGATTTAAGGGTCAGGTCTCAAATAGGGTATTACAGTCAAACCAGGTCAAGCGTTCCCGTCGCTAACGAACTAATGAATTCATTCGCGGAAAAATGATTTCGTTTGTTGATTCAATAATCCATTCATAAAATGAACAATCCAATAGTCATATTTAGCCTCGATTCCATAATCGAATGTTGATTCGATTACTGTTTTTTGAAAAATTACACTTTCCACAAGTTGACCTCAGAATTTTGTTTTTTCCTCTTTTTTTTCTGAGAGTCGAGTGCTGGCGAGTTCTGAAGTTCAAACCCAAACAAACTGTTACATGTACGCCAGTTTGCTGCCAATAATCAGTGCAACAGACCTAGGCCTGACCTCTTAGAAAACACGACGGTCAAACTGAGGTCAGTGTATGTGCGGTGATTGGTGGATTTCGATCCTCGGCCTTTGTCAGTTTCTTTGCGTTTGCGGTCTGTCTATTCTAGCTGTTATTTTGATTAAAGGCAATGAAAAACGCAATCGTAAACGGCAGGAAAAGGGAAGCAAATACGATTGAACACAACAGACAAGAATAAAGAACAGGTAGATTTTGTTCATAAACCAAATCAACATTTGATTATTGAATCGAGGTACAATTTGACCGTTGGATTATTCATTTTATGAATGGATTATTGAATCAACAAACGAAATCATTTTTCCATTAATGAATTCATTAGTTTGTTAGCGACGGGAACGCTTGACCTGGTTTGACTGTAAATTTTTGATCAGGTCTGAAATAGGGCAGGGAAAATCACAGATTTTTGTCTGAAATAGGGGAAGGGTTTCAGGAAGCGTGCCGATCACCCTTACTCAATTTTTCTGGAAGTACCTCTCCCCGGTTGTGTACATATAGCCTAACAGAGCGCGCTGTTGAGAAAACAATTTCTAGCTATGAAGGGTTTGAACCCAGGAGTCATTTCAAAAGTAGGTTGAGTTTGATCGTCCGGGTGAACGTAGTCCTGAGTAGGACTGTTGTTGTTGACAGTGACCGACGTTTCGACAACCTGTGCTTTAGTTATCTTCAGAGTAAAAGTGAGTTGTATCACGGCGTCAGTTGATGGTATTATACTCTGGCAAAACCAGCTGTATCATGTAACAAAATTTGATTATCAATATGTCTGAAAATACGTACATCGAAAGCGCTTACTTACTAATTTCTCCTCAGAATTGAGGAGTTCGAAAAACGGAAAATCCTTATTAATAATCTTATGTATATGAAGCTGTGTGGAAGGTTGGTAATTACGTTTAATATTTATGTTTATTCCCTAGAAAAAAGCGTGATTTTAAAGATCGCAGCCGCAGACTACATTGGAAAGTTGGCGGCAGACGGAAACATTAAGCTGTTTATCAAAGGAACGGTCGCGGAGACGGAACAGAGGTTCGCTACCCAAGATGTGGTGGAAATGAGAAAACCACCAATGACCGTCACGGTAAGAGCCCCCTTCCCCTATAGGAATGACGGTGTTACTGGTCTTAACCCTTTAAGATTTTCTAAGGAGAGGTGCTACTACGGTGACATGACCTCAAAATCACCTCCAGTGACGTCACCACCCGAGTTGTAGTAGGGCTTTCCCGCCGGCTGAGCGTTGTTTTCTGGTACGGAGAAATGCCTTGATTGCCGTACTCCTAAATATGTCATTATTAACCGGCATATGCTGTACCCGAAAACAAGGCTACAGTTGGCGGCAAAGCAGCACTGCAACTTGGATGCTGACGTCACCGGAAGTGATTTTGACGTCACGTCGCCGTAGTAGCATCTCTCCGTAGCGAATCTTAAAGTCCCTAATATTCGTGGATTAATACGGTTTGGAGTACTTAAATTTCAAATGACTATATAGAATTATTTATCGTTGTATCGTTTAAGTTGGCTTCCATCTGACATTTAAGAGTCTGCGACGGTCTTTCGACCTCTGTGTCTGCGGAGGTGGATATAATAATAGACGGCGGTGACTATTTGCCTCAGTAAAGTTTTGTTATACACTGGTTCCAAGTGGGTTTTTTCATTCGAGTGCCTCAAGCCACTTTTTGAATTACATACCGTAACTCTAGAACGAGGGTAGAATTGGTATCTCTTTTGGGTGAAAAAGTGAATTCAACCCATTTCTCCAAGGCGATCTTCTGATACCTTTTATGAGGCAGTGCACTGAACCACTTCTCCCAGAACGCAAACGGTGTTGCATTCATATCAAACTGACTGAAGACAAACGAGGTCTTAGGGAACTATAGATCAATAATTATAGATGTTAAAGTATAAAGTATTTGTCAAGCACTCAGTTTCATTATTAGCCCTTGGTTCTTGTAATTGGGCGACCATTTTCTTCTTCTGGCATTATCTAAGTTCTCTTTTTTTTAATCTTCTTAGGTGTCCCCGAAATCAGCAAAGAGAGGTGATTCGGTGGATGTTAAAGCGTTCTTCAATAATTCGCTGCCAGTGTCCGTGAAAAATGGAAAGTTCCATTTTTCGGTCACCGGGATGTATCCTAAGTCAAAGGAAGTTGATTGCCCGTGAGTATTCAGAGCGTTTTAGTGTTGTTTACACTGAAATTATGAATATATGAAAATCATATATGTGATCATGAACTGGGGAGCGAAGAATTACTTGAAGGAAGATCATCGCAGTTGTATACACAACTTATGCAGTTGCGAAAAGAAATCCTGAAAAAAAAATTCAGGCTTGTATGGGATTCGAACCCTTGACCTCTGCGATACCGGTGCAGCGCTCTACCAATTAAGCTAACAAGCCAACTGGAAGCAGCTCGTTGAATTGGTTCGCGATAAACCCGTTAAAAGGATGATGATGAAATTATGAATATATGAAAATCATATATGTGAATTGCGGAGCGTTATTGGTGTCCAGAGAAAGATGTAATGGCAATTAATTTCAGCCAGATTCTTTGCTCAGTCACCCTGGGTACAGATAATTAAATTAAAGGTTTGAGATTGCAATGAGTACTTAGCAACAAATTAATCACACTTTACACTTTAGCAGTCTTTAGTAGTTGCACATGTGGAATGAACGGGAAATGAAAGACTTGCTGAACGAAAAATCTTGAGTTTGCTCTTAAGCCAGTAGGTGCCTTTATATTCTATTAACCGGAAAATTTCTTTGGTCGCGGTTTTTTACTAAACGTTAGTTGGTCAAGGCAAAATTTGTTTGTTTGTTTTTTTAATTGAGGAAAGCGATTTTTTATTTTTACTTTTGCAAGATAATAGGGGACTCGCTTGCGAACTCAGTGTCGAAGTGAGTTCAGGAATTCGGATTGGCCAGGGGCACCCAACGAGAATATAGTTCAAAACCACTTAAACATAGCATTGTTAAGCGTATTTTAGTATTTGAACGGTAGATATAGGCATATTTTCATCCCCTAAAAATTTTTTATCTGTTCGGATTTCCTAGCTGAAAGTCTAGGGATCCGAAAATTATAGGGATCCAAACTTACGTTTTCGAAAATTTGAGCCAAAAAAAGGCTCCCGAAAATTCTAAGTGACTTTTTTAGGGTAAAAATCCGTTAAAAATGGGCAATTATACCATTTTTTAGATGTTCGAAAAATCCTAGGAGAGCAGGCAAGCAAGACATTTTACAACAAATGTTCCGAAAATTCTAGAACCCAAATCATCTTGCGAACAGATATTTTACGAAAATTGACGTTGGGTACCCCTGATTCGCTTAGAGTTGTTTCGATGCTCGCAACGCACGTGCCACTTTAAACCTTTTAGGTATTACTTCTATCTCTTTTGTATTCACAATTTCGATTTATTACCCCCGCAGGTATTTCGCCTACAGGGCGAAATCCCAAGGAGGCATCCTAGTAGCTCTCGCGTATATAGGAAAGTACTTTCTGTTGAAATATGCAGTCTGAGAGTGCTTTGATCAAAGCTGCTTAAGTCGACCAGAATCAGTGAATGAAATCTTGCGATTTCTGCTAAATTTTATCCCACCTATTATAAGGAATAGGTTTATTTCATAGAGCCACACAAAGACCAAGTATGCATGCGCAATTTACCCCTGTGACAACGTAACATACAGAGCGGGGACAGCTGTAGTGTCAACCACCTTACTAGTTATAAATTTAGCAGACAACGCAACGGCAGTTACGATGGCGCGCACAATTATTTAAACCGACTTGGCAATTGTTTGATCAACCTCATTTCCTGAGGCTGCGATCCTTTTGGTCAGCCCCAAGGACCTCGAAAGCTGTGGGGACGAGATTGTTTGTGGAACGGAAAGTTGAGCACCAGATCACTCCTTTCTGCACGCCTTCGAGTCCTCATTTGACTGGCTGCGTTGTCTTCAGTTTGGAGTAAATCTGCATGAACTCATATCCTATGTAAGCATAAAAGGGGGTAGCTTTAAATACTTACTTGCCGTGTCATTTTTTATTTTTTTTCAGCGGACCTGTGGCTTCTAAGAAGGAAGCAAAGGCAGAGGTTTCCTTCACAGTGTCTCGAGGATGGAGGACTTCATCAGTTGTGGTTAGCTTTACGTCAGATCAGCTATCTGGCGTCCGTGGAAATTCTGCCGTCAATGCCCAACGCTAAACCGGCCACGGCCAGGAGTTTAAAGCATTCTTGAAAAATTCATAGGGCTCTTTGCTTTTTGTGTGTATTTTTTCCTCAAGGCTTATATTTTTTTGCTTGCGTTTTACAGATATTTTGCTTTCCTTATTTTTCTCTCTTAAAAAGGAGAATTAGCTTACAGTGGTGTTGTTGGGAGGTGACAAACGATTTTTTTATGAATCAAACGTGGTAACATTGAAGACTTTGCAAGATTCTTAATACTTTCATGATATCTGTACAATCATTTGTATCTTATAAGTATTTTAATGCTTACATTCTTGCTTATTTTTTTTTTGTTTTTGTTTTTTTGGCTTGAATTTTTAGCCATTTGCTTGATCGGTCTTTAGGGGTCGCGTTCTTTTTTTACGTCTACCCTGTCGTTTCAGGTTCCATCCTTTATCCGAATTTTGATTTCATTCACTTTATAAACCATTTAGTTTACTTAGTTTCAATGTTCTTTTTTTTTTCGCATAAAACCTCTTCTGAATTGAGGTTGCATACTCGAATAAATAAAGTGATATTCTTCCACGAATATCTTTATAATGGTTTCTTGTGTTTGAGTCGATTGCTCCGTTATCTTTTAACATTTCTAAGCACTTAGTGTAGTATGCGAAATACCCTCGTGAAGGAAGACAAAATGCAAAGTGCATAAAAGAGGCCTAGCCTGTACGATAAGAGAATTAATTTTTTTTGCATAAATTTAAGTTCCGAAGCGAGTCCTGAGAATAAATGAGAATTTAAATTTGATATTGATTCCTTTCAGAAGATTTTCTAGAATAAGCTAGGACCTTTCTCCTGACTGTGAATTAATGTTGCTACAGTACAAAGGCGCACAAGTGCATCAAATGAGTTTAAGAGAACATATTAAATACAATCAAACGAAAGTGTTTTCTTCCCGTTGAATTACCTGATAAGGCCGAGAAAGCTCAGTCAAAACGAGTCTATGGCCTTACTTGAGAACACGACGGCACCGAATTTGCTTTGCGTCGAAGAGCGATTTAGGGTTAACTACTGTCTTTGGTGCACTTCCCTTAAAGCTTGGTGCGCTAAATTTCAGTCTCTTCTCCTGAATTTTCTCGTGAATAACCCTGAATCACTTCCATCTCAGTGGGTTCCAGTCCTCGTTCCTATTATATTTTCTTCCGCAACGTGCAAGCCGGCAAGCCGGTCGAAAGCAGAAGGGCATCGAGCCGGCGACAGTCCCACCTTCCTCCTTCCTAATTTTTTAAGCTTAAGCGGCCACACAGGCTAGTTGAAGATACGTCCGACAGTTAACATTTCAGAAACAAAAAATAGTATTAAATAATTATTCTTCGAACCCGAATGGGCTCTTTACTGAGAATTATTCCTCGAGCCCGAATGGGCTCTGAGTCAATAGCCCATGAGGGCGAGAGGAATAATTGTTTTAGTATAATCCAACTAGTTGGTCAAAAATATCGAGACAAAACAACTTAAAGCAAGACTTTAATTCTTTTTTTGCCGCCAAAAATCCGGCGTTTTTAGCTACTAGTGGGCTATAACATAGCGTAGTAGTAGCTCAACCAATCAGAACGCATGGGACTGGGACTGAGCTGAGCAGCCCAGCCGGCAGCTGACGTGTAGTTTGGAAAGAAGTTTGTAAGCAATGCTTCAGCTGAGGAAGAACGATATGCTTCAAATGACACGTTAATCTCGCGCTTAAAAAAAAGCCTTACCCCTCCAATATGTGGGGAAGAATCTCCTCCATGGCGCAAGCCGTGCAGGAGAAACTGGAGGAGTCATTAGGTGAGAATCCAGAAGACGATATCGAAGCTACAGCCGAAAGTTCGCCAGCAAGGAAGGTTCGGAACCATTCATTAGATAAGATGTTGTTATTCACCGATTCTTGGTTTCTCATGTGTTTCAACGGTTGAATGTTTGTTTTAAGGACAAAGACGTGATCGCAGATCTTAGGAGATCGTTGAGGGAGTCAGAGAAGAGAAATGAAGAAATAAATCGTGAATTCCAGAAGTTACTGCGACAAAAAGAGGTAATGATCGACAAGTGTTTACATCTTGCCTTGTTACCTGCTGAGAGCAAGATATTGGTTCTCCAGCAATATTTATGTCAAATAGATAGCTTATGGACAAATATTGTAACAGTGTTTTCCTTTTTTAGAAAATCCGTGTTTAAATAATTCCGTCATATATATTTAGTGGTTATCCTTGAAATCTGAGCTGAGAAAGTAAGTGTTGCCTTTGAGATCGACCCTACAAATGATTTTACCCTAGCCTCTATGGCCTCACAGCACCTTACTAACCCGACTCCTCTTAAAGAACCATCATGAATCAAGAACATCTTGGGTAGTGACTGACCACTTACAGCTCCAACTTGGAGCCAAGATCTGTGGTGTTGCTTAGCCATTCCTATTTCAACATGGTTGCAGTGTTCTAAATCTAAATGCTATGGGTTTGATAGTGAACAACTGGATAAATCATTGCTCTGTTCTTCTACTTGTATACTAGGAGGAACTTGTTCAGTTACGAGAAACTGTTAGAGCAGGGCCATCACTGGAGTCTGCTGAGCTCTCATCTGAAGTTCAGGATGCTGTAAGTGCAAAAGGCTTGTCATTAACTAGCCTCCCACGCAGGCGTTTTTAGGGGAGCTCGTATTTCTTCCCTCCCCACAAACGCCTGCTCAACAGAGGACAACATTCCTTTCCCACCCTTAGCCAATCACGTTGTACTTTCCAAATTCTGGAAAGTTGACCTTGACCGCAGGGTAACCCGATAATCACGCGATCTGCATGAAACTTTAAGAAACCTTCATGACCTCTAATAAATGTTAGTCTCAGAGCGGCAAAAGTAAGATTTACTCAGTCAGATTTTAGAATTCTCTGTGCACTGCATAACCTTAGCGAACGAAAGAAAAAAAGGAAAAAGGTAACTCTAGGGTCACGTTCTGGGTCACGTTTTTTCACTATCACGAGCTTATGAGTCATGTTTAGCCTGTCAACACTTCATTTAAAAACCGTTGATTGGTCACTTACCACGCGAATGCAACAATGGGAAAGGAATGTTGTCCTCTGTTGAGCAGGCGTTTGTGGGGAGGGAAGAAATACGAGCTCCCCTAAAAACGCCTGCGTGGGAGGCTAGTCATTAACATGATCAACTGTATCTACTGCAGAAGCCAGTGTTTTCAGCCCATAGCTAGATAGCCCCCTTCAGGTTAGCCCTGGACGAAATTGAGTTTGCCCCATAGTGAATGAGCTCCATTAAGAGTTAGCTCTGTAAAATGTCCAGAATGAACACCACAATTTATCAACCATTTTGATTTTAACAACCATACTCACCTTGTACCAAAGATTGCTTCAATTTCTAAAAGCGAACCCATGATACGGTCATATGATACTGGTTAGTGGAAACCCTGTTTTGACAGCTGTCAATTGAGCACCACATGGATGTGCCATATCAGGTTGCAGACTTTCACACTAGCTAGAAAGTGTGACATTTCAAATTGGTTACCCTGTGAAGTGGACGAGGGTGGATGGATGGACATACAGTCAGATGAATAGATAACCAAATTTTCGTAGCAATGGGGTTCCTCTCTTAAATAAAGAGTGTTTTGTTCTTCATCCTAAGCCTTGATCATGCTGATGGTAATTTTTCCTGTTTTTTTTTTTTTAGAGCAACCCAACTCAAAACATCCAACAGATTCAAGTACTTCTTGCCAAAAAAGACAGTATAATTGAAGGTCTAGAGAAGCGACTTCATGAAAGTGAATCCTTGGTAAGGCAACTGGAACAGCAGGGAAGAGATAATGAGGAGAAAGTAATGCATGAACTAGCGGTCAAGATCAAAACTGCTGAAGGCTTCCAACTGAAACTTGAAGAAAGCAAACAGCTGCTGGAAGATAGAAACAAAACAATAGAGGGATTAATGGATCGGCTTGATGCCCAAAAAAGGCTTATTGAAAGCCGTGATCAAGTGATTGACCAGCTCAAAGCCATGAAGAATCTTGATAGTGGTGCTGACGAACTTGTTGGTACACTGAGAGAACAACTAGATGCAATGAATGAAAGGGTTGAGAAAGCTGTTGATGAGGCAGAGAGAGCTAAGAGGGAAGTCATTTCTGTCAAGAAAAAATTGGAGGAGAAAGGGGAAATGATTGCTGCAGCTGAAAAGGTATGAGCAAAGAAATTTTTACATGGTTCATTGCAAATAAGTTAAGCCTCTTGTTGACATTTTTAGTTACATCAGCCTAGTTACAGGTACATGAAGTTAGCCTCTGCAAGTCTACCATAGACCATCAGTCAGGGTTGTCACTAAGATTTCAAGTTGCCAGGTAAATACAACAAGTAGACAGGAAATCAAACAGCTACAGTCTGTAGGGGTTTCTTTTGGTTCTATTTTTCTTCTATTTTCTGTGGGCCATGTTCATAGTAGGCAGGGGATATTCCTGGCCTCCACCTCTTAAAGACAGCCCTGATCAGTAATAGACTAGTAACCTCCTTTTGACCAACTGGGGCATGGTTCACAATGAATTCTACATAGTTTCTTAGTGCTGTGCTGATCATCAATAAAAATAAAATATTGATAAGAAAAACCTTGCAGTAAAATGTATTCAAAAATGTTCAATCTATTATGATAGAAAAATAATGAAAAAAAAAAAACTCAAATAGAATAAAAAATGGTAAAATTTACTTTGTGACTGTCCTTTTAAATGGACTCTTAATGCAGCTATAATCCTTTAATAACCCTTTTCTGATACTACTTGCTGCTCACCTCATTTTCATGTTAAATCCAGGTGATAGATCAAAACTATGTGATATCTCATACAAATTGAATCTTGACTGCCTTACATTAACCTGTGATTACTAATATCACCTGAACTTACAATAGATAAACTGTGGTTAAGTAGTTCAGACCTCCAGGCAAGAACACTGAAAGAGCTTGCCATTCAGATCAGCTATTTTGCTCTTTTGTCATTTTAGTTAGAACAAGAGAAGGCCTCACTGTTACAACATATCCATGAAATTGAGGAGCAACACAAAGAAACTGTCTCGAAGCTACAGCGTCATGTTCAGGAAAAAGAAAAACTTCTTGCTGCTGAGTTTGCTGAAGCTGAGCAAGTGTACAAAACTACTGAACATGATCTTAGGGAGAGGTTGGAGGAAAAGACACAGATCATCGAGGTGATTTCATATAAATTTATGCCGCTGTTCTAGACTGAGAAAATGTTGCCATTTGAAAAGTTTAATCATAAATTAATTATGACATCTGGTAATGGATGTAAGGGGTTTGGTTTATTGGCATTGCAATTCAAGGTTCTGTCCTGAAATGGATTATGATTCATTTTGCTATATTTTATGCTAATCCCCATACATGTATGTTAAGTACTACAAGTAAGAGAAAAAGAAAATATAACGTGAAACAAAGGTAAAATAATTATTGAACAACAGCTCATTAATTTATGGTTTAAAAGACCGTGAACAGGACAGACCATGAAAAATAACAATCTGTTACAGGTCCATTAATTAATTTCAGGTTGAAATGTTTTAACCTAGGTTGGTTCTTAATTCCCTTTGTCTCCTATCCCTTAGTATTTTGCAACGAGTTGACTTTTCCTTCAGAGATTAAATGAACTTGTTGGTTGGATTTGTTGTGGTGAACCTGTCAGTTCGACAACTGTGAACTCATTGGTTTGGTGGCAAATTAAACATAGTTAAAAATCACATCCAGTGCAGCTATTACAGCGTAACACACAATTTCAAAACAAAGCAACATAACAAATCAATTATCCAGTCAAAATTCCACACACCAGCTTCCTCCTCTATTGAATTGTAATTAATTTTGCTATTCTACACAATATCTTTTGTCTGACATGACTTGCATGTGATTTGAAGTTGCAGCCAATAAAATCGCACAATTTTTCATGACAGGCTTGGGATGCAGGAAGGTTTAAAAAAACATGCCAATTTGTGACTACGCTGAAAACGAAATTTGACCAGATTTTAGATGCTGGCTGTCTACGTCATCCTGCGTAATAACATGCTATGTTTATGTGTACCGTGAACATATCATTTTTTTATGCAAAAGCTCACATCAAGTTTCATTGGTGTTTTCAAAGTGGAACGTCGTACATGTGTGCAATTGAATGAGTGATAGAAGCAGATATTAATTTACTTTGGTCATTGTTTTTGTTTAGTCAAAAGATGAAGCTATACAAGTCCTTAAAAGAGCCATGCAGGAAAAAAACTTGAGCAGTGAGGGGGCCTCGCCACCCTCTCACAGTGATAAAGTAGTGGCTCTACTTGAAGAAAAAATAAAGGAACGAGAAGAGACCATCAGCAGCCAGAATCAGAAGATTAATGCATTGGAGAAGGATTCAGTAAACAAACAGAGTGAGATTGATTTGTTAAAAAAGTCCATTGATGATAAAACAGTAGAGGTGAAAGGGCTCCAAGATACTATCGGAGCAAAAGAGAAGGAACTTACAGAGATCAAAGAAAAACATGAGACTGAACTGAGTGAAAAAGAAGTGAGCTTGCAATCACAAGTCAAGATTAATGATGATTTGCAGAGAACTGTTGCTACATTAAAAGAGAGTCTTGCTGGGCTCGAATCCAAAGAAAATGTCACAGAGCGGCTACTGCTGCTTGATGCAGAAAAGGAACAACAGTTCAGGGATGAAAAGCAAGCTTTTCAGGATAGTGAAAAAGCTCTTCGTGATCAGCTGCAAAGTTATCTTGATCAGAACAATAAAATTGCAGAGGAGCTGGGTGCAGCTAAGGCTGAGATTGAGGTCAAAGAGAAGGAGGTTCGGGATTTGAATGCTAAGCTTGGGAAACTGAAACTTCAAGCTAAAGCTAAGATGACAAGCCTGCAGAATGAAAAGGAGAAACTCTCCAAGGATGTGCAAGAGGTACATACGTTTCTAAACAGTAAACAAATAATCCTTGTATTGCATCTCTCTGTGGCAAGACTTGATTACGTTTATGGCAAAGGGGCTGCTATGTAATTATTTGAATGATTTTGCTATTTACAGTCTGTCAAAACCCTTTGAAAATAGTTATGAAAGATGTTTATTGTCTTGGGGGTAGGTCTAAATGGAATGGATGGATGAAAGACTCTATTCACCGAGATTATAAACCAACTGAACAGAAAATCTTGAGAGCATTGCATCCTATAGATACATGTACTGTCACAATGGTACATTTAGGCTTCAGATCCTGATCAAACTTGATAATTTGTTTTTAGTTTCTGAATTACTTTCCATCAGCATCTGTCATGTTTCATCTGCACCCACTTCAGCATAATGAAAGGCCTGTTGGAATTTTTGTCCTGGAACAATTTAAGCTACTGTAAGTTCAACCCGATCACTAACTCTTAAGCAAAGAAACAAGAATCTTAGAAAACAAGAATCGACTGGTCAAAATGAAAACCAAAGAACCTACACTACTGTTGTCTGTAAAAAATTATTATCCATGATATTTTACGTATACCTGTATGTTATTACTATAATTTGGTGTAGCAAGAAATAATACTTTCCAATTTAGGCTGAATTGCACCTTCTGCATGAAAGAGAAGAGAAGTTGGCCATTCAAAAGAAAGTAGGACAACTTGAAGAAGAAAAAGAAGCAGCTGAGACAAAAAGACTTGAATTAGAGCAAGCACTGGAGGAGTTTGTAAGATCAACTGACAAAAAAGGAGCATTAGCTGCCCTGGATAAAAAATCTTCCTTTGAGCAAGGTAAACAAAATAATTATTCTTGTAGTGTTTTGAAGAAAGCAGTTTTGTCAAAAAACCAAAAATTGGGTACATGTTTAAGCTTAATATAATATATTAATATATTATTGTGGGAAAACAAATGAAATAAGGTTACATACACAATGGATGGCCTGGATCTCTTGTGAAGAGATTTGTGTCAGTCTTTTGTGTTAACTAAAAACTAATTGGAGAAGAAAATAATGACTTACCAGTGACATTTGGCTTTTAAGGTGGCCCTAATGTGGTTTTGCAGGCTCAATACTTCCCACATTTGAGCATAAACTATGTTGTCATTGACAAAGATTTGGAAAAATTACCACCTCAGCTGCATTAGATAAGGTTGAAAAATTGTTATGATCAGGGTTACATTGTTATCAGAGTTGTCAGCAATAAAGTGATGCCATTACATGTACCTATTTTACTTGCAGCTGTATTTCCGGGCACTGGGAACTTTTCCTCCAAAATCATTCAAGGGAGCTTTTTCCTCCAATAGCCACCTCAGTGTTTGTGAAGTTTTTTAAAAGCAAAAATTATCTATGAGAGTTATCAAGATATTTTTGCAATGGCATTTTTGTTTTACAAGTACGGTAAAAACTGGATAATCCTGGTGTTCTTCAGCCATTGTCTGTATCTGTTATCTGCGCTTTTGAAATACAATTTCACCTCATAGTAGTTTCAGTCTCCTTTCATAGAATTTATACATGTAAGTGTTGTATGAATAGAAGAATTTGATGGTATAATAATAGCAATAATTTATTGAATGAGGCTGAGTATGATATGAAGAATTCTGCAGATCGAGGCTGAGCCTTTTTAAAATAGCCAGGGCTGTCAATAAGGGCCGGTAGCCGGCCAAAACCGCCGGCTAGTTAGCCATCCTTAGCTGGCTACTTTCAACTCCTTCTACTATAACTGCTAACAAAAAATAAGCACCATCGAATGAAATTGAACGCATATTTATAAAGGATTTAGCTCTGTGAAACGTGTGAACCGTGCGATGTCGTGGAACGCCTGGGACATTTCGACGGCATCGTTCCCAGTCTTGCGTGTATTCTGATGAAATAACATTGTGTCCGCAGTGGAAAATACCTCTTGAAAACCACTGAAAATGCCATTTCCCAGTCTCTAAATTTCAAAATGTCCCTAGATGCTTGGCCCTCAAGAGTCTGTGCCTTTGGTGCGAGTTCCAAAGCCGCCTTCTATTCATTACCAGCCTGCTACCTAAAAACGTTTTGACAGCCCTGAATAGCATCAACGTAGAATAACTGTAATAAAATATATTTACATGTATGTGTCCTCCACTTCTCCTTTTGATCATAAATAGATGATGGTGAGCCAGAAGAAGAGTTAGAAGGCAGCGGCACAGTGTCAACTATTGTAGGCTCCACATCAGAGGAGTCAGGTTTTGTTAATGTTATGAAAATACTTGAAGAGGAAAGATACTGCATGGAAAGAAGACTTGATCTCATAACTAAGGTACTTTATTTATTTAAATGAATATAAGATCTTTCCATTGTAAAAGCAAGTTACTCAATTGCAACCTAACCTGAAAAATATATCAGGGGTTCAATGGGATTCAAACCTATGAACGGCTCTGTGTTAGCACTGCTTTATTATACAAAAAAAATGTTTTTTTTTTTCCTTTTTACTTGTTTTGTTTCTATTTGCTCTGCTCTAAATGTTTTCTTCTTAAATTGCACGTACTGTGTTTTTAGCTCTTTAGGAACTTAAAGTGATCAGTGTCTCCTTTTCCTTGTAATAAATTATCAGTTCTTTATTTTATTAAAACAGATAAGTGATGAGAATTAAGAACATGATCACACAAGAGGTATCAACAATGTCTCCCTGTTTCTCTCTGGGAAACATATAGGGGCAACAATGAGAAATTAAATATTGATATTTGGCTGTATTATAAGGCTTAAAGGCCTTGCAAAGCTTTAAATGTCAAACTGGGTGATATGACCTCTGCTGTGTATTTTCCCACTTCTTTTTACATATGAGTGAAATATGTTAAAATAACATTCAACAGCTAAATGGTTTGTTTTCAATAGCCATTTTAATTCTTATCAGAATTTTCCTTTGCTTTTTTTTAATTCTAGGAACGTGACTCATTACAGAGCAAGGTGGAAGAATTAGAAGAAATGTTGGAGGCAGAAAAGGAGCAACAACAGAAAAAGGCTGAGGAGATTAGCTCAGATGAAGATGCTGAACATGCTAAGCATATGGCAGAAGAGTCATTAATGATGCATGTGGAAGCTTTGCAGGAGGAAAATGAAACACTCAGGTAAAGAATAATACTCTGTGATGACTAATAATTATTTTGACTAACTGTGCATGCAGAAAAATAACCTACAACAGAGACTCATTTGGTTAACTTTAACTGCATTGGTGTAGGAACTTTTTCTTTATGAATCCTTCTATACCGTTGCTAAGTATCTCTAGCTTGTGTTCTGCACATTGGTGTTCTATGGAAGGACTATCCTGACCCTCTACTATGCAGGAATATATAATGTACATGTAGTTGAAGAAGAATAGCTTGAGAAGTGTATAGGTAACCTAGAGCTTCTTAAAGAACCTAGTTGAAGAAGAATAGCTTGAGAAGTGTATAGGTAACCTAGAGCATCTTAAAGAACCTGATATCCCATGGCTTTGATTGTGACTGACTTTCAAACTGTCAAACAGTATGGCTGACTGACTGAGTGGCGGGCTGACTGACTGACCAAATGACAAAATGTTTGGCTGACTGACTGACTCACAGACTCACTAACAAACTGTTCACCTGACTGACTGACTGACTGGCTCGCCGACTGACCGACTAACTGACTTACTGACTTACTGACAGGCTGACTTACTGTAACTGACTGACTGACTGACTGAAAGACTGACTAAATAACTGACTGACTGACTTTTATATAAATATAAGGGGATATGTGTGGTCTGTCTCATCAGCACTCAAGCTCACAGCTATACATATATTTTCTTAAGTTAACATACATTTTATCTTTTTATGTGATTCTTTTTGGTTCTGTGTTTAAAAAATTCACTTGTTACTTGTCCCTTATATAATATATATTCCTTTTCTTCTCTGTCTTTTACTTTTCTTTTTTGATAATAATAATCAGAGCATCCCTAGAGCTGGAGCAATCAGTAGTGGCAAATTTGAAAGAACAAATGAAGCAAGCTCCCTTGAATGAGAAAGTAAGTTTTACACTGTATTTTTATTAGCATGAGTAAACAACCGACATTTTGTGACACCATCACTGGTTTCCCTGTGAAACAACATCTGAGGAAAGAGCGCAGAAATTCCAAATTGATGACATGTCCCTAACCAGATCTGGGTAGTGCTTCTGATTGGTTAAAGCAATAGTCGCTTAATTATAATTGTTATTTTCCTTCTAAGCACAACCAGTCAGAAGCACTACCCAAATCTGGGTAGTGACGAGCATGCAAAGAAAGTTGTGTCCGATAGCCCAGGGCCTGTTGATTTTGCTATCGGGCTAGTAATTTTTTTTCTTAACTTGCCCAGCAGTCAAGTGCTGTTTTTGGGGGGAATTCAAATTACAGAAGGATTGTAATCAATCCTGCTAATCAAAAAGGGTTTTGGGGCTAGTACATGCTACTACAGCTTGCCCGAATGGCAGGCTGTAAAACTAAATTTCTTTCCACCCTGGTAGTGACGTGTCAACGGTATGGAATTTCTGTCCCCATTTATCAGTTGTTATTTGACAGGAAAACAATTGGTGGGGTTGCAAAATGTTGGCCTTTTTTTCTGTCTGTATTTGTACTAAAACAATATTCCCCTATTTGGCCTGGTTCCCTGTGTGGGCAGCACATACGGCTAGTATTTTAAATGAGTGCCATTGTATTGTACTTTTCAAACCAGAGCCAGAGGTGTTAACTGGAAGTCTTACTGATGTGATTATAATCTGTGTGCTCTATGTAATGAGTCCAGATGATTTAAAACAATCTGAAGAGATCAGGACTACTGAGAGTTTTTTGTACTTACTAAAAATCAAATTTTTCATCTCTTGAAGGAGAAAATTTGAGTTATTGCGTTTTAAATGCTAACAGAGTTGGCTCTTCCTATCCAGACGACTGAAATGAAGTTCTGTTGCTTAGAAGCTTTAAAAATCTTTAAAACATAAAAGAGTTGTCCAATGAAATCTTTGTTCAGAAAACTATTGTTATTTTCTTTTTTCCTAGTAACATTGCAAGAATAATAGATTAAACTTGCTCGGCATTTTAAAAAGTTGTGGTATTTAAATCGTCGTGAGGCATATATGGAATAGAAAGAGACCAAAATAGAAATTTAAAAAAATAATAACATTAAAAGCTTAAAAACTTTAGTTTCCGACAGCATTCGAACCAACGACTTAAACTAGGCTCTTAATAACTGACATATTATAATATAATCAATCAGACGACCATGAAAAGTAAATTCTGATCACAGAATCCAACATTTCAGCTTTTCTCCAAAGATGAACGCATAACGTACCTGGAGACGAAAGTCGCCCAGCAACAACAGAATCTTCATCTGTTTAAAACAATGCTACAGCATAAAGAAGTTTATGTTTCAGAAGATGAGGTGAAGGCCAACTCTTCTTTCCGTTTTTTAACCAAACTGTGGTGTAGCCATTGTGAGATAATGAATAAGGGAATCCCATTGACAGAAACGTTTCAGTTGGATTCTCAAGTAAAGTCGAGGAAACTTTTAATAACGAGTGAAAGAAATACCCCTCTTAGATAAATACTACCTTCTCCCTATTTCTCTCCCCCCCCCCCCCCCCCACTTTTTTTCTCTTTCTTTCTTCTCATGGTTCCTTTGGGCTTCCTCGCCAATTAGCTTTATTTAGTTAAAATTCTGTAATTTCATATATAGAAAAGGCTCACGCAAGAGAACCCAAGCGAATACCCTTAGGACCAGAAACAGTCTCCATTTAAGAAGAGTGTCAGCTTAACGGAGGTTTAAAATGCAATTTTGTTTGCTGGTGGGACTACAAGCAATTGTCCTCTTGCGGAAGGCGTCCGCTTGTAAGAAGTGTGGGTTACCGAGGTTCGACCTGCATGACACTGTCCCACTGTCCCCTTTAAAACAGGTTGACTTACATACGGAAAGTTAAGAATTTGTGTTCATAGTGGGGGGCTTAAAGGGTTAAAAGTCACTGATTATGATTTGGTCACACCTTTGAGAATAAATTTATGTCTTTTCCCGTGTTGTTCAATGGCCATTTTGCGTATCAATGATTGTATCAACGTAGTTTACCCCTTTGGGGAACAAGGGTGGTGCAGTGGTGAGAACACTCGCCTCCCAGCCCGGGTTCAAATCCTGGCGTCGTCACCATATCATTTGTGGGTTGAGTTTGTTGTTGGTTCTCTCCCTTGCTCCGAGAGGTTTTTCTCCGGGTACTCCGGTTTTCCCCTCTCCTTAAAAACCAACACTTCCAAATTTCAAGTCGATCTGGAACGCACGGACAAGTTTCAACGAGTTCCTAATTGCTTCGTGGGTAAACAAATTACAAATTACAATTTTAATTTTTTTTCTTAAGAGATCTCCCACGTTCATTGTGCGGCCCCCAGACACTGACAGGCGTCTTTTACAGCTTATGTAGCTGTAACGTAAAAGCCGTTGTATAGGTTATTTGCTCAGATATTCCGTTCTTTGATAATTTTTCTCTTATTGATCGTCAGGGTTTGTAACAATTATTCGATTTCGTTTGCAGAAAGAGTTGCAGTCGGAAATTGGCTCCTTGAAACAAGTCATTGCAGAAGAGAAAGAAAACTCTGCAGGTTAGTGTAACGATTGATTTGTGGCTGTTCTCTAGAACGAGTTTGAGGTGAAAATAGTGGCTGAAAGAAAAGGGAAAGCAAGGTGGGAAGAGAACGCAGGTTATCGAAATGAATTCGTGAGGAATTAATTTTTAACCTCGCAATGATAGTAGAGCTCATTTTTCAGGCTTTAACAGAACAGTATCTTAGTTGCGTGTTCTGACGTAACGTTTGCAGTATATGTCTAGACCAGCGCACCAAAGCTATTTTCTTTAATCTTTGGTCATAGACAAAAGGCAAATAGCGCGAGAGAGCTCCGCTATCAGTCCTCGCAGGCCTGAGTCCGTGCTTGTCATTTTCAGTAGAAATATACATGTCGCTCTGCAGTTTTGCTTTTGCCATGACTCACCAGTTTGGAATGTTTTCCTCAGGTCTACTCAACCAGCTTGAATTGAGTGAAGAGGAAAGCGCGAAACATGCACAGAACGTGAAAAATCTGCAAGAGGATCTTGAAAAAAATACGACAGCTGTTGATTCCTTGAAGCTTCAACTTCAACAAAGCGTAGAAGACCATAGCAAAGTCCTGGAGGAAAAAGATAACGAAATAAGCAATTTACAGCAAGAGTTGATGGATAATAGCTCTGGTTTTGAGATGTTAAATGCCAGCTTCACCGAGACGACCACCCAAGTACAACAACTTCAAGAGCAACTGGCTACCAAAGAAGCTGATGTGGAGAGGCTGGAGAAAGAATTAAGTGAGCGAGAGGCAAGCTTAGAGCAGCTCAAGGGAAGTTATACGGATGTTTGTTCTACAGTCAATGAAATGCAAAGTCTTTTAGCAAACAAGGAAGAAGAATTAAAGGCGTTACAAGATAATAGGGGCTCTCAAGCTAGTGAAATCGAGTCCTTGCGTTCGAAACATGGCGAATTTGTTGATGAGATTCAAAAACTCCGGGAGATTATCGAGGAGAAGGATTCTGAAATTGTTCAGCTTAGAGCAGACTCAGATGGAAAAGACTTGAGTTTCGAACATCTAAGCGCAAGTTTGATTGAGTCTAGCTCTCAAGTAAAAGGGCTTGAAGACGTTGTGCAGGTTAAGGACTCACAACTAAAGGCTATGCAACAGAATTTTGACGAACAAGCTCTTAGTTATAAGGAGTTGACGAAAGTGGTATCTGAAAGTGCGTCACGGCTTGATGATTTGCAAGAGGCACTTGTTGTAAAAGAAGACGAGGTCAATGCAATTAGGTCAGAATTAGTTGAACAGAAAGCCACAAGTAAGGAAATGAATACAAGGTACAATGAGGCAGTTGCGAGGATCGGTGAACTTGAGGGAAATTGTGCGTCAAAAGATGTAGAACTGAAAACGCTTAAAACGGTTTTAGAAGAACAGGGACTACAGTATGAAAAACTGAACCAAAGCTCTGCGGAATCGGACAACCAACTGAAGCAGCTACAAGATTCGCTGATCGGTAAAGAAAGAGAGATAGGCACAATCCAGGTTAGCTTGGAAGAAAAGGATACACGTATTGAAAAACTGGTCTCGCATTGCTCTGATAAAGACGGTCAGATTAAAGAACAACAAGAATTGCTCAGCGTAAGAGACAAGGAATTGGCGACTCTCAAGAACAGCCTAGAAGAACGTGAGAAAAGCTTTCAACAGCTGAGTTCAAATCTAGATGAGGCCAATATCCAGGTGAAACAACTTGGAGAAGGCATAATGGAGAGAGATGGAAAAACTGGCTCACTTGAGAGCCAGCTTGCAGCTCTCGGTCTGAAGCACGAAGAACTGATGTCGAGTTTCACAGAAGCTGGTTCTCAAATAAAAGATTTGCATGATCTGCTCGCAACTAAGGAGAGAGAGTTGCGCGTACTTAGAAGCAGCATGGAAGACCAAGGCTCCAGTTTTCAAGAGCTCACATCTCAGTTAACTGATCAGAGCTCACAGCTGCAAGACCTCAACAGGTCTTTAAGCGATAAACAAGGTGAAGTCAATTCGCTTAAAGCCAGTTTAGAAACGCAGGCGGCAAAGTACAGTAAACTTGAAGCCTCACACAATTCTGAGGTGTCTAGACTTGAGGAGGTCATTACATCGAAAGAAACCGAGAATGTTTCTCTCCAATCGGAAATAAAAGAACATTTGGCCACCGTGAATGAACTAAACACAAGCTTTGATGAGGCAACATCTAGGTTGCAAAATCTTCAAGCAGCTCTTAAAGACAAAGAAGAAGAAGTGGTAATTCTCACCACCGAACTTAAGGAGAAGACTTCCAGCTTTAAGGAGGTCACTGAAAAGCTCGAAGAAACCGGCCAGCAACTTTCTGAATTCCAGGATGTGCTCCATACAAAAGATAATGAGATCGAAATGTTACAATCTAATCTTGAAAGGAAAGTTTCCAGTCTTGAGCAGCTGAATTTGGCCTATAACGAAGTAGCGACCCAAGTGAAAGAATTGCAGGATTTAATTGTAGTAAAAGAAGATGCAGTCAACAAGTTGCAATCGATGCTGGATCAGCAAGTTGCCGACTTGGAGCAGTCGCGTACTAACGTTGCTGAAAACTCTTCCCAAGTAAACGAGCTTCGAGAAACACTTCAGCACAAGGAAGAAGAACTCAACCAGTGGGAAGCTCGTTATTCTGAACAGAAATCAAGCGTTGATCAGCTCGAGTGTCGTTTGGCAGAGACGACTTCTATAGTAAGTGACTTGCGGCAGACATTAGGTGAAAGAGAGGCGGAGATCAGCACACTTAATGAAAATCTGAACGACCAAAGTTTCTACTTTGATTCCCGCTATAGTGACTGGAATGAAGAAATGAATGCCCTTCGCGACCAGCTCTCCGGGAAAGAGGAGGAGCTACTTGCTTTAGAAACTAGTTTTAATGAGAAGAGCACGAGCCTTGAAAACCTTGACACGAGTCTGAACGAGACAAATGCGCAACTCGAGGACGTGAAAAGTCAGCTTGCAGCAAAAGACAGCAAGTTCGCTGTTTTGAAGAAGAAAGCGCAGGCACTGAAAAAGTCCCATGACACTCTGGCCGCTGAGAACGTAAGTTTCAAAAAGGAGTTGGATGAGCTGAGGAAAGAGAAGGAAATTTTCTTGGAAGAAAAAGAAACTATGGAAACATGCCTAGCACAGTTGATCGAATACAAAAATCAGCTACATACCAAGAATCAGGAAATACAGCACTTGGAAAATAAGCTTGGACAGGTGGAAGAGGTCGTACAGTTGGGCAGTGAGGAAAAGGAGGTATTGGTCTCAAAGGTAAGGGAGCTTCAAGCAGCGCTAGATTCCTTTCAGCAACAACGTGACGAACTTGCTTCTCAGCTCAGTAAAACTGAAGATAAAGAGATGGTAATGGAGGAGTCTGCTCATCGCGTCAAGGAAGAGGAGTCTCTGGTTCAATCTGAAAGTGTGAGCCTAAATTCTGATTTGGTCAACTTGAAAGAGCTGTTTAATTCAAAAGAGAAAGAAGTTGATGACCTTCGGAACATAGTGGAACACTTAAAGCGCGTCAATGAGGATCTTAACAAGTCTTCTGAGGAACAGATGGAACAGTTAGAAGTGAAGCTGTTAGCCAAGGAAGAAGAACTAGTTGAGGCAAGTAGAAAATTGGAAGAGTCTCAAACTGTGCGTGATGAAGACGTTTTGAACGAATACAAGTCTAAGTTTGAGCAAGAAAAAGATGAGTTGTTAGCGAAGCTGGAGACAACTTCAGCTGAAAACGTTTCGTTAAAGAATGAGCTCTCGGAAGGTGCAGCAAAGTATAGCGATTTATCATCAGAGTACGAGAATGTTAAGGTAGATTTAGAAAGAACCAAAGATGATTTGAACTTGAGAGATACCCAGATGGAGTCACTTCAAGCGGAGGTTTCTGAACTTACGAATGTTATAAAAGAAAGTGTCACTGCATCTCAGAACGAAGAAGAGTTGAGAAAGGAAATCCAGGCTAAGGCAACGAAAGTGGTTGAGCTCCAAGAGGAACTAAAACAACAGGAGGAATTATTGAGCGAAAGAGATCAGGAAGCTGTCGAACTTACCAATTTATTGTCAGAAAACACAAAAGCACTCTTTGCAGCTAATAGCAGGCTAGCGGAACTTACTAGACACGAGAGTGAATTAGAAACGTCCATTGGGCAAGCGGACGAAACTACTAGTAGTCTGCAGGCTGAACTTAGTGATATTAATTCCAGGCTGCAGCAAGTTTGGCAAGATAATACAGCATTGAAATCTGAATTGTCTGATCTCAAGGATACGTTGAGTTCTTCTAACCGGGAATTGGACGCGCTAAGAATAGAAAGGGATAGCCTTAAAGAAGAGCTCACGTCAAAGAAGGAGAGCATTAGTAGCGCTGAGAAAGACAACTCTGAGCTAAAAACAGTCATTGAGGAAATGTTAGGTAAGGAGCAGCAGCTTTACAAAGAACTGGAGGAAACAACTGGCGAACTTAACAGGTTAGATTCTCTTTGTAAAGAGCAACAACAAAAACTTCTAGAACTCAATGAGGAACTTGACAAAAATAATGAAACGTTATTAGCGGCTGAACAGATGGCTGATAAGTTGAAAGAACAAGAAACTTTCTTCAATGCTGCTAAACAGGAAAGGGATAATTTTGAGACTCTTTTGGACGAGACGAACGCCAAACTAAGTCTGGTGTCTGCAGAAAAGGCCTCTTTAGAACTGGAAATTCTCAACGCAAAGGATAGGTTAGCTGTATTAACATCTGAGCACGAACAGAGTGTTGCAGAGTTAGAAAAAACAAAGCAACAACTACACGACAGTGAAGCAAACGTGCAAACGCTTAAGGACGAGATATTAAGTACAAAGCAAACTCAAGCTGAAAAGATCATACCTCAGGAAGTGGGATTGTCAGAAATAGCCCCTCAGTGGGAGCTTCCTTTGGGCTCTTCTTCTGACGAAACGGCGGTCCTTCCATCTCAAGGAAGACAATTGGATAGTCAGATAGAGCAGCTTCAGCAAGAAAAGGAAAATTTAACGGCGGAACTGACAGAGCTTAAATCAGAGTTAAACGATGCAGCAGAAACGAGACATGCTGCAGAAGCAGAGCTTACCAGTACAAAGGAAAGACTGAATGAATTGATGGTGCAACACGATTGGGTGACATCTGAATTGGAGAGCTTAAAGGAAGAGTTTAGCGATCAGGAGAAAGAGTTAGACAGTGTCAAACAACAACTTGCTGAAGCCAACAGTTCTAAAGGGGAATCACAAGAAGTTGCTGGTAGTGAATTGGAAGAGAGATGGCCTAAAAAAGAAGACGAGCTTGTACAGATGAGGGACAACTTTGAAGATGCTGTGAGCAAAAAAGTGGAGGAAGTGGCATTGGCCAAAGATCTCGAGAAGGCTCAAGTCACTGAACAGCTTACAAAGCAGTTGGAAGAGACCAAGGCGCATAAAGATGGTGTGATTGCTAAGTTGAAGGACAAAATAAGAGAGAAGATTGACTTAAACAAGAAACACACTGCAGAATTCAGGTTAAAGTTGACAAATGCCCAGAAAGAGAAAGATGAAGCCCTTCAGAAGCTGCAGTGTCAACTGGAAGACGCTCAGAAGGAGAAGGAAGAAACACTGCAGAAGCTTCAGACTTACGAAGAAGAAAAGGAAACGGCAGTACAGGAGCTTAGATGCCAACTGGAAAACGACCAGAAAGAGAAAGAAGAAAGTATAAGGGAACTTCAGTCTCAACTAGAACTTCAAATGCAAACATCTGAACAACTTTCAGCCGCGTTGGATCAAGTACGGGAAAACGTCAAAACAAAAGATGATGAGATGGAGGCTCTAAGAAGCAAACTTGTTGACTTGGAGAGTGAGGGAGAGCAGAAGGACCTGAAATGGCAAGAAGCTCTGCTTGATTTGCAGAATCTTCAACTGGAGATTGAAAAGCGTGAGCAGGAGAAAGTAGAGTTGGATTCCCGCCTGCAGGCTAGCGTAGGGCAAGAAGAGTATGACAAGTCAATTACTGACAGGAACAAGCTTATTGCTAATCTAAAGAAAAGGCTGAAAGAGGAACGAGCAGCAAAGAAAGAAGAGATTAGCAAGTTCCAGGGTTCTCTTGCAGAGAAGGATGCAGAGGCAGAGCAGCTGAAGGTAACAGAATATTAAAATAAATAAATAATTAAATAATGATTTAGAGGTAGCACATGCACTTGGTGGTTCTTGTCTAACATTTTTGGTCGTATTGGAATTTGCAAGTGTTGGTTTTTGAGGAGAAGGGAAAATCGGAGTACGCGGAGAAAAACCTCACGGAGCAAAGGAGAGAACCAACAACGTTATGCGGTCGCGAATTCTCCCACCACTCACCTTATCGCCACACTTCCCCCTTCCCATGCCTTTGCTCCCGTAAGGTAATTACCCCCTGTGCAGTGCCTTAGGTTGAGGGGACAACGTGGCCAACAATGGCGGATTATATGATATAGCAACAGACGTTTCGGAACTACTCTTCCGTTAGATCTTATGCTGGAATCTTGGATTGTGTGTGGTTAATATCTGACGTTGCAGCCACGCTGCTGGTGTGGACATTTCATGGGGCAAACAAGAATAATTTTTTCAACAAAAACTGTTCTTTCTTTTATTTTAGCATTTTCCACCAGTTGTTAGGACAACTGTTGGATTTATCAGCCACACACTGCTCACAATTCCTTTATTCACTTGGTGACGCTTACTCGAAACCTGGGATTTTGGTTCCCTTCATGATAGCGATTTTATCTTGTCAGTGTAGTTGATAAAATCCAATTGTAAAGTTTTAAAATCTCGTTGTTCGCATCAGGTATTGCATGCTGAGGAGCTTTCTGAGGTGAACAAAAAGCTTCAAGCTTCAGTGGACGACAACAAAACCTTGGAGGAGAAACAAGAGGCTCTTCAACATGATCTTACTGACGCTGAAGACGAGTTGATCGTTATGAGGAAAACGGTTGAGAATCTAGAAAATGAAAAGAATGAACTGGAAAGAACGCAAGACCAACTGAAGAAGGAACTTGAAGAACAAGGTAAGCAATGGTCTCGTAAATAGTAAATATTACCGTCAATAACCTTAGCCAAGAACTACATGGCATCCAAAGTGTAGCCCAAAATTTATATCGGAATGTAACAACAAAGATTTGCAAGAGAAATCTGGATTTCATTCTGCCATAGTTTACTCAGCCTAACCCTTGGATGTTGTTTACTAGAAGTACAATTTTTGTTTCTAACTTTTCCGCAATTGAAAAAGATGCTGCACAATATTAACGGTGCGTTAAACTGCGAAGTCACTTCATTTTGCCATTTCCGTTTTCTTTATGAGGCAGGCTGTACAACAGGTATTACTTAATTTAGTATAACGGGCATGAGCGGCATTGATTGTAGAATAAAATACAAACTGTGGGAAAGGTTTGAAAGTGGAAAGAAAACGGCGGCGTCTCCTAATGGAAAAAAGCCACCGAAAAATTGTTTAAACGGGGTCAAATCATTGTCCAGTTTCTTGAATTTGCAGTAGAACAGCTTTCTTAGTTGTTGATTGAAGAACAGTCAGTGTGTATTTAGGAATCCTTTGTAGTAAGTCTGGAAGCCAGCGTATACTCGATAAAGAAGTTTGTTACATCCCTCTTAACTTCAATTAGCATGTAACCGTTGAAGAATGGCTATCATATTGTGTAGCTATAGCATACCATATTTCTGAATGGCAACTTGGTCATTGCCCTCAATTACTCAGTGCTGCCTCTCATTAGTTTATCAGGAGGCTGTCATTTCGCATTAAAACAATACCACGTCTTCTCTTCGTTGCCTCTCTTTGCTGCTTTTGCTGCGCCATTTTGTGCGAAAAAATACACTTACCCCTGTCGCTGCTGTCCACATCCTGTCTATTTTTTACTCAGCGCGACTTGCTTCCTCTGTCAGTTGCCTACTACATTATTTTATTATGAATATGGATATCCTATTGCATCTCGTGTCAAAGAAATCGCAGTTATGAAAGTCCTAAACATCTTACACATATTAATTACGCTCAGAGCTACTTGTTTGCCTTGTTGTTGTCTGTTTTCACTCTGTGTATAATTGTGATCTGTGCTTATGCTGCTGGCTAAAGATTGCACTCATCTCAGTCTCTAGCAATTTGACTCTTAACGCCACTTTCTTCTTTGTTTCTCGCACAACTTCGCAAGTGTTTGTCTCATGGGTAATCCTACTCGACACTAAAATGCCCATATATGACATTGTTTGGCCAATTTCATCAAGTAATCGTATGCTACATGTGCTCGTGTTAAGATGCACGTTGAAGGAACGACCCGACACAGCTAATCGCATACGTTATCACTACCACGTTGTTATGCTGTCCTTGATTTGAATCACTAGTCTCGTTGCACTTAAAATGTAATCACGGCTCATAAGCACTTCTCCTACACGTGATACCGAACATCTCAGAGAATGAGAGCTCATGTCTTGAAAAGCCTTGATAAGCACATTATAGCAATGCTGACACTAGTGAGGTAAGTTGGTCTGCGCTTACCTTTTGTCTTGTTCTCATTTTCATTCGTTGCATTGCACTACAGCTTCTTTATTGAGTTGTTTCATATAAATCAGTTAACGTGTAAATGGACATAAAACGCAATGTAATTAATGTGTTAAAGCTATTTGTATCCCACTCGACATTTTAATTGTCGTAATAGATTTTTTTACTTGTTACTATCCAGTCTATCAGACGAAAAAACTAAAAAACAAATCCAGTAGCAAGCGTTTCCGTGCGAGTTCGTCGAGAAAGTTGGGACCAGAGCAAAAAAAGAGGAATGCTGTCGCTCCAACTTTCACGCAATAAATCGATCGGAAACGCTTGCTACGCTGGCTGCATAACGTGGGTTGCCACGTTGTCCACGGTCAAGAAAAAGTCAGGGAAAGATGTGTTTTCGTGATCTGCAAAAGCAGAGGACGAAAAAGAAATGAAATGTTTGATTTTGTGAAAGAGAGGGAACTTTGCAACTTCATTAACTTTTTTCAATAGTGTGCTAGCAGAAATACATACTGTTGATATTTTTACCACAGTTTCCCCCATGTATTTTTTTTTCGTTTTAATAAAACCACTGCAAATCAAAATTTAACTATGATTCACGTTCTCTTTGTAATGTAAATACTTTTTTATCTGATATCACTGACTGAAATGTTCATACTCTAAACAACCCGCTTCCTATCCACACGTTTGTGTTAAATAAAGGAATAAATACATTTACTTCGCGTTTTTGATAAAGTAGCATAAATTCCGTAAATAACGAATTTAAGATCTACCCAAGCCTGCTTCAAATTTACTAATATAACGTCCTTTTATAATCCGATCGAGAATTACGTTGAGCTAGCAAAAAATCCGAAGTAAATCCTAATTCGTATCTTAAAACTCCATGGCACAATATCCATTTTATGTTCTCTTTGCGTTTTCGTTTTATATGCTATCTTGAACGGCTCAGCTTTCTTATCCTTTCTTCCTTCATTTTTCCATTGCAGAAGATGACTTTACCTCCAGCGTCGACGCACTGAGCTCTCAAAAGGAAAAAGCTGACAAGCTCATTGAACACTTACAGCAAGAGTTGGATGCGCGTAATAACGAAATGACTGCAATGAGAGAAAACGAGTTAAGTCAAAAAGAAGAAAAAGAACTACTCCTTAATGAAGTTCAGCAGCTTAGCGAAGCGGTTGAACTTCTTAAAGAGAAGGGAGTAAATGCTGAAGGACTGAAAGAAGAGATGGATGCTTTGACCGATGAGAAGGCTAAGCTAGAAGAGCAACTTTCATCTGCTGAGGAGGAGCTTTCGCAGTTGAAACAAGTAAACGAGCAGCTACATATTGATGTTGAAAACGCAAAGAATATGGTAGCCTCATCTGCCCTGGAAACCGTAACTGGTGGTGAAAGCACTGACGCCTTTATGGCAGGTTTCTCTGAGGTCGTAAGTGGCACCTCTCTGCTTGAAGACACTCTTTCAGAGGAAGCGTCCCCAATTGTTGAAGAGTCCATTTCTTTACAGTTGGAAACACCGTTGAGTTCACCATCTGTGGATCCTACTAGCAGTGAAGAGCTTGAAAATGTAAGGCGTGAAATGTCAGAAATCCAAGCTGAACTTTCAAGGGTAAAAACCTTGAATGAAAGGTTAAAAGCGAAGTTGAGAGCTCAGATGAAAAAAGAAAAGACCAAATCTGGATCTACTGGAGACTACGATTCCAGTGAAATGAAAGCAGACATTGACAAAGCTCGTCAGGACAGACTCAATGCTGAAAAGGCAATTCATGAACTGCGTGAACAATTAGATGAAGTGGTTCGCCGCAAAGATGGCGTCATTGGCGACCTCAAGACAAAGGTGCAGCAGCTCTTAGACGAAAAGGCAAGAAATGATGCTCTTGTTGAAAAGTATGAAAAGCTAGTGGCTGAGAAAGACGAAGAAATTAACCGGCTATCAGAAAATGCTGTTGCCCAGGTTCAAGAGCTGAAACAAAGCTATCAGCTCCTTAGTGAAGAAACGAGAAAGAACGCAGAAGAGTATGAGCAGATTCTCACTGATAAAGAAGCCGAGATTCAAAAGTTGAAAACAGAATTTGCTAATGCCGAAATGGAGGCTGAGCTGCTTAACGGCAAGCTACAAGAAGCACAACAGTCTTTAGAAGAACTCAACAAACTCAAAAGCAACTTTGATCACATTGTGTCTGGTCTCCGTGAAGATCTCCAACAGGCACTCGAAGAAAAGGCGGCCGCTGACCAACTGGCCCACGAATTCCGAGTTCAGCTCAAAAGAAACGAGTCATCCTCCAACCAGGATGTCAATGTGCGGAACGATGTCTCCGATATAAGCCTACAAGCAGAGAGACCACAGCTGGATTCTAAACTTCAAGCTTCCCTGGAAGAAGTTGCCTCATTGAAAGAAACGTTGGTGAGTGTTACGAAAGAGAAAGAAGAACTTGAAAGGAATCTAGAAACACTTAAAGAAAAAGGAATAAACGATTCTGAAGAAACAAAAGTTCGACAGGCTGCAATAGATAGCAAGGATGGAGAAAATACTACGGAGCAGGAATTGCTTTCTCTTGCCCATGATACACCGGAGTCCTTAAATGACGTTATTTGGTTGCAAAGCGAGTTAAAGAAAACGATCGAACTGAACAAAAAGTTGAAAGCGGCTTTAAAGAAGAAACGAACGCGATCAGGTTCAAGGGAAGATGATGCGTCTAACGAATTAAAAGTAGAACTCGAGAGGGCTAGAGTTGCAAAAATTGACAGTGACAGACAAGTGACGGAGCTCCGCTTGGAACTTGATAATTTCGTGAAAGACAAAGAAAAAATTGTTGCTGCACTTAAGTCCAAAATTGATAGATTACTTCAAGAGAAGGAGCATTTTAGTAGTTTGATTGAACAACATGAAAAGCAGCTGTTAGAAAAGGACTCTCTTATGCGTGACTTGACCGAACAGTTTCACACCTTGGACCTAGAAAATGAAGCTTTGAAGAAAAATTTGGAAAATACGTCGGCAATGCTTGCAGAACTACAGCTAACTGAACAAGCGAACATGGAATTGGAAAGACGACAAGAGAATGCCCAGTCACTCATTAATGATAACAATATAAGAATATCCGAACTGGAGAGTGAACTAAGTAATACGAAAGAAAAGTATGAGAAAGAAATTGAGGTCTTGAAAGAAGACCATGAAGTTTTATTGTCTGAGAAAGTAAGAGAGGCCGATGAGGCTATAGCGCAACTGAGACACAGCAATACTGAGCTTCAACAGGATATCCAGGCCGCAGTTGACGAGAAAGGTGTGATAGAAAAAGAACTCTTAGAAGCTAAATCTGAACTTGAGCGAGTTGTTCAAGAGTCTTATCCACTTATTGAAGAGAAGGACGGGAAAATCAAAGAGCTTGCTGCCCTGATAGAATCAAAACAAAAGGAAGCAGATGAAATAATCGCACAGCTGCAAGAAAATGAGGACAAGTTACAAGAAGAGATCCAGGTATTGAAAGTTACGACTGAAGAAAATAAGAACCAGCTTGAACAGTTACAGTCAAAGCATGAAGAACAAATGCAAGAATTTGAGCGTCGTATGGATGAGAATCACCAACAACTGCAGGAGGAAAAAGAAAAACGTCAAAACGAAAGGAATGACTTGGAGGAAAAACTCCAGGAACTGCTGATGCGAAGCCAAGAAAATACCAGTAATTTAGAACAGGAACTCGCTCAATCTAAGTCGGAAATTGAGAGTTTGAATACTCAACTCCAAGTCGCGGCACGAGAAAAGCAGGACATCGAGAAACTGCGAAGTGACTTTAATCATATCATATCAGGACTTCGCGAAGATCTTCAGCGGGCGCTCGATGGCAAAGCAGCAGCAGATGAAATTGCACATGAATTCCAGGTTCAGCTCGAGAACTTGCGAAAATCAGGCACTGAAGCTTCTGACAAAACCGATGGAACATCAGCGCATCAGGAAAACATGATTTCAGAGATGCTGGAAGCAGCACAACGAGAGGTGGCGGACGTTAGAGCTGCTTTAGCCGCCACCGTGAAGGAAAGGGACGATTTGCACGATAAAGTTAATGGACTGCAGGTCATGCTTGAGCAGAGCAATCAGAAAGAGCTCATTGCCCGTGGTGACAGTGGTATTAAGGATATTGACAAAGAGAATGCTGAGAGGCCTTTACAAGAGGTTATCGTACAGTCTTCCGAGGACAATCAGCTCACTGCTTCTCCTGTCAATGAAGGGGAAGTAGAACTTGAAAATATGAAGAACGAAATGCAAAGGATAAAAGGACTCAATGAAAAACTAAAGGCAAAGTTGAGAACCGTCATGAAAAAGAAAAGAGTTAAGTCGGAATCGGGCGAGGAAGACCTTAATGAACGCGAAAGAGTACAAAATCAACTTGAAAAAATCCGTCAAGAGAAGATTGAAAGCGAGAAGACCTGCCAGGAACTGCGAGTTGAATTAGATGCGTTTGTGCGTCAAAAGGAAAATATTGTCAATGAGTTAAAAGGCAAAGTTGGACAGTTGAACATAGAAAAAGAAAAAAGCATCAGCTTGATTGAAAAATTGGAAAAACAGATTGAGGAAAAGAATGCACGGCTGCAAGACCTGCAAAATGATGTTGGAGCGCTGGAAAGTGATAATGACCAAGCTTGGAAGAATGTCGAGGAATTGAGACAAGAGAATGCCAACTTGTGTGTCGAGATAGATGACCTTGTTTCTCAAAGAAGTGAAAGTCAGAGAGAGTGCAGTCAACTTAAACTTGAACAGGATAAGGTGGTTCAAGAGTATGAATTTCTGGTGGAAAAGAAAGACAAAACCATTGCGAACTTGGAGAAAGAGCTGGAGGACACAACAGAAAAGTATAAAACCGAAATTAGGGCTACAAGAGATCAACATGAAGGATTAATATTCCAGATCCAAAGCAATGCTGACACTATAGAGAAAGAGCGATTATCGGCGTGCAGAGAGGCTGAACAGTTGAAGAGTCGGTTACGTGAACTGAACGAAGAGAGAGAGGATATCGGAAAGCTGAAAGTCAATTTTGATCATATTGTCTCAAGTCTTCGTGAAGATCTTCAACATGCTCTGGAGGGTAAAGCGGCGGCCGATCAAATCGCCCATGAATTTCAGGTTCAGCTGAAGCGTCTGGAGAAGATATCAGGAAAGCTCAAAACGCAGTATAGCGATGTGGCCGTCGATACCTCGGATATAGAAAGGAGGGAGGAAATAACACAGCAAACGTTTGAAGCAGTTCAGAAGGAAGCTGAGGGGCTGCGCGACGCTCTGCAGTCTACTGCCGCAGACAAAGCAAACCTGGAAAACAGGATAAGAGTTCTAGAAGCCGAGGCTCACGATAGAGAGTTGTCCGACCGCTCGATTAAAACAGACGAGGCGGATGGAGATCGAAGAGAGGTCGTGTCAGAGGCTCTATTTAGGTCGCCAGAAAGTGAGCTACTTTTAGCTTCTCCGCCAGAACGGCCTACTTTCTTTGACAGTTCTTCTGATAATGAAGACGTTCAGAAACTTAAAGATGATTTGTCTAAGGTTCAGGCTGAACTGGAGAAGTTCAAAACAGTCAACGAGCGATTAAAGGCGAAATTGAAGGCGATAATAAGGAAATCAAAGGATACAAAGTCTGAAATAGGAGGCGAAGGAGGTATCCAGGAACTAAAGGATGAACTAAACAAAACGCGCCAAGAAAAATTTGAATGTGAAAAATCGGCGCAGCAGTTGAGAGTTGATTTGGATGCGTTTGTCAGAGAAAAGGAGAAACTTGTGAGTGAGCTTAAGGAAAAAATACAGCAAATGATCGCAGAAATAGAGGAGAGCAATACCCGAAATGAAGAGTATCAAAATCTTCTCTTGGAAAAAGATACTGAAATCGGTAACCTTAGTGGACAAGTAAGGTCTCTAAGTGAAGAAATTAATGAGGTCAGTCGTGAACTCGAGAATAATGTCACCGAAAAGCAGAATCTGAATGCAGTCTTGGAACAAGTTCAACTACAGAGGATTAAAGTTGAGAAGGAGCTGCAGGAGGCGAAGATTGCTTTGGATCATCTCCTTCAAGGTGATAAACCTTTACTGGACGAGAAAGACCAACGTATAGCCGTCTTAGAGGCAGAGTTATCAAATCAAAAAGAATTGTATGTAGGAGAAGTAAACAGTTTGAAAGATCGTTATGGAGCTGTGATATCTCAGCAACAAAATCATGCGGACAATCTAGAGCAGGCTCTGACTGCTTCTGGTAAAGAAGTAATACAGCTGCAATCACAGCTTCATGCGTTGGAAAAAGAGCGTGAGGATATTAACAAACTAAGAAAGGACTTTGATCACATCGTGACTGGGTTGCGTGAAGATCTACAGAGTGCCCAAGAGCGGACAGCGGCAGCTGATGAGATCGCTTACGAGTTTCAAATGAAGCTCAAAAGAGCAGAAAAGTCGGCAGTGTCATCAGAAGTAGAAGTCCAAGACATCTGCATTGGTACGGAGGATTCCTATTACCTTTCAGGCAAGGAAAGTGAGATTCAGGAATTGCATGCTGTTTTGGATCATCTCAAAGAGGAAAAAGAAGAATTGGAAGAGAGGGTTGCGGGTCTTGACGAAGTTGTGCAAGATAGGGAAGGTACTTTTTGAAAAGATCTTTTTATTTCCGTTCACTCGATATATAAACCGTATCAATTCTCTCGCAGCAATGTGCGTTGTCGTGTGTAAGGTCCTTTTAGCAGCCTATTACAGCTCCAGGTTGCGCTTTTAGAAAAAATTGAAGAGCCCTTGTGCTCTGAGCGTGTGAAACACAGGACGCCCAGCAGAGGAATTCTCTGAAAAAATATTTCCTAGTCGCCTGAAGAAAAAAGTAGGGCGCCAGAGACCAATGGGCACTGCTACCTCAGAGAAATGAAGCGTCTTCGATAAGTTAATGCAACGTCGTAAGGTTAATTCTTTATTTCTGTTAACAACCCTTCTATCCTCTAATTATTTGTGTCACAAAGTCATATAAGGAGCGAGTGCCGGGTTAGCAGTCTTACACCCCTGTGAATCACTGAATTGATTGGCCTCATGGGTCCTGTCCTCCCCGTCTTTTTAGTCATTGCAGCCTTTCAAGTCATCACGATCGTAGTTGTCCGTGTTCCTTATATCGTTTATCTTCAGTTATTTCTGGGCGTTGTGGTGTTGTTGTTGTTGTTGTTGTTGTCTTTTTTTTAGCTGTGTCATTTGATCAATAGAAAATTTGAATGCTTTCTTGCCCGCCTGCACAGGGATTTTAAAGTTACTGCGAGACGAGTATAATTTTATTGCTTTCCTTTTAACCCTTGAAGCCCCAATAGTCACCCACATCCAATTTCTCCCAACAATAACACTGTCTGATCAAGCAGACAGGTCACGAGAGTGAATGAAATGATCACCAAAGATGAAATGTTGTGATGTTAGAACAAATTCTCTCAAGCAGTACCATAAGGAATGTATGAAGAACAGTGTGGAGAAAATGCATGTTGATGTTGGGGCTTAAAAGATTAAAAGCGGGAAGGCGGGGCAGCGACTGTAGCTTAAAATTTAATCTCTTGTCACATTTCTTTTTAACGCGTACATTCTCACGATGCATTTTGAATTATCTGCAGGTGACATCGAGGAAAAGCAACAACAAATTCAGGATTTACAGGCTGAAGTTGAAAGGCTGACCACAGAGCATGCCAAAACTGCGGAACAGTTGAGCCATGAAGTGAATCAGGTTTCTAAGTACACTGAAGAAATGAGGCAGACCCTACAGAATCAATTTGACGCCAGCCTGGCCACGAAAACGGACGAATACGAAAAGCTTAAAGAGCACTTAGCCTCGTTAAGGGAAACGTTTGCAAAAGAGGTTTGTATAAAACCACGATGGTTTTTGCTTATCGTGACACCGGACCCATAGCTTCCTTCTTTTGTAACATTTCTGTCTTGTCATATTTGGAGCCTAAAGGGAAAGGCTCGTCACGGTTAGGTTGGAGGAAAGGAGCCTTTTTTCTCTAACAAATAAAACAACTCCCTTTTGAGACCTTAAGATTCGAGCAAGAGATTTGACTAAGTTTTTTCCGCGTATTCTCAAAAAATAGACACTCTGGAAAGCTTCATTTTGCCTTATTTCACCTGAAAAGTTAACAAGTTCATTTTTGTTGAAGGAGGTTACGCTCTCACCCATTCGCAAAATGATAAAACTTCAAACTTTTGATAGCTTGTTTCCTCGGCTTGACTAGGACATTTTCGCCAAAAACCATAGTAGGATGCCGACGGTTATCGCATTTTCCCGCCCAAATGACGTTGGTTCACACGCGCACACAAAAGGTCTCTATTACAACCTGTCGTTGTTTCACGGTATATTTGTTGATCTATTTATGTTTATCAAAGTTACCTTTTGCCATTTTCTCTCCAGAAAGAACAACTAGAAAGTGAACTTGTTGAAAAGAGTCAGATTATAGACACGATGAGCGAACAGCTCAGTCAGTATAGAACAGGAATGCTCAATAAATCTGACGAGGAAAAGCTGTTTGAAGAATTACAAGCGAACTATGACCTGCTGGAAACGGGTAATAGCAAACTGCGGCAAGATTTATACATGACTATGAAAGAAAAAGAACATTTGCGTTTAAAGTTAAGGAAAGACTATGATCAAATCGTAGCCTCCCTTAAACTTGAACTTGAGCAGAGTCGGGAACAGAATCTAGAGAAAGAAAGGTTTATTCATAACCAGCGAGTGGAAATTCAAAGTCTTGTAGGGGATAAAGATTCTCTGATTGCAAAACTCAAAGAGAAATCAGGTGTGACAAACGAAGATCTGCAAAGATCTGGTGATGTTGAACCGAACGTTGATGAGGTGACCGAGTTGAAGAACGAAATAAATTTGCTCCGAAAGGAATGCCAAGACTGCAGGATGGAAAAAGACAAGCTGTTTAATAAGTTTCACGAAACAGCAGAATCGCTGAGGAGCGAACTGGAAAAATCTTTTGGCGAGAAAGCAAACCTCTCACAGAAAAGTGAAGAAGCACTAAATCAAAACAGAGAGTTACAACAATCGTTGCTCGAGAAGCAATCTGCGTTGACCAAAGCAAAACTGCAGTTTGAGCATATTGGAAAGGGCTGGAGAAATGATCTTGAAGCAGCCAGGGCGGAGAAAGAAGAATTACTCAGGCGGCTGGGAAGCCAGGTAATCTGTGAACGCGTTAGTAAAAACGTTTCTATGGAAAAGTCGGTTCTCTTGGAATTTTACACTTCAGGGGTCAATTTGATAAAGCTTCTACAAGTGTAATCATTGTTCTAGGGTCTGAGGACAAAAGCTACACTTGTAAATGTTTTATTAAATTGATTTGGAAGTTCTAAGTATTAGCATTATTCGAAAAAATTCTTGATAACCTTGAGTCTGGAAAAAGCAGTTATTGTTTGGAAAAAGTATGGCCGGGAAAAAGTCTTGAATTTTGGATCGAAAAATCTGTGCGAGCCCTGTATGAAGAAGATATCAAACAAATTCATTTAGGGAGCTTTACCCATAATAATTTTTATGATGATTTTTGCAGGCACAGCATTAAAATTTGAAAAAAGGTGACCCAACTTAAACAAGCTTCAATCCATGATCACTCTTGCTATCCATTGCAACAAACGACAGGAAACATTTTCAGTGCTTAAATATGGTCTTAAGTAACAAAACTGGACCACTATTTTTTGAATTCAGTTGATGCCTAACAAGGTTTTAGCTTTTTTAAAAAATAGCAATTAGCGTGACGCAGCCTCTTTAAGTTAGACGACAACTGCCTTTGTTTGCAGAGTGTGGCGATTAATATGCCTGTTGACGAAGACGAAGCAGCTGAGACTATAGAACAACTGAAATTAAGGTTGGTATCGTTGTTGCTGATTACTTTTCCGTGGTGATCCTTAGCTGCGTTGTTTGGTAAATAATATCGTGGATGACAAAGTATTTTACTTTACTTTACCTTATTTGACGAGAAATTTCAACGTGAATTTGTAATTTCACGTGTGAAATTATAAATTTGCTATGGTAATGAATACTCGAAAAAGTACAATTGATAACAGTAAGAAGGATTCTAACATGCTTTTTGAGGAAAATTTCAGACTGAATTTGTAAACTTTAGCTAAGCGTGTGCTTCAAGCTTTCAGTTCAAGTCAAAAATTCCCGAATGTGATGGTCACGTGTCACCCATGGTATTAGTATGTGTCATCAAATGGTGACGAGTGAAATTAGGGAATAACTTCACTTGCGTTTTGTCCAATCCTAATAAAAGGCTCGGGAAATTATTAGGATTTGGACAAAACGCAAGTGAAATTATTCCCTAATTTCACGAGTACACCATGTGATTACCTATTAATATCATGGGTGACGAATTACGTTAGCAATCTTGAATTTTTGACACGTTTATCCTGGATCGTATCGATCGAGAACTCCACTCAATTGTTTAGACCTTAAATTTGGCTTATAACGTTCAGAATTTTTCAGACTTTTTCGGCAAAATTCCTGTTAGAGTCCTTCTGAATGTTCTCTCGTGTGTTCAGGTTTTCTAAAGCGTCTTTTTGTGCCCTGACATCTTCATTCACGGCATTTTAAAACTTCGTCGCCATCTTGACACGGAGACGTACGGAAGGTTGCCATGGCAATTTTGTAATTTCACATGTGAAATTACAAATTAACGCTGAAAGTTCGCTCCAAAATTAAGGAGTAATTCGTCACCTATGATATTAGAGAGATAAAGAGTCACGTTTACGCCAAACGACAAAAGGGAGCTTAAGCAACAACGTTTTTGAGCGACGCACGTCAACCGGAAGTGGCCTTTTTTGATTTTTTGACGGTGGTTTCGCGCAAATTTTCAGTCAAATCGCCTCTATAAAAGTAAAGAAGCTAAGGAATACAAATTTTATATCATCAAGGCATGTTAAGAGGGAAAATACCTCACTTCCGGTTGACGTGCGTCGCTCAAAAACGTCGCTGCTTAAGCTCCCTAAATGTGAATTTGTACCACGTGGCCAAGTTTTCCCCTTAGTTGTCGTTTATTTTTTTTACGTCTACTCTAAGATAAGTAGTTTCACTCCAGTTTTATCCATAAGAATGGTTCTGGACAGTTTGTGTCTGTTTATTTTCTCTGCTGAGAAATTTTCAACTTGAATCTGACGTTTGCCATTTGGCGTAAACGTGACTCTTCTCGCCATTGTTAGGTAATCAAATGGTATGCTCGGGTTCGGTAATTATTAGAATTTTGTCAAAACGCGCGTGAAATTATTTCCTCATTTCCACGTGTCATAGGCACGTATTTACCTTTTAATATTCGTTGTCAATTTATAGTCTGCTTTCTTCTTCTTTCAGGTTGCGAGAAATGGAGGAATTGTATGATGCGAAATGCCGTGAAGGGGAGGTAGGAAACACGTTCAATTAATCAAACAGTCATGAACAATTAGTCTATTTTAGCACAAGAGTGAGTGTTACTATGCATTCTGCGTTTAGTGAGGGTTGTCAATCATATTCTGGAGAGTGTAGTTTGGAATTAGCGTGAAAGTATAGTGTGATGCACGATAGACCACAAATGAATCGAATTTTACATATTGGCGCCCTTTTTGTTCTAGAACTGTCCATAAAGACTCATCGATCCACCAGAACTTTGGTCTTTATTAACGTTTTCAGATGGGCCAAATGGATTCAGTTACTGAACTCTTGCATTTTGCTATTTCATTTCCCATACTACTACATGAAAAATTTCTGCAATTTGATTGGCTTAGAGCAGTGGTGTTTCAGCTTAATTTGAAATACCTACATGTGAAAATTACAAACCTTTTGCGGGTAGTAGTATAAACAAATAATAGCATGATTTGTACGTGATATTTTGCACACATACCACTCGTGATATTTCAAAATTGTCTCAAATTTCACTCGCCTAACGGCTCGTGGAATTACGTATAACAATTTCGAAATATCACTCGTGGTATTTATCACTACAAGTCATGCTATTACCTATACTAAAAGTTTCGTTTATTTTTTTATCCTCAATGTATTTAAGAGAGAAGAGCCCCTTAGAAAAGAATATAATACGACTCTGTTTATGAAATTTCCTTGTGTCTACAATAACGTATTTCCTGTTTCAAAGGTCTCTTTGCAAATCGAAGACGTTGGAAGTCCGTCCAAGGAATACCCTACAAAATATCATTATTCATCATCACATGTCAGTAAGTATCAAACCAGTTTTTCGTTATATGACAGGTACTTTGTCTCGATCCTTCGATTGGAGCTTGTGATTCCAGTCAAAACTTGGATAACACTATTTACGACTGTGAGAAACAAAAGCACTGTTGTCTTCCAAAAATGCAACCTGAACTATAGGCAAAGTTTGATACGCAGCCCAGTGTAGGAGTTAAAGAAAAATGAATCACATTGTGCACTGATTACAGATTTATCCGCATTAGTTAACGCTATTCACTTTTTCAACAACTGGGCCCTGATTGATCGAAAAGATGACTTCATTATTTTGGCAAACATCATGAAGACGTTCAGAGACGACAACAGTTCTAGTCTCTCTCCAGTGTGAGTTTCTGTTTTCACACTCGTTTCAGTGCTTTGAATAGGAATCACAAATCATTCGGCTCTCTTGATCACAATGAAAAGGGAATTGAGCAAGGATTATTTAAAAAAAGGTGTAGAGTGCACAGACAGTTTTTTTGTCACAAACAACAGAGAAATAAATTTCTTTACTTACAAAAATTAATTCTCTACATCCGCACCTAATTTTTATGACAAAATGGTCTTGACCGTAGACAAAGTCTTATAACTGAAAAACTCACGTATGAAACATGTTTTTGTCTGTTTATGTACAGCTCGCGAGCCTAGTTCCTTTGTCAGACAATTTGGACGCGTGTTGAAAAGAGGGTATGTAATTAGTTTTCATTATCACTTAATTGTCATAAGATATTCTTATTTGTTTTTTACATGTCATAGTGTTTCTTTCAAGCGGCTTGGTATAGGAAAACACATCAACGTAGATACTGAGCTTTTTCTCGTCTTTCAAGGGTTGGCAAGTGTGGAAAACCTCACCCCTATTGCCCGCTGCTCAAACGTAGTTTCCAAATTGTTATGTGCAGGATGTTAAGCTAGCCTATGTAAACGGCGGAAATTTCGCGACGCCCCCGCTGGTTTCCCCGCAAAATGACGTCTGAGAAACGAGCGCAGAAATTCCATACTGATCTCAGAACTGGGTCCTGCTTCTGATTGGTCGTGCCGCTTGGGCAATTTGCTTCAGCCAATCAGAAGCACTAGCCAGATCTGAGTAGTGACACGTCATCAGTATGGAATTTCTGCGCTCGTTTCTCAGACCTGTGTCATTTCGCGGGGAAACCACCCGTCACCTAGTATGTCACCTTTACCACACGCATACACGATCCTTTGGCTCGAGACAGGGCCCCTTACATTTTGAAACATCTTGATCATTGCCACATTTCTTGTTCTACCATTTCTTGTTTCACTACCATTCTCTGGGGTACTACCATCTTCCAAGTAAAAGTCAAAGAATCTCTTTACGCTCTTTGGAGGGTGTCAATCTCAATCTGTCTTTGTCATGGTCGTATTTCTCTTCTCTTTGTCTAATTGAATTTTTCTACAAAATGCATTCTTCTTTAGCCACCAATTACCAGACCTTTACACTATCATTGTTATTTGAATATTTATGTTGTAATTCAGTTTTACCCAAAATACAGATCAGAGTTTTCTTTGTTTGTTTCCCATTGTTTTCCATGTATTATAATGACTTTCAAGGGAAATTTAAAGAGGAACCAACGATAAAATTGAACCACACATTTATATCCTAGATTCTGCCAATGACATAAGTTACTAACTATACTCTCAATAAGCTAACCAATTTTTTTTCGTGTTTCTTGTTGTTTCTTCAGGTCATCTCTATCTCTAAGTTCACCACGTGGATTTCGGAAGGCAGCTTTGGCCTTGTATTTCGTCTCTCTCCATCTTTTAGCTTTTATGTACATTTACCAAGTTTTACTTTGAGGCCTGTTTTATTTCATTCAACTGAAGCTAGTATTCTAAACACGACACAGAGGCGAAACTATGCTTTTGAGATGAAGTTTGATCTCCATTTAGGGTAACAAGAGGGTGCACAGGTACCCCAAGGGCCCCTCGTTTGCGCCACAAAACTCTTAGATTACCTACACTTTTGAGATGAACTTTGATCTCAGGTGAAAGGGTGCATATAGGGTAAGAAGGGGGTGCACATGTCTCCCAAGTGCCTCTCCTTTCCCTCCCCCCTCTTTTGCGCCATAAACTCTCACAGCGAGTTGTTTAATTACCTACGCTTTCCCTTTTCCTCCCCGCCCCATCTCTTTAGATCAGCCAATGGGACTTGTGAAGCACAACGAAACTTTCACAGCGATTTGTTAAATACGTAACGAAACAGTAGATGAATGACCCTAACAATCAAATCCGTTACATTTAACATATGAGGATGGGTGTTTAAAATAACAGTCTCTTTAGGTGTCGTGATCAAACTAATATGAAGTATTTTTGAAATCCTCACACGGTGGTAAAATTCTAGGAGATCCACAAGGAATAGTATCCTTCGTTTGAACAGGAAAGACATTCACAACATGCTCAATTAGCTTTCAGCGAAACGCCAAGTACCGACTACTATCGCGCATGCGCAAATTATGTGACTTCTTAGTGATGTAGTCTAATAGCAAGATAGATTCTTGTTGACCTGCGTAGCTGGCGAGATTGTTATGCCCGGGATACTTTCTTGGCGGTGGAGCCAAGCGAAACGAGCGGCCAAGCCACGAAGGAAATTCTTCAGTTTGACTTGCCCCCAATCTTCTCGCGGCTTTCCCGCCAGAAATTGAAACTGCAGCTCCCGCCAGCTACTAAAACTAGAATTATGTTGTATCTGTCGAATCTAGATTAAAATGTAGGGATAAAGGTAAATCACAGTCTAGATTATTTGAACATATTTTTCCTATTTAATTTTTCCTTTCTTAATGCGACACTCAGACAATGAAACCGAGTTACTGAGATGCAAAAAAATAACAGTTTTATTAGTTAGCAGCCAGTAACTTCCCAATATTAAAAGTAAGGAATTTTATTTTTAATTGAATGGTGTAAATGTTAAAGAGAACCGATGTCAAGGAATAAAATGATGTTTATAGGGATTTACAATGATGTGCTGTTCTCTGACCTACACATGTAGTATTAAAGATCCTGAAAAAACCGTCACAAACACAGTGTTAACCGCATCTACGTTAGGTAAAATTTCCTGTTCCCTTGTCAAGGTAAGAATTGTCAAGTTGTTTAAATTACACGAGGCAAATGGTTATCAGAAAATTGACAAATTTTTCAAAATTCCCAAGTCAAGGTAAAATTTAGTCAAACAACAATAACCGTTTAAATTAAAACGAGGCTCAAGATAGTTTTTTGTTCATCCCAATTGAATGATGAGGACCATCATCAGACAAGAAAAAAAGAATGAACGAATGATTTTCAGAATTCAAACAAGGAAGTGCCACCAAATTTAGTGAAACAACAATAACAGGACTATGAAATGTTAAAAGGCTACAAAACCAAGCATCGATGAAATTTAAAACAATTGGTGTTAATGAAAAGATCGGGCTTGGATGGGTACTTGCGGTGATTCTGGGAATTTTTTTTTTTTTTTTTTTTTTCTTTCCAAAAAAATGGGTCGATGGGTCGATTCAGTTTGTCAATGAACATTTTTGTTGCTTGTAACGTTTTGTCTGGTCACAGAGTTCAGGTTGCTTCCTTCCCGAAAACGTTACGTGACGAGACAAAACTGACCAAGGTAACTGGAGCTAATTGAGGTGCTTGCTGAAATGTAAATTCTTTTTACACAAAGTGAACTAAAGTGTAGAAAGGTGTCGGAATTTCCGACACTATGCTCTGCAAGGTTCTGTTCTCCTTTCAATAACTTAGGGACACGTCATTATTTATCGCCTGGGGGGATCGGAGAATTTCGGGAGGGATCACGTGATGTTTAGGGGAACAGAAGGGGCGATCATTCGTTATTGAGAACCCAAGAGGTGGGAGCATTGAAACAAAATTAGAAGAATTCGGAGGGACCACTTCAAATCTGCTTGGACAATACCAGTTTCAGAGCATATAAAATAAATGCGTCCATTCTGCGGGGAGATAAAAGTGTTTGCAGTCTCAATTTTTTCTAACACAACTTTATCTAGAAAGAGCACGTCTGTTATACTTTCGAAAGAGACCGTTTTGTGACACTTTTGTATTAACCCTTTTATAACCTGCTTATACCAAAGCTAATATTCAAATATAGTTTGAACATAACAAGTGAATTCTGAATTGTGAACCATATCTCATGTCACTGAATCATTGTGAAATAGCGCTATTGCCTCTCCAGGAATGGAAACCCTTTCTCAGCTCTATACTAAATCCGATTCAAACGCCTCGTCTGTCTCATCTTGAGCCTCATCATCCAATATTTCTTCACTTGTGTCTTGAGCCTTATCATCCGATTTCTTTAGTGCAGCCTTACGGCAGGTTGACCTTGTCCTCCGGGTGGGGTTACTTGGGTGCAAGGGCTCTCAGAGTCCCTACCCCTATTATAGTCTATTCTGTGGCCAATTATAGACCCCATCTTAGTCGCTTTTGGGCAAATATGTAATTTTCGCGATCCCAACTTAGTCACTTTCTATTTATGTGTCTACCTTATACTGAATGAAGAACACTTTACTTTTCACATACAGTACAAACATTCTAGTACGTTTGCTAACCTTAAATATGAAGAACTGTCTTACCCCAAAAGCAGAAAAATGAGCGACCCATTCTAGTAATTCTATTAAAAATGCGACCCCATTATAGTCACTCCTGTCGTGAAAATGTGACCCCATCCAGCGGCACATCCCCATTAGTCTCTTATGAGCCCCCTCCAGGGCTTGCTCTTAAAACGGCTGGTGCTTGTTCAAGATTTTAAAATCAAGCGTGGATCTAGGGGTCGGTCGAGTGGACCGCGACCACCCTTTTTTTCTGTGAAATCATTTGTATTATTTTTCACAAATTTTCTGTAATTTGTACGTCCAAAGTTGACTTCGATCATAAATAGACTCCGCGGACTTTCATTACGTCTCAGCAAAACTTGGTCTCAGACAACAAGGCTTTGAAACCGATCGACTTCAGAATTCATTTAATGAATTCGTCAATCGCCATGGTCTTATCGTGGAGAAGTAGGGTGCAGCCCTGCGGGAGATGAGATTAGCAATCCAGGCCTAAATTGCACAATCGTATCCTTACATTGCTTATTTATTACTTGGATTTTTATTTCAGTTGTATCTTGGTACGTGTGCGGGCGCAATTTAATTTTGGGCGCGTGCATTATTTATGCGTGTACATTTAGTTCATTTAATAACGTCTTAGTTTTGCTTTACGTTATTTTCCTCACTTATATGTATTGTCGGCGACTGCGCTCACGCGGTGGGTGGCTCCTCCTAAAGTTTTCTGCAATTGGTATAGGATTTAATGGAGCCGAAACCAATTGTGGAATTGCACGCATTTTAGGCATCCTACTGATGAACAGTTGGGACACGCATTTTTTTTAGCAACTACTATAATTTGCAGTCTATCTACTTTGAATTTGAAATATTCAAAATATTTTATAGTATCTATTGAATTATAGCTGGCACGTTTCGCGACCGCTTCTTTTTGAATTTTCTGGATCCGCCCCCGAGGGTCGAGCTAAAAATACTTTTTTCTAGTAGCCACAGATAAGTGAATATAAGACTAGTAGAACAGACAGCATTGATGCTATCTACAAGGGTAACTCTGTTACTCTCTTCGACCAGTTAACGGAAAATTTGTCCCATGACCTCGAATGAAGTCAAGCTTCCTAAGAGCGGACGTGTCTCGAGTCGCTTCAGTCCCTGCACTGTTTTTTGGATCTTCTCCTGGTTTTCCTTCTTTCTTCTTCACGTTGATGATGATTTTTTGGTGCAAGAGACGGAAAATATACACGCCGAAAGGTGAACATGGGTGCAAAAACTTTGTGGAGGGGGGAATCACGAAAGTTATCAAGAGTTATGAGGAGGGGTCACGTCAGTAAAATAACATTTAAGGGGAATCAACCGTATCTTAACGTTTTAAGAGCAAAATCCTCCGATCCCCCCTCCCCAGAAGATAAGTAATGACTGGTCCCATAGGCCGTCTGAGCCATGTGACAATGTCCCCTCCCCCTCCCTCCCCTATTGTTCATGAATCAGTCCGAGCTAGAAGTGCATTCACTGTTGCCAACCAAGGGAACGCACAAAATGACCTGCTAGCTAGCCCAGGGATGGTCATTTATAGCAGTTGTTTATAAACAGTTTAACATGTACTTTTGTTTGCACGTTCCTCTCACACATGAGTTAAGTTAAAACATATTAATCTCACACATGAGTTAAGTTAAAACATATTAATACCACGCCAGACTTAAGAAACTTCCATTTGGTTGGTGGCAAAGTATAATAAGGGGTCTTCATGCGAGACAATATGTATGTAAATCTGTATTTCATAAACAATAGATTCATTGAAAAACCATTATAATTTACTACAACTGCGTTGGTTAAAGTAGATCAAAACATGTTAGGAGTGTTGTCCTTGAACTGATTCTTCGCATCTTCTCAAATTTATTGTATGAAAGATTTAAGATAACCGTAAATGGCTCAACGACAAGGATGTTGCTCTTGCTTTGGGTAAGTAAGCTTCGCCAAGCTCCAAAGGGGCTATTTTCTCGGTGTATGAAAGCAGTTGTAAACATCAACACATGAGTCGAGTTGTCTTTTCTCTTCGCTTAGGAAAGTTACGAGGTCGATGGCAAGAATGTTGCGTCTCTCGATAGGTTAGCAAAAGAATCGAAGAAGAAAAATGCATTCATTCGATAATTTCGTCGGGTTTTGTTGGTTCTTCATGGATCAATGCTTGCAGCGAACACATATATTGGAATATTTTATATGATAGGTACTGTGTGATAGGTATATTAGGTTTGTCAGCCTCCTTTTACAGAAAAATAAACGAAAAATAAAAAGCAGTCCTTCATAATATAATAAATCATTGACGGAAATAATCGTAAAAGAAGGAAAAATCAAAATGTAGCAACAATTTTGGTTCTCAGAGTTGTTTATTTCTGATTTTACTTACCCTAGCAACCGCTACCAGAATAAACAGTGCCGTCTAGCAACCTGCATAAAATACTTGATTTAAATTGATTTCTCCAGTTTAATTTTATTAAATAAATGTATAGACAAAAAGCATGAAGACCGTACGGTAATGAATGAATAAACGAACAGATTTTTAATTTTTTGATTTCTTTCGTTATATATTTTTTTTTGGCTGCCCCGCTAGCTAGAGTTGCAGTGAAACATCGAGCATGACGTTATTTACAGCTAGACATTATTTAGAAGAGATTAAAAAATGGAGTCACAGGTCTTTGCACTACATTTTATGTAATTAAAACTGGCTAGGTTGTTCATCAACACAGAAGTTTTAAAAACATGGAAAAGAAAATTGATTCAATGCACTAAGAATTGATTGGTTCTGTTAGTAGTAAATTTGTCTTGTAATATCATTCTGCCAGACTATATATTTTGTAGCTTTAGCTTGTTTTTCTGTAATTCTTAATTTATCCACATACTTTATTTAGGTTACTTTACAATATCATCTGTTATGCCGTGACTGCTGTAACCTTTCCTCTCCGCCCGCCTCGTCTAGCTTTTGCTATTTTCGGGCGGAGATGGCAAAATGATGAGTATTAAAATAAAGTATAGTGTGTGATCTGTGGGTTTAAACTGCAAACAACCATGCATTTTGTTAAGGCCCTTTTGAGCTAGGCTGATTTAAAGTGAACGCGAAATTCAGTAAAATAATACGCGAAACGTACAAAAAAGTCGAGTCTGTATGAAACATGAAATTAGAGCGAGTTCATGTTATTGCTAACAAGTGCGTTTATTTGCCGCTAACTTATAAGAACAAGAAGTCTCTAATTCCTTTAATTTTCGAATGGAGTCCTGGGAATAGCAGTAATTTTAAGAATTGATATGATTAAGGAAAGAAAAAATGCGCCATTCAACAAGAGCCATTCAATTAATAGTTCTTTCTCTTCTATTGCGATCCTTTCAAAAATGTACATTCGATCCATACTTGAATAATTCTCAATAGGAACTTAGTACAGTAAAAACCCGCATAAAAGCATACGTCTTTTAGGGGTTCAGGCTGATTTTGTTCTTATATGTCGGGTGTTTTCTGCAAAATCAGAGTGAAAATGTTCTTAAGGTGTTCTTAAAATTGTTTCTATAAATTTAATACTACATAGACTACTAACAGATGAAATCAATGTGCAAGCACAACATTTCAATTAATTAATAGATGGAACTAACCTTAACTGCATTAATCAACGCAATGATATATTGGTTGAGGGGTAGCAGTTCTGGTGATAAACAACTCGAATTTCAGCAAAAGTCAAGCAAATTCAAAATGCACCAGCTCCCCCTCCCTCTCGATGTAACTATTGAGTGTACCCTAGCAGGTTATTCTAATCTAACTGCCAGCCAATTTTTTTATATAAGAACAATTTTCATTTTTCATGCTGAATGTGTTCATATGTATATGGTACTTTATGGTACCTAAAAGTAAATTTTAACTGAATTTTCTAACAAATTTGAAGTTTGATTTTGAGTTTTCACGGCTTAAGCATTTCAAAATCTACTTTTTGTTTTGACTTTCCCAAGAACGTTTGAAAAACATTTTAACTCTTCTTTCCTAGCTACAACTCTCGGTCAGCGTGAATTGAAGACTGTTCAGTGGTTTTTTGTTTTTTTGTTTTTTCTCGTTTTGAGCCTAATGACTTTTTTCTCTCTTTCGAGAATTTCAGAACAACTAAGAGAAAGCATGCGGCAAAAGCCTGATTGCCAAGTCTACATCTGAGCTTTGAAAAAGCACTCTGTAGCATGATTCTATACAAAAACTTGCCGAAGAAAACAGCCGACATTTTGGGACGCCACCATTGGTTTCCCGCGCAATGAATTCTGAGCAACGAGCGCATTCTGCACTACCCAGATCTGGGTTCTGCACTACCCATATCATGCCAATTCACTAATGACGTTCTTGTTTTTCATAAATTGTTTCAGAAAGGGGCGCGAGAGACGAGTTGAGCCTGAGGGTCATGGGCCGGTCATTTTGCGGTAAGTATATATTGAGCTTCATCGCCCTCCCCCTACAGAGCGGCGGATACTGTACCAAGCAAAGTTTCCTTTAATGTCCCGCGTGGATACACGAAGTTCTTCTTCGAGTGTTGAGATATTTTTCAACACGAGAAGAGAATGTCCAAACGCGGTGCGTGTAATGTTCTATTTATGATCTTTTGTTAATAAGTAAATTGTTGTTGTTAAACACCAAAGAAATACCAAAGCACCTTTTCTTTTCTTTTTTTTCTTTGTTTGCTTTTTTTTAGCCGCGAAAGGCGCGATTTATCATATTAACCATTACAACGGTGACCTTTTTACGTGCAGACTGTCTTGTTTTCGCGCAAAAGCTCAACGACTGATGCTATTTCACTCAAGTAAAATAACACATTATTTTACTTGAGTATTAAAAATTTAAACTTTACCATTGCTGTAGTAGTTATCATAACCCAAGGTTGAATTTAGCAACGATTGGATTTCTTAAGCTGTCCCTGAAAAAAAGAAAAAGAAAAGAAAAGAAAATACCTCCCCCAACCTGCCCGACAATAAAAAAGAACCCTGATAGCTTAATATGTAAGTATATAATTTCTTTTCACTAATTTTAACAGGAATGATCAAATAGAGCCTGCACCGACAAGAGATTTGCCGAAGCCACCAAAGTACGTAAGCACCGAGTATCTATCATTAGACAAGTTACATACATACAAAAAACTCTATTTTCCTCGAATTAAAGAGTAACTTTAAGGAGCTCATATTTCCGAGAGAAAAAAAAATAAACAATAAAATCTTACGGAAAGTTAATTGAAAATAACACTACGTACAAAAACGTTAACGTCAATACGTTAGTTGCAATACACTTATGACTTAACTATGCCACTGCTGGGGAGCTCAAGCAATGTAGTACACCAAAAAGGTCGTCGTGGTTGCTCTACTAGGGAACTTTAACAACGACGACAGCGACGGCAACAAGAACGTCAAAAAGCAATAGGTAAGATCAGCAAGACAGCAACTTTGCTTGAACATTTCTTTGCTGTCACTGCACCACTACGACGTGAATTTCCCTTAAACTACGTTTTATGGAGGACGTAAACACAACACTACAAATTTGTTTTTCTCTCTCTGAACTTGGGTGTGGTCACCTACATTTGAGATTTAATGCGAATCGGAATATTTGCGACAACGTTTGAAATAAAGCGAAGTCTTACAAGTAGTGACGTTCTCGCTTCGGCGCCTTCGTCGTTGTTAAAGCTCTCTATGCATGAGACGCCTTACAACAATTTCTACAGTCTGCAACAGTATGACCATATCAGTCTGTGCTATTTTGCGAACAAGAAGTGAACAAGCAGTTAATATTTCTTTCTGCTTTAATAAGACAGACTACAGAGGAGGAAGATGGCGGTCTCTTATCTAATAATAATTCAATATTTTTTTATTTTTCAGGAACACTGAAAATGAGCCAACAACTCCTTCGCCGCCTGCCCGGTTACAGCAAGCGGAGTATGTATTATTACTTATTCATTTCGTCACTAAAACATTTCTCACAATGCATAAGATTCTGTGGCTGTCAGGCCTAGGCCAAACGTCGAACGTTTCATGAGACAGACCAAACTCTGATTTGGGTCGACCCAAATTAAGTTTAGATCGTCGGTTAGGCGGTCAAACGTCGAACCTAGGCCGCGTCGAACCAATCAACTGTTTAAGACCAAAAAACAATTTTAACCTGCCATGCCAGTAATACATTTTCTCTCGAACGAGGCTAAATATACATTATCATACAAAATTTTAATTTGTCCATTCAGTTCGTTGCATGTGAAGATCAACGTATGTCCCGGAGACGATCTTCAGACGCTCTACCCGTCTGAAGCAGACGGATAGAACGTGTTGGACGATCCAAACTCATTCAGACGAACTTAACTGAGCCATACGTCGAATTTTTATAAACATAACTCACTGAGTTTTCGTTCTTCTCATGAAAAGTTCGACTTTAGTGGCCTAGGCCTCCGCCAGTTTCATCAACTATTTTGGAATTGTTGGAATTTAATCTCCTTTCCAACAAAGAACTAAAACCTTCAATGATAAAATTTAATGTGGCTGCATGTATGAGTCACACTAGCCAGTTTTAATATCAGCAGAAAAAACAATAATATCAGTAGAAATCTTTTTTGTTTGGAATCCTTCGGATCGAATCGCATTTTTAGGAAAAGGCGACGGGTTAACTTCGGTCTGGGGGAGGGTAACCCCCTCCTGAGTTTTTTTCAAGGTATTCTGAAAAAAAGACTTATTGGTGTTGGTGAAAGACGAGTGCACCCCTCCCAACAAAAATCCTGGATCCTGGTTAAAGAAAGACTACCCGGTGAAATCTTCTGTCCTGGTTAAAGAAATATTGTGTCCACCTACTTAACACAATTTTCATTTAGCTTATATATTAAGAAATATAATATTAAAGGTAAAATGCAAAAAAGGGAAAAAGTTTGCATTTGTCAGCTATCTCGACTCCTAGCCTGTACAGTTCTGTGTACAACTGCCCCTCTCCCCTCCGATTTTTCTGAAGGCTGAAGGGAGGGGGTGGCCATACACAGGCTAGCGACTCCTTGCGACCAACTCTCGTTAGCAACCATCTATGCAAAATACCAAAACTTTTGCCCAGTCAAACTTGCAGTTGGAACCTCTGATTACGACTACCACTCGTACTGTGCTGCCGGGGTCATTTCATGTCATTTTGGGGGTTAATTACAGTTTTCTATCAATTTTGCTTTTTTTCCTAACCGTCTTGTAAGCGACTATTTGACGATGGTAAGTTCCCTGTATGTGCTGTGCTTCTCAGATAATACAAAAAACGCACTTTTATTTGAGTATCAAGAAAGTACTAATTGGGGACACTATTTTTACGTCTCCAACTGGAGACGGGACCGCCATTTTACGTGGTCATCCGAGTCACACGAAGGTCTAGCCTCTTGCGGTACAAAGGGCGTACCTTCATTTCTCAGTTATTTTAAGACCCTTAGGATTGGTCCGGCCCAGGGAAACGAACCCGCGACCTCCCGCTCTGCGCGCAGTCAGGCGCTTTGATAACACAGAGTTACCGCATATCGTAACTTTTCCAAAAGGGGACCTTTCGGGACCTCTTACTCGGAAGAGACTCCATGTAGTTCGATTCTCGTAAATTTAAACCTTCTGTAAGCGACTAAAATTAATCTTTATTAACTAGTAATAATCATTGATTATGGATGCGCGTTCGTCTTATTCTACGAGCATGACATCTGCACGAAAACGAGACAAAAGGAAACGAAAACGAGTCCAAATGAGTCCAGTTCCCTGCAGCCGAGATGCTCCTGATAAAATTAATAAGGGCGGCTAATCGGCAGTCGCCCGTGATAGCTCGAAAATTTCTGCCTTTGTACCACAAGAACACTACCCTGGGTACCAGATATTTTTTGAGACTTGACCGAAGCCGGAAACCGGGCATGAAAAGTTTCTGGCACCCAGGGTGCAAGAACACCAGATTTGGATGCATTCTGACGAACGCGACAACTGCAGAAGAAAATCCTATTTGCTTTTTCTATTTCGTTAGCAGCGGGGGAAAGTCAAAACTTGGTGAAGGCTTAGAAGGGAGAATAAATACAGTTCCCGATGAGGAGTTCCGAGAGCGAAATGGTGCACTAAGAATTCAACAGGAAAGGGACGAAAAAGGTACTATGTTTAGTCTGCCATAATCACGACCGGCCACTATGCTCACTTAGGCCCAGGTCAAACACTGTACTGTTTACATGAGACCTAAGGCTTGGAAACAAACAATTTATTTTCTACAGCAACCAAGTTAATAACCAAAGCAATAAACTTCCATCATGAAGAAAACAGAAAGGCCCACAGAACAGATGATTACGAGGTACAGGAGCTTATTATCAGGAGAGGACAGACTTTCGAAATCACTGTGACGTTTAACAGGGAATACAATCCACAGGATGACGTCATTATTGTACAGTTTGTCACAGGTATTTAGACTGAATTGTTTGATTCAGTTAATTTTCAGAATAACATATTATCCGGCGTCCGTTTGGGTATTACATTATAGGTCGGAAGGAAACGGCAATAATCAACAACCCAGGAACTCCAGAAATAAAAATTGACTGATTGAACAAGATTAAGATAGCGGAATAGAGCTTAGGCAGTGCAAATTCAAATTGCGTTTTGGGTGATGTTTTTTCACTGCCGTCCCCATTATTAGCGAGATTAAGAGTCACGTTTACGGCAAACGGCAAACGTCAGATTCAAGTTGAGAATTTGTTAGAATATAAGTAAGCAGATAAAAACTGTCCAGAACAATTCTTATAGATAAAACTGGCGTGAAACCACTTAATTTTGAGTGGAAGTAATAAACAGTAAACGACAGTTAAGGAGGAAACTTGATCACGTGGTACAAATTTACGTTTGCCGTTTGGCGTAAACGTGAATCTTAATCTCTCTATTGTCACTTAAGTTTTCTGATATCACTGTTTCAGAAATGCTTACGTGATTTAATATTGTTTTTAATGATAATAATAATAATAATAATCACTGTGAAAATGAAATAATCAGCATGTCATGAGCGTGGGACAAAGAAAAAAACTGAATCCCGGACAGGATTCGAACCTATGACTACTAGAATTTTTAGAATTAGAATATGGTCATGTACCAGGGATGTAGTCATTTTGTATAAATGTAGCTTTTTAATAGGATTTGTAAGTAGGATTGGAGGACTTTATGTAATGTGCAAGTAAAAATTTTTTGGGGGGGGATAAACAATGATTAATTATTCCTCAAAATCCTATTTACACATCCTGCTAAGTGATTTATAAAAAGGATAGAAATGATAAATTAGATATAGAAAACGCCTCCTGAAACAAGAGTTGTACTGATTTATTTAAGGGAATAGGCCCCAAGAAAGCAAGGGATCAATCATGCGCGTGGCAATCCAAGACGAACTCACACCTACCAAGTGGGGAATGCAAGTAAAGGAAACCAAGGGAAATGACGTCAGCCTGTCAATCATGTCTGCATCTAAAGCCATCATTGGTCAATATGAACTATTCGTGGAAACAAAAAGCAAAGATTCATCTGGAGAAATAGCAATGTCTCGCTACCAGGACAAGAAACCGATTTATCTTTTGTTCAATGCATGGTGTCAAGGTAAATAGAAGGATTTTTAATAGCCCCTATTTTCGAGTTGGCCCAAGCCTCTGTAGTCTGCTATACAGCCGTTTTTAGTGTCGTCACGCAACGCTCCTCCCCACTAAGTGGGGAGGAGCGTTGCGTGACGACACTAAAAACAGCTGTGTAGCAGACTACAGCCTCTGTTGCAAAGCAAGAGTAAGTGCAAAGCCATTGATATAAAAATGAGTTTTCATTATCGTGCAAATAAAACTCGTGTTACGACAGAAATTCTATTGATATTATAGACTGCTCCGGGAGAAATTAAGATCAAATAACTATTACACTAAGACTTTTGAGTAACAAAGTGAAGGTAAAGAAACTTCTGCAAGATCAAGCAGCTAATGTAGAATTCATATCGTTAGGAATTGGCAAGAAAGAGAGGTTTTAAATTTCTTTCTTGACAACACAGCCTTAATTCCACTCGATTTGTCTACATGATCGGCTTACATATATGGATTTATGTTATCGCTTATGTTATGGCAAAAGAAAATGAAAGACATGCACATGACAGATAGGTTGTCACTCTTGTACAACAAGTACAGTGGGTTCTTAACTGTTGTTATAACATTCTTTTCTCATCCGGCACTGCAGAAGATGCAGTTTACATGGAAAGTGATGAACATCGCAAAGAATACGTGCTGGAGGACTTTGGTTTCATATGGAAAGGTGTCAGTACCGATGTGTCTCCATCACCTTGGGCATTTGACCAGGTACTGGTTAACTAAGGTTGTCTACCGACTGACTCGCTACCCATTCTATCATTCTACTTATAGCACTTTCCCTAATGCTTACTCGGCTGATATCGTACCTAAAATGTGACCACCTCGCCTCTGTAAACAAGGCACTAGAGCTGTCAGATCTAATGCAGGCCCGTAGCAAGCATAAAATGACTGAGGGGGCTGAGTAAGTGGCCCACATTAACCTCCCCCCCCTCCCGCTTCAGTCCCTTGGTTAAAGCATACTTTTTGGTACATGTCACATAACTAACTACATTTGTCTACAATACATTTTGTTTTCCGTTTGTGTTGACTTTGACGAAATAGAGAAGTTGTTTGGGATATCTTTCGCTGAAAATTTGGCAAACAATTGCTTTTGGTTTCCTTTCTCCCCAACGAAGTCATTAGCTACGTCTACAAGGGTCAGAGCATCTGTTCTGTCCTTGTGAACATATAACATCATGAGGTGGTTCAGCCTAGAGTCTCCCGTTGTTGAGCGCAAATGGACTATCTGATACGTTAACAAAGACTTGATCTGGAGGGCTGAGTTGCCTCTTTGTCGTTTCCTGTTTGCCAGCTTTTGTCGTCGATGGCTCCAAATCATTTTCATTTCCGGATTGTTTCTTCGACTACACCAGGCTCTGTGTCACTAGTGCATGGTTTTATACCCACGATAAAAGTGTTCCCTGCTTATTTTCGACTTGTTTGGATTTTTTTTTCGGCGGCTCTTGCGAAGACATTATAAGACTTTCAATATAAACGCACAAACACCTAAGTTTTACTCTAGTACGACTCTAGTACAGTAGTATATTTTAAACTGGCGGACACTAGGAAACCAATAAAGATTAAGAGGTCACGTTCAGGGATTGTCATTGATGCATTTCCATCCATTTTGCTTCTGACTATTTTGATGCTTAATAAGCAGTTATTTTAAAGCCGTTGGTTGTTTTTGGCAGAGCAAAAATACGATTTCGCTCATTTACACAATTCCAAAATAGCACAGAAGAACAACAGTACATAATCTTACTATGATCGACAATACTTTGAAATTTTAGATTCCATTGACAAATTTGCAGCAGTGATTCAAGTCTGAAAATTTCTGAGGGGGCTTGAGCCCCCCCTGCCCCTCCCCCTGCTACGGGCCTGTAATGTCCCGCACAACGTGACTTTTACAGTCTCCTCGATCCCTTAAAGCTCTTTTCTCTTTTTAAAATGATAAACAGCTTGATCTGAGTATACTATATTTTGTGTGTATATTAAGTTACTGAATATACGTTTGGGTGGTTTACTAGGCACTAACGAAGTTAGAGTAGCACTCACCGCTTTGTGCGCCTCTTTTCATACTTCTTTCGTGCGCATGCTTAGCACTTAATAGTCTTGCGTACACCCATTTAACAACTAGATTGCATGGGACTGGATCAACATGAACTGACTCCACACACACGGTACAGGCAGACTGAGTTAAAGCAAGCAAGTTAACCTGATTTATTTTTTCTTATTCTCAGTTTGAGGACGTCGCTTTATACTCAGCTCTGTGGCTGCTAGATAAAGCTAAACTTTTCAGTCACAACAGGACCAGTCCAGTAGAGATATCACGAACCATATCAGCCATGGTAAGTTGGTGGTGACAGCTTTTCGGAAATTTTTTTTTTATATAACAGATACCATTGCTACGTTCAGGCAAACAGCAAACGGCTGCTTTACCGTTTGCTATCCGTAAATATCGCCGGCTTTTGTAGCTGTAAACTGCGTTTAACGCACTTTCTTCGATTCTTTTATATGCATGAATGAAAAAGAGCATAGCACGATCCCTAACATATCCGACTTAACAATTTTTTTAAAAAAATCAGTTTTTACTCCCTTTTTTCATGAACGTGAAAACTACAGCCTTTACACACTTAAAACGACAAACGTGAAAATGATGCACATCTATCCTCTGGTCATCTGTTTTGTTTACAGCTTGTGTTAACTAGGTACCTGATTTCTCTAATATCTTTTAATAACGCCCGTTTATATATTCGATTTTTAATACATTTTTTTATACGATTTTATGGCGATTTTGAGATTAAAAATCGTTTATGTGAATAGAGAGTCTCCAGCTGAACCCACGGCAGAGATGACCAGATGACCAATTTTCCTCATTTTCCTCGTTGACAAGAACCAAACTGCACAGCAAAAGCCAAGAGACCTAGGATAGTTTTTCGGCATTTGTCTCCCAGAATATAGCTAATAAATAGTGTCTAAGTCCGGTTAGCGTTTTGAAGAAACAACGAATTCGCAGAACAAATGGTAATGAAACCGCCGCAAGTTTTCATAAGCGGGTTGAAGTTGCTCATATTAAACTCGCATAAGTAAAAAGCCAGCGACAGTTGAACGAATGCCCACCCCTGTTAACAGTTATAAAAACGTATCCGCTTTATAACTCTTTTTGACTGATAATCTGTCTCTTATTAATACGCTTTCTTGTCTAGTCCAACTCAAATAACGCAGATGGTGGGGTGCTGTCAGGACGTTGGTCCAACAAGTACCCAGAAGGCACTACAAATCCCTTGGATTGGACCGGAAGTGGGCCTATTCTGGAAGAATTCTGGACAACAAAGAAAACTGTAAAATATGGACAATGTTGGGTGTTCTCCGGTCTTGTCACAACATGTAAGTTGATGAATTAAAAGAAGTAACTATCCTGCCCGCTTGCATAAAGAGCTGGCTAGCATTTACTTTTTGGTTGTCAGGCGACTTTGATTGAGTTTACATGACGCGGTTATATTCGCGGGATGTAAGTAGGATATTTCCGGTGGGTGACCTACCCAGTTTCTAAGCGCGCCCGACACGACTTAGTGTCAGTGGGAAATCGTTACTCTTTCAATCAAAAGTCTCAGTAAAAACTGAAATTCAGGGTGCTTTTAAAATACAATAGGCACTATCAGCTTTAATTATTTTTACCTTCCAAGAGGTTTTTTGCTGTTTTTGTGTCAGACGCCAAAAAGTGATAAAGAAAAACCCTGATTCAAGAGCAATCTTATGGGGTCTCTCTTACCTCGGAGACTTAGTAAGTCGACTGCCCCTGTGGTTCTTTAAGGTCGCGTTCTCTTTAATCAGAGGCGGATCTAGAGGGAGGGTGCAGGGGGGGTCGCACCCCCCCCCCCCAACCCTGACATGACCTGCGGCTTTCTAATTCAACTGGTATTCTGTATTAAAATTTGTTTACGTCACCATGCAGTCAGTTACGCCATTCCTCACTGGTGCACCTTCTCCTAAGAAACATCCCGATCCGCCCTTGTTAATTACAACTTGGGCATAACGCTTAATCTCTGCGGAAATCAGATTACAGAATTTTGTAATAGCTATGATCAAGCCTATTATATTTAAAGTTTTGTTGATTATGTATTGCGTTATAGTAATGAGAGCGTTAGGCATCCCGACCAGAAGCGTTACAAACTTTGACTCAGCCCATGACACAGATGCGAGCATGACAATTGACTATCATTTTAACGGGGAAGGAGATATGATACATGACATGAATGACTCCGTGTGGTAAGTATAACTGCAGTAGTGCCAAGTAGCAATTTACATTATGCCTGACGAGGTTTCTTCAACCTTAAAAATTGAATAAATTACGTTTGTGATAACTCGAAGTACTGCCAGTTTTGATAAATGGACGCCGTTGCGATTAGCTGTTAACAGCGATCCCTCGGAGGAAATCTGGACATAGTAAAAAGAATTGATCATTGTAATATTTAAATTTCGGTTTTTTAAAGTTTATATTTGTGTTAGAGATAGAAAAAAGCTTTTAGTTAATATGCCGGGAAGTTTGTATTATCTTATTATCTATAAATCTGCTGATTGTGCCTTACATTGAAGGAACTTCCACGTGTGGAACGAGTCATGGTTCAGACGTCCCGATCTACCTCTTGGTCATGATGGATGGCAAGTCTATGATGCCACGCCCCAAGAAACCAGCCAAGGTTGGGCAAGCCTTATGCTGTAATGTTTTATCAAGACCTTTGCTTTTTTGCCATTGCTGCAGTTAATTAGCAATAACATGCGGCCTTCGTGCTTTATTTTATTCCGAACCTAAGTTAGCAGTCCATAAAGCGCCCGCAAGGCCAGCAAAGAAAATTTCCGACAGATCTTACTTGAAAAGACCTCGTTTACGTTCACCCGGGTATAATCTTTTTTGTAACGTGTCCAATTTTTTAGTCCTTACCTCATTAAAACTTTCCTATGGCTCTGTTGTTGTATCCACAGTTTTCCATACTACTTATTGACAATGACTATCCATGGTTCACTGAGCCACCAAAAGCCAAAAATCTGAAGCGTAGTGATTAAAGAATAAGGAGCACGAAGTCTATAAAAATGACAATTTTTTGATACAGAAATTGATTGAGTTACCATAATATTTGGTATATAATTTCTCTCTCGTCCAGGTGTTTTCCGTTGTGGACCAGCGTCTGTCAAAGCGGTCAAAAAAGGAGAGGTATACCTCCCTTACGACACAGGCTTCGTGTTTGCTGAAGTGAATGGTGATCGTGTTTACTGGGATGTTAACACGGAGGACGGTTCTATGAAACCCACCAACGTGAGCAAGAAAAGTATTGGCTCTTTCGTTAGCACAAAAGCCGTGGGCAGCAACTCAAGAGATGACATAACCCAGGAATACAAATATCCAGAAGGCTAGAACAGTCACTTCGTTTGCTTTCTTTTATTTAAAGCTTTCTTTCTCTGCTGCTTCCAGGCTCCGAACTGAGAGCAGTGGGCGAATTCAGGGATGAGATCGCCCCGCTCTAGTTAAGATGCATGGCCTCCCTTCCCTTATGGGTCTTTGTTTTAGTCCAATATAAAGGGAATCCCTCTGCACTTCTCCCCTGGTTTCTGCACTAAATGGTATATAATTTTGTAGTGGTGTAACGATTAATCGAATTCTCGATTAATCGCGATTATGACCGTTCGGTTCGATTCACGATTCTTTGCTTCCACATTTCGATTTTGCTTCGATTTTTGTACACTTTTTCCAGGGTGCCCTCAGTGAGTTATTATATTGTAAAATCAGAATCCAGAACTCTTTAAAATGTGCGTTTTTGATTGACGAGCAAAGACGATAGCAGTTCGTGCGCCATTTTGTGTTGCCTGGTAAAAATGCTGTCCTTTTAATCAACCACTCCTTGAGAATTTCCAAATAAGGCAAACCATCTTTTGTCAGGTTCTCAAACATGACGACGGACCAAGCAATTAATTGTGAATCCTCCTGTCCCTGTTACTATTCTCAAATTGAGGCTTTAGGGTTGCACGTTGGTAACATTACACGTTATGTTATAAGATTAAACATTAACATAATCGAAATCGAAAGACAATAATCGAAATCGAATTGAATCGCAAGGAATATGAATCGTTACACCCCTATAACTTTGTAGTATCGTGACTTCAAGGTAGTGTTTAAAGTTAATATATTTAAGAAATCTAAGAGAATGTTTTCAGTTCTTAGATCTCTTTACGTCAAACACTCCATCCAAAATCGTCTTAAACCAGGAGCGAGAAACTTCCTGCTACTCATGTCAGGGCGTTTATGTCAACCAGTTTATTTTTAGAACGATTTGGGCGTGAATTTGGAATATCTTTTAAGTTCCACCAGTCAGCAAACGGCCAACAGGCGTAACAAAAATTATTGGTGAACATTTAATGACTTTACTAGGTTTTCCCTTTGATATCTTACTTTCGAATGCGCTGAAAGATACGTTCCATTTTACCCTTCGAATGTTCTCAAAGCAGGAGCGTGCGTTTCATTTTCGCTGGAAAAAGCACTCGAAATGTATTTTAAAGTAAACCAATCCGTGTAAACGCTGTGACATAGGGCTAGCAGGAGAATTGCAGGCTCCTGGGTTATGGGCACCAGGATTAAAAAGAAAGAAATGTGAAGGACAGACCTTCGTTTCAGTCGTAGGCCCCTTATTTAGCAACAAAGCTCAAGAATTTTTAAAACTTAATATTTCTTCGTCTAATTATTTCAGGATCTGACGAAGAGCGAAAAGCTGTGCATCTTGCATTTCAGTTCAGTAGTCGTACTGAGCAAGAACTATACGATACTAGCGTGGTTGAAGATGTCCAATTTCGACTGGAGACTGAGGACCGTATAGATCCGGGACAAAGTTTTGAAGTTACAGTTGTGGTCAAAAACAATTCAGAAGTAACCAGAGAAATCAAAGTCAACTTGGCAGCTGTCTTAGACTTTTACACTGGAGTTCCTGCTAAAAAAATGAACACATACAAGCTCAAATTTCTTTTAAACTCAAACGCAGGTAAAGCACAAATATTATATGAATGGAGATAAAATGGAATTATGTATCAACTGATGGAATTGTCGGTTCGTCTCGCTTAGAATCATAATGTTATGAACCGAAGCAAATTTGTATGGAGTCTTCAGAAGGGCAAAAATCTCAGAAATGCTAGAAATGTTAGTTTTTGGCAAATCCTGGCAAATAGGCCTTTTAGATGTTGTTCTTTTAGAATATCCTGACAAATCTCATAATCTGACCAATTTAATTTTTATGACGTCATCACTCTAGAACTCTATTTGCATTAGCACTGGTATAAGCATTGGTATTAGCGTTAGTGTTATTGATAGTGTGAGTGTTTGTTTCAGTATTAGCATTAGTATTTATTATCTATGTTATTTATCTAGAGCAAAGGTTGAGTCTCACAATTGAGCCCAGTGACTACATCACGCCAAAGGCGACTGTGGGCGATTCTTATGTCCAGCTATATGTGAAAGGTGTGGTACCTGAAACAGGCCAATCCTTTGTTGATCAGAAAATGGTGGGATTCACGAAGCAAAAGATACACATTGAGGTGAGTTTTTCCTTTATGTCATCTTAGCCGTCGCCGTCGTGATATCGTAACTGCTCCCTAATGAGAGGGAAGACGAGAGAAAAACAATGCAAGACGTCCCGCCCTCCTCCGCCCAATTTCCCAATACTCCCCCCCCCCTTATTTTCTCTTCCTCCGCTAATCCTTTCGACGCCTGCCACGCACGCTAATAGGCCTTTTCCACGATAGCGTCATTTTAATCACGTGGCGTCATTTTAATTACTATGACCAGAATCCTTGAGGGTATTGCTTTCTTGTACAAATTAAGGCTTTTGTTATTTTAACCTCACTGAGACTACCAAATTTAAATGTGAAAGGAAAACGAAATGAATTCTGGTCTTGGTAGTAAACATACTTCATCGTTCAAATGGCCTGTTTCATCCAGTTCTCTTATACGTCCTCTAGTACAAAAAGACAATTCTAACTCATAAAAGATATTCATATTATTAAATATTTCCCATTGATTTATTATTTCCCCACTCAGCCATCTGCAAATAGTGCAAAAGTTGGTGATGAAGTTGAATTGACTGGAATTTTCAAGAATCCTTTACAAGTGCCCCTTACAAAAGGACACTTTCTTGTACAAGCTACTCGTATGAAACCACGCACAATACGTTTCGATTGCAAGTAAGTAATGTAAATGTACGTTCCCGAACGCGCACAAAACACGTGAATGTTTTATCGATTTGGTACCATGTTGATACTTCTTCCGGTTTGAATTCGACCTTCGTGAGAATTTCTTTTTAATTCTACAAGTAGCCCCTTTCATTATATGGCTGAACTCGCGCGCGAGTTGGCATGATGAAGCTAATCCTGTGTTCTGATTGGCTGCCCGAATGGGCAAGATGGATACATCTTCCAAGCAATGGATTTCCAGCGTCGCTTCCGCAAAAAATTTCTTTTTTTGGCCATATAGTAAAAATCCTGGTGGGGAAGCACTGTAAGCCATGCTGACAATCCCTTTTCTGTCGCTGAGTCTTTCTTGGTGCCATCTCCTTAATACCCTCTGCCCTGTGTTCGAGTGCCTTTAATCTTTCACTTCTTACTTCCTGTTGTGCTTGTTTTGTGAGGGAATCTTCAGGTAACTGATGTGACTGAGAAACAATATAATAAATAAGTTGAAATGAAAAATCGTATCGATCAAAAAATTCTTTTTTCCTGTGACAGGGGACCAGTCGGAGTAAACGAAGACGCCAGATTCTCTGCCAAATTCACCGTAGCAAGGAAAGGATGTCATCGCATTTCCGCTCGTTTTAACTCCACTGAACTAAAGGATGTTCCTGGGGATTGTGAGATACTTGGTTCAGATTAAGACACTTACTGCTTATGATAACGTCGAGTTGACAGCAAAGGCTTGTTTTCAAGCTATATAATCTGCATAACGGGTATTTTTGCCCTAATGTGAACGAGGACCAAGATCTTAAATAGACGATGCAATAACTGTGATATTTCTTTAGCAAAATCACTCTTTTTCAAACGGGAATCATTTCTCCAAGCCGCACAATTTATTTTTAAAAATTTTGGATTTAAATCTAGAAAGGTACAGTCGAACCTCCCGGTACGGACACCTCTGTTACGGACAGTTTCCAATGTCCCGACAAAATTCTCATATATTTTCTTTAAAAAAAAAACTCTATAATGCGGACAACGGACACTAAATCTCGGCCCCAGAGAGTAAATTCATATAAGCTTAACTTCTTTATTACGGACACTGCGGTGATCAGGTGAATCCGGGATCCCGATCAGGTGAATCCCGTCTGGCTGATGACGTGACAACTTTTTACTTACAGCATTGCGTTGTAGCTTGTTTCGTTTTAAAGCAGTGATTTATGAAGGACTGTACTGTCTCACTTTGTAGCTGAGATGTACAATGTAGTATGCTACTGAAAGACAGTGTCTTTGTACTGTGAATTAAATTTAAATGCAATTTAAAGACGAGTGTGAGCCCGGTTTTAGCTACTGAACACTTAAAACTGTAAGTGTAGTCATAAAAGTGACGTCATGGTAGTGACCTCTTTCATCCGGACACCTCTCTAATATCATGCTACATACGGACACTTTGCTCTGTTCCTTCGGTGTCCGTATTAGAGAGGTTCGACTGTAAGTGCCTCTTGGTACGCAAGGCTTGATCTTGTCTCGCGCTCTGCGCGCGATCATCACACACCCGCAGAATTCTGCAGATCTCGAAGGGTGTGGAGGGGAGGTGGATAGAGGATGACACCCTCCTCGATCTGCAGAATTCTTCGTATCCTACTCAGCCTCATTCATTAATTGCTAATATCTAATGTCAACATAGCAAAGGTAAGAAGTGCCACTTAACTCACAAAAGTTACTATTCTATAGCTTTCACAAATATTTTAAGCATAAAACACGTGTATATAGAGAAGAACACAAAAGGCAACAGATAAAATACAACAACACGAAAACAAGCCGTGTATGGTCAGTACCAGATGTAAAATAGACACTGCGGATCAATTCAGATCTATCAGATATTTTTAACTGTATCCATCTGTTCAAAAACCTTCTTACAATAAGCTCATAACTTCTGAGTTAAATTTTGCAGCAAAGGTAAAAAAGGACGAAAATTATTTAAAAGAATGACATCGCAAGCATCAAGTTTATCAAACTACATGACATCATGAAGATACTGTATACTATGGTTAATGCCGACGGCTATACCGGGAACTCGGAGTGTAATTAAACTGTCTCCAGGTAGCCAATGCAATCAAGTGATCACTAGATTCGTACGCAGTAGCTTTTCATATGTCTGGTAAAAAGAGAGAAGATTTGATGAAACGGAGGCTAGCGGGCACTCAAGAAAAGGGGCGACGAGAAAAAGCAACTGGCCATTTCTTCCTCATCCCTTCCCATGAAAAATTGTGTGCCGCTATCTTTCCCAGTCTTTGCTCACTTCAAAAAGTCAATAGTAGGAAACCATGTTTTATCCGAGTTAGTTCAACATCGGATCCAGGGCTGCAAACTTTTGACTTGTAAATTCTCGATGTAATGTTCATAAAGCGTTTTCTAAATTAGCTCGTATCAATGTAAATAGTGGGTATTCTGTAACTTCCGTGCTGTACTTCAGAGAGTTAAGGCCATCGTTATCCATTTCCTTTAAAGCTTGATCCATTCTCGCCAGCCTGTGTAAACAATATTTAGAAAACTGTAGATCATTACGTGTTATATTATACCTGCATTTTTGAAAACCGGGTTAACAAAAATATAACAAAGCTCATTCAAAGGCCGATTAAAAGCCTATATCAAACTGTTTGCTAACCCGGTTTTTATAACTCCAGGTAGATACTGACATGTTAATAAGTACTGAGAGGACGTGTGATTTAGAATACAATAAAACATAAGAAATGATAATACAGCCCGATAACATATGAAACGTACAGATGAAACAGTTAATTGTATGACCTCCCAATTGTATGATCAACCTTGGCCTTTGAAAAAGAAACGAAAAAGATTCAGATCAGTGAATATAGGAATGAGTCTTGGGAAATTTGTAGTGAATGGTCTGGTTCAAAGAGACTTAAACCTTTTCACTTACGCGTTGTAGGCCTGCCACCCTTTTCATATAAGAATAGCAGTTTCATTTTAAATGATAGATTTTCTTAGTCACGTGAATTACTACACCCATTTTTTGCTTCAATTTTGCTTTTTATTTTAATTCAAATCTTCACCACTTTTAAGACCTTTAAAAATTTTAATTCGTTTGCTATTTATGACTTCAAGTACGAGGTTTATGGAACTAATCGGGCTTTTTTAAAAATTAATTGTTTTCTGTAAACTGTAGCGTTTTCATTTTAGCGTGAGATTAGGGTGAGAAGTAAACATTGAATTTTTTCCAAGCAATAAAGTACTTTAGAATTCCGCAATTAATTTGGCATGTTTAGCATTAACCTCAATACAATATAAGAAAAATTGAGAACTTAAAGGTTTCTAAAAGTTGTGTAATTGTAGAATGTAAAAGTTTGTATAATTCTGAAGGGCGTGGCTGGTCATGTGACTTCAAAAAGTGCAATGTCAGCACCAAAAATAGTTCCTTTTATCTAAATCAAAGATAAAAGGAGTGCGAAGCAAAAGGAGAAAAATAATTCTAAAATGCAGATATCAATGAGGATCTATTCCTTAATTCACACGAGTTCTTAATTAACAAGTTTAGCATAATTTTATTTTTCCGTCTTTTTCCTTTTTCTTCTAAATTTAAAGCCACTTCGGACTGCAAAAATTGCATTCACATTCAACTTGAGAGTGCTTGCTGACCCAATTATATAAAAACTCTACAATAAATAACAGTGATAAACAAAATAGTTAATCGCCAGAACAACTTGCCTTACAGTTTTTGGAGGTTTTGTTCCTACCACATGAAACATTTTCAGCATCTTATATCTTCCTTTTTTACTTGATGGTCGTGACAGTGTGAGTCCTTTAGCTGTTATTCTACTGGCCGGCAGAGAGGACAGAACGACAAAAATGTGGTCAATTATGCAAAAGTGGTTATCAACGACTACCGCAAGGGCAACGCTAACGGCAAAAAAGCAATTAGATTAGATTGGCAAAACAACCACTCTGCACGTGCATCACGCTTTTTTGTACATTTCTTTGCCGTAGCTACACGACTGCAACGTGAAAGTGCCTAATTTCACGTTTTGTCGAGGACGTGAACACAGGACAACGACTTTCTTTTTCTTTTCTTGAACTTTGATACAGTCTTTGCCAAAAGAAAAAAAAATGCCAACACGAGTTTGAATACGCACGCGCAATAAAGTTTGAAGTAGCGCTAATTCGCTTTTTAAATGACGTTTTCGTAGCTGTCGCCGTCGTTGTTTCTTAAGCTTCTAACTACAAATGGGGGGTCCGCCCTCCCTGGTGCACGTTCTCAAGGGGTAGTATCTGTTCGACTCCAAACGGGAGAACTCTTTTTTTTTTCCTTCAAAGAGGTCTTTGTCACTAAAACTTAACTATTAATGAACTCAATTAAAATAAAAGCAATAACTTACCTTCGAAACAGGTTGTCATCCTCTCCGCCCCATCCCCAAAATATGTTTGAATAACCATTGATTAGTTCAAAGTGTTCCTTCGTAAACGAGCCTACCCCTCCAAATATCTCAAAATATGGTAGACTGTGGATTTACAAAAATAAACACAGCAAAGAAGGTTTGTTTCATTCTTTGTTTACTATATAGCGACAGGAAAACTATAGCGGAAAAGGCCTCTGTTTATACATAAGAACGGGGATTTCGGCGCGATTTCTGATTTCTGTAGACGCCGCACCGACCTCGCAGCCTGAAGTTTATTGTGGGAGAAAAAGCTATCAGGTACTTGCCGATAATCAAATTTGTCCACAGCTACCGACATGTGTCTGGGCGATGAGGGGCAGCTGTATTCATTTCGATCATTCTCCGGCATCAAGTCCACGTCATGGAAGACAAAACATTTGAAATCGTCAAACTTCAGCGCTTCTTTAAAGCCGATGTTGAACAGCTTAGCCCTATTGAAAGGAGCATCTCCTATCTGTAAAGAAGAAAATTTGTGGGCAACTGCTCTTTATTATATGGCTGGTTTCGCGAGCCTGCAAGGTGAAGCGAGTCCTGTGTTACTGATTTGGTAATCTAGCGGGTATACTAACTTGAGCAGTATCTTACTCTGCTCAGGTTCCCGCTTTTGTCCCGCAAGAAACGTTTTCTCTTTGCTTTATATAAAAAGAATCGTTTACTGGCTATACTTATTTGATCAGGATGGCTGGGTATTAGCCGGTAAAGACCTCGACTTCGTCTCGGTTCATGAAAAGCCCAACGGAAGAAGGAGCTTGGCCAATTTTCCTAGTGGGTAAACTTGTTTTCTACCCAGGCTTTTAACTAGATATGATTGTGAACACGCCTTCTGATCGGATGGTAGATGATGTGTACCTAGCTCTTTTCCGCCTTTTCGCCCTCATTGGAGATTCTCTTTTCTATTTTGCCATTGGTGTGCTGTTCAGTGATCATGGTTTGAAATACTGACCCTCTATAAAAAAAAATACATCGCAACTCCTCTTTGAGACTAAAATGGGCAAATATGACCCCCTTTCTAATATCGCATAAATTCATATAGTTACCATTTTTATGAAAGCGAGATAAAAAAAAATGTCCCCCAGCCACCAGAGCCCCTCACTGGTAAACATACCTGTTCTACGGAAAAGATCCTGTAGTCTAAATATTGTTTCCTCAACAGAGGATGGATATGACGAAGAAATATTGAGATCTGCTCGTAACGATTGCGAAATGGAATAATAAGAGCTATCTGTTAAGATAAAGCAAAGAGTATCAAAAGTGAGTATGTTCTTCAACAAAGTACTTTTCAACTTTTAAATGTGTCTACCTGATTTAGGTTTAGCTCAAGTTCAGATGATGAAAAATTGGCGCTGAAATTAGCATGAGGGTGCAATGAGAGCGTAGATTAAAGACGGCTGTCTCTTAATTAAACTAGTGCCATGTTCGCGCGAGTACAAAGACAGACAGGGTGATGAATCAGGGTTTACATCATATTGATGCAAACTTGACTCGGTGCATCATGTCCAAAAATTTTGCTCGGAAGCGAAACCTTTCTGATGACTGAAAGAAGCTCCTTATTTTTAGGAAAATGACAAGAGAGTTACATGGATATACCGAAAACATTATAAAGATCCTTGAGCTTGCTATGAGTGTGTTGTAAATTGCGGGATTTCCAATAAAGGAACATGACTTTTGACAGCAACGGCAGGGACTGGGAAGAGGTAGTTAAAGGGCTCTCGACTTGAGGCACTTGAACGTACCAAGGTGCCATGGAAGTCATGCCCACATTCACTCCTTAGAGTGCTAATGAAATTAGCTGTCTAGGGTATAATAATGATTTTTTTCACTATCGTAGTCGTATAAATAATGACCAGAGGTTGGCTAAGAAACGTATACGGTTTGCAGAAGTCAAAACCAGACTATCAAGTGTTTAAAGAGATGGGAAAATAAACTACCAAACATCCACGTATTTTTTCCTCGATACCTCCAGCAGAAAGGGCGGGACCTCAAAAGAGGTGCATGGAAACACAGACCTCTCAACCTGCCAGAGTTGAGTAGGTGTCCTGTGGTGTGGGCATTGTTCAGTATCGTTCAATCTTTGGTATTCGGCGTCATTTGGGTGATTGCACTCGTCCGTACACCCCAATAACATCTTCATTTTAGCACCTCACCTTAACTCTTGCTCGGCATTCAGTTGGTTTCCATCTTCCCCCATTTCTGACCCAGCCATTAAACTCATAAGAAATTTCTTTTGCAACATCATCCATCTTAGAAACTGATGTACTGACATATATAGGTCCAACTGGGAGAAGGAAAAAAGTATACATACTTTCAGCACGAAAAGATAAAATTCGTATCCCCAAGCGGCCATGTAATGTTCTGTTTATTTTATAGATACTGATGAAATTCCTACATAAAACACAAATTTTTTTAAATTCATTTTCGAAACAGCAGAATAGTGCAATTAAAGTGGTCACCTATAGCAAAATGCCTGTCACAAAAATGTTATGAAACTCGGATATAAAGTTATGAAGAAGAAATAAAGACAATAATACTTATATTTTCTGTTCCAAAAAAGTTAGTGACCATGGCGACACCCATATCCTCACCCGTGAAAGATAAAAATAGTATCTTCACAGCACGCGATGAGGATATGATTTTTTAGTAAAAGGAAAAATCCTGGTATTCAATCAGTATCTATATAATAAACGGGATTCTTCGTCACAAAATGGTTCCTTATACCGGTTGCCACAAACTTGGCAAATCAAAGGAGCGTCAACAAAATAAGGAGAAAAGCTTGGCTTCGTGCTTTTCAAAGCTTTCTACCCTGAACCTGATTTATTTTTATGTTGTTTAGGCGGGTTGGGGGTGAGGTAGAGTAAAGGAGAAAGATGCTCCCTTAAGCCTGAGAACAGGCTTTCTCGTTCCCCGGCCATATCCCAAATAGGCTGGTGAAGAACCCTTTTTTAACGACCTGCCACTCTCCTGCCCACCTTCATCCGACTACTCTGCAGGCAGCCCAGTTGGCAGCAAATTGTATCCTACGTTAGGCGAGATTCTCAAATGATCAACAACATCATTACCATGCCAACCCTGATTTTAGTAGGTTTGCGTCAAGAGCTCCCGGCTACTGTTTAGTTTTCAGAGAGGTAGGGTGACCGGCCGTGGCCAGCGCTGGAGTTCGGCCGTGTTCGAGTCCCGACGGACTCCTGATTCTCGGTAGTCTGCTCAGGTAAATAGGCCAACCGGTTGATCTTCTATGACTATCACTTGGGGCTTTTCATCATCTTATGTTTAATTTGATTATTTCAGGGGAGTGCTTGTAAACCTATAACAACAGTGGGTGACGGACAGTATCAATGAACTATCTAAATCACAAATAAAACTTACTAACCAAGATTTGGCGGATTTTCTGGGCATAAAGCCGTTTCATTCAGTGGTTGCCCTGTGTGGTTATGTCCAATGTGATTTACCCAATTTCCGTCTACAGTATTTGTACGTTTGTGCAGGTTACCAACTGAAAAGTTCAAACCCACTGTTTCTTTCCAGAAAACTCTATCTTTTGTCATCCTTACGTAGGATATTTGCAGTCTCATGCCTGATAAGTTACCAGTAAAGTGTAATGTCGCTGTTAAAATTAACACCGGCAGGACAGGAATAAGAAGGAAAGACAATTTCTTTCGGTCTAGTCTGTTCATCCTCCTGACCAGACAGCAAAATATGATGAAGACTGGCGGGATCTAGATGGAGAAAAAGGTGAATAAAATAAATAAGATTTATCAGGGAAATTAATTTATAGTAAGTCGTACGTCACGTTGCTATGGTAGCAAAATCTCTCAGTGACAACAAACCGAAGACTTCACTTTTAAAAAAATCAGGAAAGTGAATTCGCACTATTTCAGACTTCATCGATCTTATTCAATTTCATTTAGTGTGTCAAAAGTTGGCGAAATTTCCTGAGGTTGAATCCAAAAGGACTAAGTTTAGAAGAAGAGAAAAAACATTTGTGTTGTGTTCACCTACACCATAAAGCGGGCGCGTGAGAATTAGAAAGTTTCATGTTGAAGTCATGCAACGACGGCTAAGAAATGTACAAGGGCACGTGCAAAGTTGTTGTTTTGCTAATGCAAACATATTGCTTTTTTGCTGTTCTCGTTACCGTCACCGTCGTCTTTGCTTAAGCTAACTCGCTATTGCTGTGATCCCGAAATTTGCTACCATGGTAACATGACGTTACACTTGTCCTTTCTATTATAGAATGGTGGCAAATGTGATCGGCGTCTTACACGACCTTACATACACTGATCGAGTACTAAGGCAGCGTTCATACTTGATGCCCGTACAAGGTGCCCGACTACGGTACTCACTAGCCAAGTAGGCACTAATGTGAACGCAGACTGTTTTTCTCAAGTACCCACCCTTAAAATTCGGGAAAAAAAGTGGACACAGGCCGGGTGCCTTTGTGCATACCGTGGGCAGTCCACTGCCTTGTTCTCGCTGCTAAGCTGATGTGTCAAAATGGAGTCTGGCGGGGCGAAAAGGAGTAGCTACAATACTCACAGTCATATATCGGGCACTCAACGTTTGAACGCAGCACCATTTTGTGCCGGTACCAAGGCACTTGTCCCCAGGCACCAAGTGTGGAGAGCCGCTAAGGATGCGTTCACATTTAGTGCCAGGGAACTAGTTCCCGGGCACGGTACAAAATGGTGCTTTGTCCAAACTCTGGGTACCTAAGTTGTCTTTCGTTCACTTTGGTCCGTCAGCAGACGCCATTTTTGCAAAAAGAGCGAAGAAGTTGATTGTGGGTAACACTCCTCGGAACCAACGGAAAACACGTGCACACAGGGACCCGGTGCCCACTTTAGTGCCCGAGTACAAAGGTATCGACCTTGTACTTGGGCACTGGAACCGTGCCCGAATTCTGGCGCCGGTACTTAAAAAAAGGTGTGTCCGCATTAGTGCCCAGCGAGTATTGTACTCGGGCACCAGTACCCTTAAACCAAGCGTGAACGCACACCCTAAGTGGGGAGCTTTGAAGACGCGAGCCGCAATAAACAAGGCTACCGGTAATTCGCAGCCAACGGCTAAATTCGTTTTTAGATCTCACATTGACATTTCACATAAATGACATAAATTGTTGTTGATATTTTTCGTACAATTGAAGCCGACCAAGTTAAACTGATCTCTTGAGCCAACGAAGGCCTGGTTCAGACGGCGTACTTTTCAGGTGCTGAACTTGAACCTAACTGAATTAGTTCGACTTTGAAGCGACACTGGCGCGACATCTGATTCAGAGGGCGCACTGTGTGTCGAGCTTAAGTTAAGTTCGTCAAAAGTTCGACAGACTCTGTCGAATTTAACGCTTTTGCCGCACCTAAACTAAAACTGGCGTACCAAACTGATTCAGACGCCGCTCTTTTGCCCTACTTAATTCACCAGTTAGGTTCGGCACATAAGTGGAGCGGCTTCTGAACCGGGCCTGAGATGTCAACTGCTCATGCAAAACCACCCAGTTTCATCAGGCCTAGTTGTTCGAAGGCCGATTAGCGCTAGCCCTGCGGGGTTAAATTTTAATCCCGGTTTCTTTTCGTTGTTGTTGTTGTTTTTGATGGTGGTGTTGCTTAGAAGCATTTTCTTGGACAATTTTCCCTATTCTTTTTGGATTATCCAATCACCAAATTGCTGACCAAAGGAATTAAACTGAATTTGCTTTTTAAGCTTTTATGTCTGAATTCAAATTTCGCACTAACCTTGGGTTCTCTTAACCCCGCTTTGAACAAACAGCCATCATGTGAATAAAAAGGGATAATTCAACATACAGCACAAGCCGGTAGATTTAGCAAAGAAAACGCAACCTCAAATGTGAACGCGAGAGCGCGCGAAAACAGACTTAACGCGACTTTCGTTACTTCTCTCTTATTCAGATGAAGTCGGATTTTAGATCTGCGCGCATCATCGTCACTTTAATTTTGTCAAGTTGTCTTCGCTAATTAAATCTGCCAATTATTTCAACGAAAATAAGAAAAAAATAATGACGTTACCCTCTTTATAGTGGTCATCGGTAAAACTGTGAATCAAAAAAGATCATGTCCTCTAAACGAAAAAGCTGTCCTTTAATAGTGGTTTTCTTACCAGGGATTTTAAAGAAATATAACTTTCTAATCAGGAAGTGGCCTTAATTATAATAAATAAATGAGGTAGCGGAGATACGGTCTTTTTAAAAATCTGAAATTGCCGAAAGATTTGTCGGTGAATTTCCTTCAGTTCAATCGTGCAATCAGGGTATCTAGTTTGACTACCGAAGCATCAAAAACTAATATTTACAACTGGCAACTTACAGCAAAATGTGAAGTAGGTAAACGTAGATAACCTAACTTGTTCAGAGCCGTAATTTGGCAGGAAAGTCACATATTTTGATCTGAAATAAGGCAGGGAAAATCAAACAAATGGTCTGAGATACAATCTCAGACCATTCATTTCAGACCATATGTGATTTTCCCTAACCCTGAGGGTAGGAAAAATCACTTATGGTCTAAATGGACAAAGGCGTCAGAAGGCATGTCACATAGCCCTTCCGAATTTCCAAGAATATACCCCCAGGCACGTGATATCACTGAGGTAGCCTCCTGTTCAACTACAAAGGGTACTTGATGTAATAATTGCGTTCGAGGTATGAGAACGCAACCCCTAATTTGTGTTGGGTGTTCTGTGCATTATTGGGTGTCCTCTGCAATTAATAAGGGAGGTTTTTTTTGTCGTCAACACGCATTTGCCTCGCTTTTCGTCGACACACATTTGCCTCGCTTTGAGGCGCTTACTTAAGTTTTGCCTCAGTTTGACGCACTAACTCATGTGGTGATTCTAGTGTCCTTGACGTTCATCTTTCAAAGGTTTGCTGAGGTCTGATATTCTGTCTTCGTAAAGCGTTCATCTTTTAAAACGTTTGCTGAATCTTCGTAAAGCGTACATCGATCTGTGTTTGCTGAATCGTCCAAAGCGTTCATCTTTCAGAAGTTTGCTGTTAAATTTTACTTTGGATTAAGCCTTCATTTTTTTCAGCATGGTTCGTCACTGTCTTTGGAAAATGTCTGCGACTCCTCGAGCATGCATCAAACCGGGTTTAGTTCGGCGGCCTTTGTGCCACAAAGTAAATTTACCGAGTTGTGTAGCTCGGCAGCCGTTGTGCCACAAAGTAAATGTACCGAGATGTAGCTCAGAGATGTGAAGCTCGGCGGCGCCATTTGATCATAACTTTTGATATTTTCGGCACCGGACAAACGAACACTTTAACTGTATGTTATTTATTAGGAAAAACGTATAAACC